GGGGGGGGGGGAGGGACTGGACTTACTGGTACATATCCAGTGAACCTTCTCTGGATGGTGAGGATCTTCTCTGAGTTTTGCTTCTCTCTAATACTCTCGTTGACGTGATCGGCCACCTCTGTGACCTTGACCAACGCATCCTCGATCACTTTATAATCGCTAAACTCCTTTGGTGTCAGTTTAATCAAGCTCTCCAACAACATCTTGTATCTCGGTATACGCTGCACCGGCATGATCAGCAACGACGTCAAGTCCAGTCCAAAGGCAGAGTCCACGCTTATTTTCTAAAGTTGAGTCGAGTCGTTGGATAAGTATGATTGATTGATTGATGGAATGAATGATTGACCGTGGCAAGACATACTTTGAGATATATGGCAAAGTCTTTGGACTCGGTGGTCTTCTCCTTTAGCTTGGCAATGGCCTTGTCGTAGTTGGAACAGTACTCTGTGTACATCTTGAGGTATGGTGCCAGTTTGAGGAAGATGTCGCCCATCTTCTTGTTGGTGGACCATGTTGTCATACGATCCTGGATCGATGTCAACAGTTCCCTATTGATCGTGAGCAAGTCCTCAATATGTCCGAATATCTGTTGTAATACCTTTATAGGTACTAATGGTGGTTGTATAGTTCGCAATGGTTTCAAGTAATACTATATATATATTCATTTGATTAGTTGATTGATTGAATGATGAGTTGATCCATTACAACAACATACATGTACTATAACTTCCAAGTTCCTAACATATATCACTTCTGTATCCAATATCTCCTTGGCAACCTTATCTCTGTTCTCATTTTGTATCACTGTTTGATATGTCACATGATTGATTGATTAGTTGATTGATTGAATAATTGATATTATTATCGATTGACCTACCTTGCTTCGCGTATCTCTTCCTAGTGATCCATGCTTTAATGGTGGAACCCAACAGTTCACGAGATTCATTCGTCAGCTGTACACCTTCTTCCATCATCTTGTATTATATATATATTTAAAGTATATGTATCTGTGTATAAATATTTGTTTGTTTAGTTGTTTGATTGATTGACCAGATTGACAAGATTGAGATAGATAGAGAATAGCTAAAAGGGAAAGTTATAGATTGGTCCTGTCTGTCCTGGTGAGTTGAGCGTGTGTGTGTGTGTTGTCGATGCGATCGATTGATTGTGTTTGACGTTTATGAGGTAATATCGTCTGTCTTTGTGTGTGTTTATGTTTGTTTGCGGATCGAGAAGATGAAGAACAATGTTATTATTATATGTTTGCGATAAATAATGATGTGTTGGGTAGAACAAGGTTTGTGGACTGATTGATTGGTTGATTGGTTGTGTTTGAGTGAGTGAGAGTGCACAACAAACAGATCTGAGCTCTCGAGGGAGTGAGAGAGACCACAAGACAAAGCCACAAGTCGAATTGTACAATCACAACACAAAGAGATACGAGTAAAGGAGGATGGCATCAACACAAAACAAAATTAGTTTGAGTATCGTGGCAGCCACCTTGGGACCCAGACACTCCATCAAATCAAAGATATTTCATGCGGATGGATGATTCGAATTCCGTTGTCGGGCTGCTACATTTGGCGAAACTTCTCACTTGTTTGTGATCATTCAATCATTAATTCAGACACTTGGAACAGACAGACACAAGTATATGTTTATTGGTCAATGATTGCTTTTGAACAAGTAGCAGTAATATAGAAGTAGTAGTAATAGAGGAGGAGGAGGAAGGAGAAGAAGAAGTATATTATGTAAGAGGTGTTACAATGAGAAGAGACTGATGATTGATTTCTTCCTGGGCTGTGCAATGACTGGTGATGGGGTCATTGAGATGTTGACACCAGCGTTGCCACCTTCAGTGGTGACACATGACACTATTGTTGGAGAGCTGGGAGGCTTGGCCTTCTGGAAAGGTGATCTTGTATGTGTTAATGTTGGTGTATGATGTGTAGGATACATTGAGGAGGATGCTGATGAAGATGATGCTTGGTTATCGTTATTTCCAATGTTATTATTATTAACATTGCTTATGTTGTTGTTGTTGTTATTATTGTTATTAATGTGATTGTGATTGTTGTTATGATTGATAAGGTTATTGTTATTGTTTGGATCGAGTAGAGTTGAACTGCTGACATTGGCTACGTTGTTTGAGCTGCTGCTGCTGCTCATGGTCATAGAGATTGGAGGAGGATTGGATATACCTCCACTGCTATTGAGGTTGAATGATGATGCTTTGGACAGTGATGGCGAGTTGTTTGAGGGTATCGATCGACCCGTGTATAAATATAGTGAACTGTCTTCGTAGTATTTATCATGGCGGACACCTGATCCACTGGCTCCAACGCCTCCGTCACCATTTGAGTTATTTAGACGCAACGAGTTGATGTCCACGCCTACGCCCGAGACCTTTGGTGTGGATGATGTATAGGTCGTTGTGATGTTTGGTGTGATTCCATTCTGTTTGAGCTGCTGGCGCAACTCAATGATCTCCTCTTCGAGTTGGGCATGGCGTCGTTCATGGCGTTCATTCTCCAACTCATACTCTTGCATTGTATTCTTCAAGTTATTGATCTCTTTATCCTTTTGTTCAATCGTTTGTCTCAAATCAAGATTCTCCTTCTCCAATCCATAAACAGTCATCTCCAATCCTCTCATCTTAAATACAGGTGATTGTAATGGATCCCTCTTATGTTGTTGATCCATCGCAGTATTATTAGTTGTGGCTGTTGTCGTTGCCATTTGATTATATATCTATGTACAATATAGGTATAATATATATTAAGGTATAAATATATATCTATCTCAATGAATGAATGTTAGTTAAGTAAAAGTTATTAGTTGTTAATTATCAATGTACATAATATTAAGTTGTTTAAATGTATTTCAATCAATCAGTTGGTGTGTTGTTGATGTTGGTGGTTGGGCTGCTTGTTGCTCTCTTGCTGACTGACTGACTGACTGACTGCTGAGGTGTGTGTAAGTGAGTGTGTTGTTGGAAGTGCTTCCTGCTACTCCCTCACCAATCCAATCCACAAGGAGATCAACCAACAACACAACAACCATTTTAAATGAGTGGCTCGATGATGACCACACTCAACTACACACACTCACACACACACACTGACCATCACCAAAGGAGGAAGATTAAGATTGAAGTAGTGTGTTGTGTGTTGTGTGTAGTCGAATGACCATGATGATGATGTCAATGAATGAGAATGAATGAACAAAAGTTGAGGATCTTATGGATGGATGGATGAATGAAAGGGTTTTAGATTGCCGCTTGGTCCGTCTTGGATGCATCCAGAATGTTGAGAATGTAGTTGAGTATTTGATCGTCTAGGCCAAGTGTGAACTCAATATGTCCACTCTTGCTCGCCTTTAGGAATGCAAACTCCGGATGGAACTTCTTCAATGTACTATAATGCTTGATAATATTGTGTGGCTCTATCAAGTTATCATTCAGTCCCATTATAAAGTGTACCGGTATATTGATCCTGTGGTGATGACATGTGATGTTAGTGACCGATCAATCAAATATAGTAACTACTACTACTTACACATCATAATGATCTAGGAAGTTAAGTGGATATGGCGTGCCATAAAGTTCCATGTTCTTCTGTTTGCCATAGTCGAATGCTTGAAACTTCTTGGCCTTTCTTATTTGGAAGAAGTGTCGATAGGTCTTTACAGAGGTGCCAGAGAATGTGTTGTAGGCCAAGTTATGTATCTTCTCCAATGGATGATTCTTCATCTCGCCACCCAACAAGAATCTCGACACCAAGTACACCATCAAGTCCTTTGTCGGTGTGTTACTCATCAAGTCATGATATATCTTGGCTGTGATCACACGTATCGTGTCTAAATGGAGATGATTGAATGAGTGAATGAATGGTGGATGAGTGAATGGCGCTCGTGGATACATACCTGAGGGGAACTTAAAGACGTATACTGGGAATATGGACACCCAGAGATTGATCAATGGGCCAAGGAAGTCGACAATCTTTGGCGCCTTCTCATGTACACCAGCTGGTGACAACAGGATTACTCTACTCAGGTGATGGCTCTTCTTCAATATGCCCATGAATACTATATACATTAGAATACATGCTGCGCCCATCTATATGAATGAATGAATGAATGAGTGAGTGAATGAATGAGAGTTGAGCTTGGACCTGGATTAAGTCCACTTACACTATGAGCAACAGCGCTAATATTGATATCATTGGCAGAGACTACATCATTGTTCTGAGTGGCCAACTCTTTGATCTTGACTTGACGTATGACTTGAATGAATGATGGGATGTCCTTGAAGGCATGCTCATTGACGGAGAAGTCCCAATATTGCTTGGCCGATATGTTGTGTTCAGTGTGGAGTCGCTCGCCATTGCCACGCAGATTGCCAAGGAATACGTCATAGCCTTGATCGTGGGCCGCGAATGCCAATGATTGAGTGGGTCCAGTGGCCACCCATGCAAAGCTATTATCAAACACTCCATGCTGTAGGTACAATATGTGTTTGGACTGCTTGTTGGGTATGCGTTCCAACAGCAGGATGTAGCCATCTTCAGTGGTCACGTGATATTGTTCATAAGGATAGCCAGCTTGTTCAACAATCTCCTTTACACTCCTCACATCCAACTCCTTGTCCGAGAATAATCTATTTGGAATATCCCTAACTCGCTTCCATCGATTGACCAACATATTGATCACACTGTTGCACATTGTGAATGGGAATGTGATCACCTTGACTGTTGATTGATTGAATGAGTGAGTGAGTGAGATTGATTGAGTGATTGAGTGAGCGTGGACCATTGAAGATACTTACAAATATAGTAGGGTAGGTATAGAGGGAAGGTGATAAGGAAGAAGATGAATGAGCGAATGCTGAATGATGCCAATGCATTGAGTGTGTTGGATATCTTCACTCTAAGATAATGGAAGAATCGATCGGAAAACAAAAGTATGTTTGTCCTCAAGTCCTGGATGTTGGATGATGTTAGGTCCTGATCAATTAGTCACAGTCACGTGGCTCGTGGAACATACCTCAAGGAATCCAGTTGTTATCTGCTCGTGATGATGTACTAGATCGCGATTGACATAGTATTGTCTCTTCTTCTTCTTGCCAGATCGTGGACGAGGTGTGATTGGCTCCATTGTATTCCTCTTTGAACTGGATGATGAGGGACGTAGGGAGCTGCTGAGGGTCTTCCTAAATACACTGTTGTTGTTGCTGCTGCTGCTGCCACTTCCACTGCCACTCAATCCACTGAGACTGCTCTGTGGAGACATGGCAGCATCGTTACTAATGGCGTATGATGAGGTCGATGGTGACATTGTCGGTGATCCACCATCAGGATCATTCAACAGTTGAACAAATGGTGTTGGTGTCTTTGTGTTGCCCTGTTGCTGCTGCTGTCCTTGTTGCTGCTGACCTTGCTGTTGCTGTTGTTGGAACTGTTGATAATGTTGTTGTTGTTGATGTTGATATTGTTGTAGTTGTTGCTGTTGTTGTTGCCGCTGTTGAATGTACAGTTGTGAGAGATGTGATTGATGTAGCGGTGATGATCTAGTCTTCTTGTATAATGATGATGATGATGAAGACGTTGACTTGTTCCTCTTCTTTATACGATGTCTTTGTTCCAAATAACTCTGATATCCTGGTTTATAGAATATACGCAAGAATGTAATCGTTGCCATATTGGCCAATTGAACACCGAGTTGCCATACTATATATATATATATATATATATATCGATTGATGAAGTAGTTAGTATCAATCGATGGTAACATGTCCATTCATTGATTGTCCGTCGTCGCCGTCATACCTTCTTGAAAGAATATCTTTAGTGATTCATTTAGAGATATTAGTGTCTTGTCGATATAGGATGTCAACACTGTTGATATCCACAATCTAATTCCAAACAACATGTTGTTGGCTGTTTTGTTGAGTAACTAAGTTGTCGTCTTTATCGTCTTTGTCGTTATGATTATATAAATATCTGGAGAAGTATGTCTGTATGTCTATATGTATATGTATGTATGAATGTAAGTATGTATTTATCTATCCTCCCATTATACACATTGTGAATGGATAATTGAATGAATGGGTGAATGTGAATGTGTCAGCTGACTTTGACCTTGAGTGAGCGTGTGAAAGGGTAACCTTTGTTTGAAATCGGCGGTGAATCTTCAACTTGGTGTGAACAACTCATTTATTTTAATTATCTCTATCTCGAGATTATTATAAATACAAACTAATAATAATAATAATAATACTTATTCAAGTTTAATGATTAGATCGTTGTACTCATATAATATGAAGTTTAGACTCCATTGAGTGCCACCACCATTGATTGGCGATGTAGTTGTTGTTGAAGGATGTTGAAGGTCATTTAGGAATTGTCCATACAGTGTATCAATGTTGTTTACATCTCCACCATCATTGAGTAATATACAATGGAAGTATGACTTCAATAATAATCTTTGTATAATATCATTGGTCGATGTCATTGCTGATGATGATGGCGATGAAGATGAAGATGATGATCCAGTATCAATGAATAATACATGAAAGTGTAACTTTCCATCTTTACGTTCGACCATTGGCTTGACCACATAAGTGTATCTCTCTCCATTACCTTTGTTCACAGCCTCATTGATCTCACCAATAATATGCTCTCCATTATGACCTTCCTTCAAATCAAACGCCTGTTCAATCGAGCTTCCAAAGTTAACTTGTATCTGATCGACCATCGATGTTGGCTTCACAAAGCTACATCCATCGTGAGTATATGTTAGTCCATGCGTTGATCAATCCTATCAATCAAACATACTCTTCCATTTTGTTTACGGCCTCGATGCTTAGTACTTGGCGATTTTGTAACCAGTGACGGATGAGAATGGTCGATCGCTGGATGTTGAGTGTGCGGAAACGGATGGTCTTGAGTGATCGATAGCTGCATGCCATGTGACATAGGGACAATCCGCATACTACTGCCATGTTGGTGAATATACTGATCGATGTCATCATCAATCCAACTGTTGTACCAATGGCCATGCCAGTCAGATATGCTGCCATACCCTGTGATTGATACTTGGCAGTGATATCTCCCAAGTTCTCCTTTAGTGCAAATGACTTGTTGAGTGATGCCCTTGTCGCGCCATAGATCAATCCAGCAATGCCCTTGGCCACATTAGACAACGAGGCCAACGGTAAGAAGTAGCCTGGGGCGAGTGGAGTGCATACCTCCATCTGATCGTTTGTTTGATTGAGTGAGTGGGATAGTTCCGGGGGCGGGGCGGGGGCAATGATAACTTACAAACACTCCAAGATTGTGGAGGAGGTCACCGCGGAACTTGAATCGCTTGAGGTCGTAGTCGAGGGAGGTACTGTAGCGGCTGGCGAATAGGACTAGGGCACTCGCACCTAGTCCGTCTTTGAGTACCCAGGAGATGGCGGCGGCAAAGGGTAGGGATGTGGAGAGTCCGACTCCAACCGACGTGAGCAATGCATGAGTGCTCAGCATGTAGGTCACTGAGCCAAGTGTGTTTTGAACAAAGACCCAACGTTGATATGAACCATAGTCGCTGGTGACCGAGTGCGGGTAACCCTTTGGCAAGAACAACATTGTGAATCTCTCCATCAACATTGTCGAAGATAGCTGGCCTTCATCATCCTTCACGATCACTCCATCATTGCCAACATGATGAGTACTATGTGGTACCATGTTCAATGATTGAGTTGACTTGTCCAGCACATAATGTTTCTTCAAAGTGCCCTGATGTATCTCCTTTATAGTACGTGTAGTAGTAGTGCTTGAGGAAGATGAGCCTAGGTATCTACATTGTGATGATCTTCCAACTTTATGATGTTGATGTATGAGTGAGTGAGATGAAGACCATGTTGATGATGTAGTCCATGATCTAACACTGGCACAGTGTTGGAGTTTGAATGAATTGAGTCTATACATCTCCAATGTTCACTCATACATCAGTCGAGTGAGTGATCATATAGTGTGATCAATTGACTTCTTCATCAGATCGATCAGTCGTTTTACAAATTAAACTTTGAAATTGATGTAAATTTGGATAAATAAATATACAAGATATAATAAGATTGATTGATTGATTGATTGATTGACTTGGAAAGAGATAATTAAAGATTTAATACAATTTAAGAAGGTTACATGGAAGTGAAACCCATAAATGTTGTCAATGAATTGTGGTGGAAAATGAAAAAACGAACGAATGTTATGGTTTAAGAGCTTCACCTTCGAAGAGGCATTGTTTCCTACTCTATGATCATAGCCTTCATAACAGGTGATAGAGTAGCTATTGCACTCTCCATGTTGACACCATTCACTCGCGATTCAATCTCAGCTGAATATTGTTATAATAGGAGTTACATCCTTCAATTCAATCAATCAATTAAATTAAAGACAAACATAATCCAAACTTTCAATCATCAATCTCATGATCATTGATCGATATATATTATATATATTATATGATTGTTTATTATTTCGAACTACTACTGCTGTTACTGTTGCTGTTGTCGCCGCCAGCGTCAGTTGGCGCACCACCTTTGCCTTGATTGTGTGATGGCTCAATGATTTTGTGATCGCGACTCGTTCGCATGTAGTTGACAAGTTGGTCATTGTATCCAAAGTATTCGTTGTTGAGAGGTGTTTGACGTTCTCTCCATACATGATCGCGTAGTATTGCATCGGCCTTCTCTCTTCTTCTCTTTTGTATCGACTCCAATTCCTTTGGTCTCTTTGCAGTTGATGTTATCGTCAACATTGTACAATCTCCAAAGTTCTCTGTCTCCACATCACAATGGAATCCACCGTATCGATAGTAGTTCCTAAGCATTCCTGATGGCGCTGGATGAATGATTGAGTGAGTGAATGAGCGATGTTTGTCGATTGAGGGACAGACTGATGACATACAATAGCAAGAGATGAATGCCTTTAGGAATGGAGTGCAAGAGATGTTCTGTGAAATGTTGGAGGGGAACTCGAATGATTCGCCCTTCCACACGTCATCCTTTGACATGTCAAAGACAGAGTTGGCCTGTCTAAGTGATACAGTATCAAAGTCAAATTGATTGGGAGGTATGAACAATACTTCATCATCTCTATAATATACACCTATCTCTTCTGAATTCTTAAGTGTCTCTGCCACTGATTGTTGCTGTTTCTTCAACTCAGTCGTTGTCTTTGTCGTCGTCGTCGGTTTATCATCCGAAAGTACAGAAGTGATTAAAGTATCATCTCTTGTGATTCCAATGTCAGTAACAATACTAGAGTGGTTATCTATATTATTATCTATGTTATTGTCTATGTTTGAGTCATTCATGGCTGATTGAACATGCAAGAGAATGAAGAGTTCTTGGACTCTTGAATCAAAATGAAGGGGAGACCCTTCAAAAAAGTTAAGTCTCGCTCAACTTTGAGAGATAATACATACTTATGACATCACCTACATCACTTACATCACTTATATCACTACCCAATACATTATTATTGAATATATATGATATACTTAATAATGATCAAGATGACAAATCATTGATGATTGATTTGTTGTGCCTAAGTTTAACATGTAGAAGTTTGAATGAACTGTTTACAAAGTATACATCGATACACAATCTTAGGTCAAATGGTACAGTCACCATTAGATGGTGTCACCAAACACAAACTATCAAACGTGGAACACTCGAGTCTAAAGTGGAGTCTATCGATCGATGGAGAGGCACTTCGCATGCCATATCGATCATCCATTTCATAGCACCATTCAATCAGGTCATCCAACCTGGATCATTGCCCGACTCAATCACAATCATGGACCTTGACAACACATTCGACCAACCACTGGACATTGGTGCATTGCCAAATTCACTGCGACACCTCCTGATCAGAGGTTCCTACTTATATGATTTGAAGCCTGGTGTGCTGCCACAGTCGTTGACAACGCTCGAGTGTCGTGGAGCGATCAATGTGGAGATCATGGAGGGATCACTTCCACAATCACTAGAAACACTGGTACTATGTGGATTCAACAGGGACATCACACCCGGACTGCTTCCAAAGTCCTTGACATATCTGATGCTGTCATCCTTTGATCATGAACTGCATCCTGGTTCGCTGTCATCATCACTTACCTCACTGACATTGGGCGATTCATTCAACAGAGTGATCCAGCGTGGTGTACTACTACCAGAATCACTTACTGAACTCTCATTCGAGTCAACATTCAATCAAACAATATTGCCAGACTCCCTTCCGTCATCACTCAACTCACTCAATCTCAGCTCCGACTTCAACCAACCATTATTGCCACGGGCGCTACCACATTCACTCAAGAGTCTATTATTTGCATTCAGCTACAACCAAGAGTTCAAGCCCAATGTGTTACCATCGTCGTTGACCGAACTATTCTTGGGCGAGTCATTCGATCGACCTCTCCCAGCTCATGTGCTCCCCTCGTCGCTGACCATGCTCACACTTCAATGTGAGAGGTATGAGCAGGAGTTGATCCTGCCACCATCTGTACATACACTGCACACATGCCAAGCAATCCCATCGCCATCAGTACCATCAGCACTCCAACGTCTCCAGATATATGGTGATGATCGTGACCTTGACCCTAGGATATTGCCACAATCAATCAGACATCTGCTTGTTGAAGGATGCCTGTTGCAACCTGGACCCCTGCCACCATCGATCACTCTATTGAACATATGCTCACATGAACCTATAACCTTTGATATTGGAAGTCTACCAGCATCGCTTACCACCTTGTTTGTGAACCGTACAACAACCGAGCCATTCTCAGTAGGCTGTCTTCCAACTCGTCTCACCACATTGAAGATTGTAGGTGGATGCAATCAACGAATGCTCCCTGGATACCTACCCCAGTCACTCACCAAGCTGGCCATTGGCAGCTCCCAATACAATCCATTCACGGATGGCAGTATCCCCGAATCACTAGTGGATCTCACATGTCGGAATTGGAACCTGGAGACTGGACAGGTGATTCGTGCAAGTTCACTCCAATCACTACAATCTAGTGTCGAATACACAAGTCATCTACCAGTCTCAATCAAGGACTTTCATATCCTCGAGTTAGTGGATAGATACAGTTTTGAAAAGGTCATCATCGGACTGCCATCAGACGTCAGACAGCTTCAAAAAGTGACAGTGCGCGTAAAAGATGAAGATACATTGTTCAGGCTGATGGTGGCCATTCCAAATGTCCAGGAGATAATAATGACGATGGGATTCTCTCAATGGCGTGTTAGGCCCATTGATCCAGCTAAAGGGTTGGCATTGATCATCGTAGAGGAAGAGTTCAAAGGTTATGGTGGCTATGTCCTATCATTCTCCATTAGAAACCAAGTACAACAACATCATCATCATAATCCGGGTGTAACACGTTGGGCCTTCATCAAACGATCAAACAAATAAACAAGGGCCTTCCTCTTGACTCAACCCTCGCCAACACTTCATTCGCACACTTTAGTGATTTTTGGTCTTTTCAAACGGAGCGAACCGAATCAAATTCATTCATTAATTCATTACATTATTATTTGTACATTCATACTTATACAACATACATATACAACACAAGAAAGAAGATGACAGAGAGAGAAGTACCAAGAGTCGCCGCAGCAACATATACTAAAGTTGAGTCTGTATGTTATCTCTCTCTCCTCTCACCCTTCCATCATTCCTGCAGTCACTAACATTCGTGTACATCACTCATTATGTCAACCTAGGTATCAGACAGACCAGACTGTGCAACATTTATATTCGTAGACGAAGATCATACACTGGGCAACTCACTACACTATGTACTAATGAAGAAGTATGTCGAATGATTGATTGATTGATTGATTGATCGATTATTGAATGAATGAATGAATGAACTAACATTCAATGGATGATGATGAACACTATCTCAGCCCTAAAGTAGACTTTTCAGGTTACAGTATTCCACATCCATCAGATAATAAGTTGAACCTACGTATACAGACAAAGGGCAACGTAACAGCACAGGAAGCCCTGGAAATGGGCCTGAAAGACATAAAGGACATTAGCAATCACATCCTGGACACATTCAACCAAGCCATTGACGAATAAAAAGATAGATAGATACAAAGACTTGGACTTAAGAGCACAACACAGTACAATGCTGCGACCGACGACGTTGTTGTACAACATACATACATACATCTTCAAGGATGACGAACTTTATTGGACGACTGGTGGCGACACGGATGAGGACGACGCACCATTGGCGACTGGAGTCATTTTAATCTCGATGCCGGCATGCTGCAGAGCATCCAGGGCCCATTGAGGACAGTCATTCTTTGGATATTGTACTGATATAAACTTGCGAACATACTCGGCGTGTCGGTTCTCGATGATTGATTGACGAATCTCGCGCATCAATCGCATCTGATAGGCCATGTTGTGATAGGTGAGTAGTTGACCGCCCACAGACTCCTTGCCCACGACCAAATGGATGTAGGCACGTGTGTAGTTCTTGCAGACCATGCAGTCGCAGTCCTCGTCCACAGGGCGGAAGTCCTCGGCGAACTCGCCCGACTTGAGATTGAGCGAGCCGGCCGTGACCAGCGCCGTGCCAAAGCGTGCGGTACGCGAGGGGAACACACAGTCAAACATGTCGACGCCCAGCGCCGAGCACACGACAAGATCCAGCGCGTAGCCGACACCCATGAGGTAGCGAGGCTTGTCGTTGGGCAGCTTGGCCGTGCACTGAGCCACGACGCGCCAGAAGATGTCCTTGCTCTCGCCTCCCGACAGGCCGCCGATGGCGTAGCCGGGGAACTCGCGCTGTATCAAGCCCTCCATGCAGATCTCGCGCAGCTTGGCGTCCAGGCCGCCCTGCACGATGCAAAAGATGTTCTGATCCTGTGGCCTCTCGTGAGCGTTAATGCATCGGTCGATCCAACGCAATGTACGGTACATGGCCTCTTCGACTCGCGGGCCGGTCGTGGTCGATGACACGACATCGTCCAGCGCCATCATGATGTCTGCTCCGATCGCGTTCTGAATCTGCATCGACAACTCTGGCGTCAGAGTCATTGTTGAGCCGTCGTGTGGCGATTGGAATTTGACGCCCTCCTCTGTGATCTCTGCGAGCGAGAGCAGCGACACCATTTGGAAGCCGCCCGAGTCTGTGAGCATCGCGCGTGGGTAGTTCATAAAGGTGGGAAGTCCGCCCACGCTCTTCATGACCTCGGGGCCGGGGCGATGTCCAAGATGATAGGTGTTGCCGAGGATCACGCCGGCATTCAAGTCGACGAGTTGTTGAGAGGTGAGGCCCTTGACTGTACCCTGTGTGCCGACGGGCATGAACATTGGAGTGGAGCATGTGTGGCGAGGCAGAGTGAGGTCTGCAGCTCTAGCCATACCAGACTGAGCAATTATATTGAATTTCAATGGAGGGTTATCCAGTTGAGGGTACTTTATACCTGCGAATACAATATTCTGAACATTGTTATCATCAATCTTTTGCTTTGGTGTATCAACTATATTTGATGTTATTGTAATGTTGCCACCACCTGATGTTGCAGAGCCATCCACTGTCATTGTATATGTTTAATGTAATGTTATATATATGAAGGTATTAATAATGTAATGAAATGAATGAAAGTCAAAGTTTGAGAAAGTAAAGAATCTGACAAGATTGACGAATTATTGGGATTGGACCAAGCCTCCAAGGGACAAGTTTTTATTTTTAAAGAGTCCCTTTTGGTTTCTAAACCAAAATTAAACAATATGAACAAATAATAAGATCTTTAAACAATAATAATAATAATAATGGGATATAAAAAATCAAACTATTAATACAGATAATAATAATTCAATCATTGTAACAAATCTAAATTGAATCCTCTTTTGGATTGTTGGGGGGTTTTTGAACAACATTCACTAAACTTGAGGGTTCATTCATTCATTCAAAACGTTGAACGCTCACATGACAACGCAACACACTTTAACTCACCTCGCGTTAGTTAGTGTGATAGATAGAGAGAGAGCTAAACAAGTTATTATTGAGATAGTTAGATAGTAGATAGATACATATAGGTTGTAAATATTGTACAATTATTTGTTGTGAGGAGGAGGAAGAAGTAGGATCAACAGTGTAGTTATACCAAAACATTTATTCATATTACAGGACATCATACAATCAATCGAACAAACAACTAAAGATGACTTCAACTTCATCCACTGCTACAACGTATGTAGACAACAACATCAGGAAACAAACAAACAAACAAACAAACAAACAAACAAACAAACAATTGACTAACCCAACAACTTTGAATGAATGATATAGTGGTGGTATAGGTAGCAGCGGAGACACTGTTATAACAGTTGTAGATGATAACAATTGGAAGGATACGTTGAAGCTACCAAAGAAGGATGAGAGGAAGCAGACAGAGGATGTAACGGCAACAGAGGGTAATGAATTCGATGATCTACATTTGAAGCGTGAACTACTTAGAGGTATCTATGAGAAGGGCTACGTGCGTCCCTCACCCATCCAAGAGAAGGCCATCCCAATTGCCCTCGCCGGCAAGGACATCATGGCCAGAGCCAAGAATGGCACAGGCAAGACTGCCTCATTCCTCATCCCATCACTAGAGAGGACTGATCCAACCAAGAACTACATTCAAGGTATGATGGTCAATCAATCACAATCAAACATACATCGATCACTGACACTTCATGACTCATCTTGCGCGCAGTTCTGATCTTGGTACCAACTAGAGAGTTGGCACTACAGACATCACAGGTGTGCAAGGAGTTGGGCAAGTACTTGAACGTCAAGGTGATGGCAACAACAGGTGGCACCAGTCTAAAGGACGACATTATGAGACTGTACGAGACAGTCCACATCCTCATTGCCACACCAGGTAGAATACTTGACCTAGCACAAAAGAACGTCGCCAATCTCTCAAACACTCATACCATGATCATGGATGAGGTATGTTAATGATCAACATCAGATGACCCCGTCCAGACCACTCAATCACTCACTCTCATTCCGATCAATCAATCAATTATAGGCTGACAAACTACTGTCACCAGAGTTCCAACCATTGATTGAACAACTTATCAGTTTCCTTCCAGCGCAAAGACAGATTCTGTTGTTCTCTGCGACATTCCCTGTGACGGTCAAGGCATTCAGAGAGGCTTACTTGTCAAAGTCGTACGAGATCAACTTGATGGATGAGCTGACACTCAAGGGAGTGACACAGTACTATGCATTCGTCGAGGAGCGCCAGAAGATCCATTGTCTCAACACGCTGTTCTCCAAGCTGCAAATCAACCAGTCGATCATCTTTTGTAACTCTGTCAATCGTGTCGAGCTGCTGGCCAAGAAGATCACTGAGCTCGGCTACTCGTGCTTCTACATCCACGCCAAGATGATCCAGGCACACCGCAACCGCGTCTTCCACGACTTTAGGAACGGACACTGCCGCAACCTGGTGTCGTCCGATCTGTTCACGCGAGGCATTGACATCCAAGACGTCAACGTCGTCATCAACTTTGACTTCCCCAAGCACTCTGAGACGTACCTCCATCGCATTGGTCGCTCGGGTCGTTTCGGCCATTTGGGTTTGGCCATCAATCTCATCACCTACGAGGATCGATTCTCCCTGCACAAGATTGAGCAGGAGTTGGGCACAGAGATCAAGCCCATCCCACCCGTCATTGACAAGTCGCTGTACACTGTCTGAGAGAGAGAGCTGCGCGCGAGCGATGTCATATTTATTCATACGCGTTTGAACGTTCGAACGTTCATCCCCCACGTCAGCTGAGGCCTCATTCACCTACCACCAATCCAACTCCACCTTACCAAAGAGAGAGACAATCATTCAATCATATTCAACCAAACAACATACCCATTCCAATCCAAACCAATCAATCAATCAAAATGCTATGCCATGGTTCATTCCGCGCCTCATCGTTATGCATTGGAGGCGTGGACCGTCCCTTGTCACCAATGAACATTTGTAAATACGCAAGCAATGAACTAAAATGTGAAGACAAACAGATAATTCAATCAAATGGATGTTGTTGTGTTTATTTCCATGTCCAATCAAAGTCCATACCATGTCAAGTGGACGACAGATATGTCTTTAACTCTTCCAACGATTTCTTGCTGAATGGATTGTTTCCACCTCGCATACAAGAATTACCTTGAACAAAGTAACCATGGAACATAGAGTCGATGACCAATATACTTGGTAGGCTCAGGTAAAGAATACGGACATGTACGCACACTCCAGTGTAAACCAACAGGTTATAGTTGGATATTCTTGGATAGAGATGCACGGAGTAGTTTTGTATGTCCTTAAGGTTATACTTGACACGGCACATGTAGTCCAGACTTGTCAAGTGGGGCGCATCAAGTTTGGTACAATAGCTTTGATTGATACACAGTCTGGTCAACGACTCTGGCAACATGCCCAATGTGATGTCTTGGTTGAAGTTCAATCCCAGCTTCAAATCGGTGAGCGAAGATGGCAACAATCCTGCCTGCCATGCATGGTTGAATTCACTGCCTAAGCTCATAATCCGCAATGATCGGGGCAGCGCGTCCATTTGCAATGGCTGGTTATACTTTTCACCTAGGTGTAGCTCAGTGAGAGATTCGGGCAATATTCCTGCTGGTATTATCTGATTGTAGGTGTTCCCCAATGTCAATCGAGTCAGACCACTCGGTAATGAGCCAGGCTCGAATGATAAATTGAACTGATAATATGCGGTTAACTCTTTCAAAGTGTCTGGCAACACATTTGGTTCAAATCGACCTTTGAAGCATGCACCAAGAGTCACCTTCCTCAGCCTTGGCGGGAATGTGCATGGTACAGGTTGGTGATTGCACGACATACCGAGCTCGGTGACCGATGGTGGGAATGTGTCTGGGCCAACTGGGTGTGAGTATCTAAGGTTTACCACTGAAGTAAGAGATGTAGGGAGCAGCTCGCGGGTAAGTGAATGAAAATATCTGTCTGGCATGCGAAGGTTGGTAATCGATTGTGGTAACTGGCCTGGCAACAAAGGCTTCTGAAAGTATTCGCCAAAGATCAGAATCTTGAGTGTAGCCGGAAGATTGTCCAATGATTGGTTGAATTCTTCACCAAGCTCAAGTGTTTCCAGGAATGACGGTAGTAGACCCGGTCCGATATGATGATTGTATGCGTTACCAAGCTTTAAGTTAACAAGATTGGGCGGCAATGTTCTTGGCTGCAAAGGTCTGGTTAGCGAGTCACCCAACTTCAGAGTACGGAGTGATGGTGGAAGCATGCCAGGTGAGACAATCGATTGCCTTTCACTAATCTTGTACCTCCTCTCACAGTAGGAGTCATAGTATTCCAACTCGAGGAGATTGGGTGGGAGGACTCGCGGCCCAAGGTGTTGTCTAAAGCATTTTCCAAATGAAATCTTGGTGAGTGATTGAGGTAAGTGTCCTTCCTTTACTCGTTGATTGAATGCCGACCCAAACTCCAGAGTTGTCAGGGCGCGAGGCAGGCAGCCCCACCAGAGAGGTTGATTGAAATATTGACCAAAGATGATGGTGGACAATGATTGTGGCAATGAACCAAAGTTCTCACTGTTGAAAGACATTCCAAACGTCAACATGGTCAAGGAGTCATGGAATGGTGGACAATGATGGTATAGAGTGTATGGATTGAAGCGCTTGCCGAACACCCATTCGTTGGCAATGTCTGGCCGTTTGTAAAGTATCTCTTTGAATGCTGGAAGTGGAGCAAGAGAATATTGATCTTCAGTGTCACCATTGATTAACGCATAGTTATTCAATGGTCTTGTGTAATCATATCTATTGTCATACCAGTGCTTGCTTGTAAGTGATAGACATACTATATCTGATGTATCCAGTTGATCAACTATCACTCTAACAAGTCTCTGTGGTAACAAGTCCATCATCAATCTTATTATTACTTTGATTGAATGATTGATTGAATAAATGAGAAAAGATTGGACTATTGCGGAATAAAACTTAAAAAGAAACTTGAAGATCCATGGAACTAGTTCACGTGATCATTCCTGGAAGTTCCTCGAGGAAAACGGAATTGGAAATAACCAATCAATCAATTCGATCAAAGAAATAGTACTATTTGTTGTTGGAATTTGTTTATTTCCATGCATAAGCAATGTCCATACCACATCTCAAGTGGACGACAGATATGTCTTTAACTCTTCCAACGATCTCTTGCTGAATGGATTGTTCCCACCACGATCATTCATACATGAACTACCTTGAACAAAGTAACCATGGAACATAGAGTCGATGACCATTATACTTGGTAGGCTCAGGTCTAGAATACGGACATGTAATCGATGGATAATGTTGTCAACCAACAGGTTATAGTTGGATATTCTTGGATAGAGATGCACAGAGTAGCTGGCTATGTCCTTAAGGTCATACTTGACACGGCACATGTAGTCCAGACTTGTCAAGTGGGGCGCATCAAGTTTGGCGCAGTAACTTTGATTGATGCACAGTCTGGTCAACGACTCTGGCAACATGCCCAATGTGATGTCTTGATTAAAGTACTCGCCCAGCTTCAAATCGGTGAGCGAAGATGGCAACAATCCTGCCTGCCATCCATGGTTGAATGCTCTCCCAAAGCTCATAATGCGCAATGATTGAGGCAGTGCGCCCATTTGCAATGGCTGATTGTATACCACACCTAGGTGTAGCTCTGTCAACGATTCGGGCAATATTCCTGCTGGTATTATCTGATTGTAGGTGTTCCCCAATGTCAATCGAGTCAGACCACTCGGTAATGAGCCAGGCTCGAATGATAAATTGAACTGATAATATGCGGTTAACTCTCTCAAAGTGTCTGGCAACACGTTTGGTGCGAACGGACGGTTGAAGAACGCACCAAATGTCACCTTCCTGAGCCGTGGTGGGAAAGTGCCTGGCACAAGTTGGTGATTGCACGACATATTGAGCAACTCGGTGACTGATGGCGGGAATGTGTCTGGGTCCACCGGTTGTGAGATGCCTCCAAGTGCCACTGAAGTGAGAGATGTAGGTAGTAGCTCACGGGTGATTGGTTGCCTGTAACTGAACGGCATACGCAGGTCGGTAAGTGATTGTGGTAACTGGCCTGGCAACAACGGCATCTTATAGTTTGTGCCAAAGATCAGAAGCTTGAGTGTTGTAGGAAGATTGTCCAATGATTGATTGAATGCGATACCAAGCTCCAGTGTTTCGAGGCATGGTGGTAGTAGACCCGGTCCGATATGATGATTGTATGCGTTACCAAGCTTTAAGTTAACAAGATTGGGCGGCAATGTTCTTGGCTGCAAAGGTCTGGTTAGCGAGTCACCCAACTTCAGAGTACGGAGTGATGGTGGAAGCATGCCAGGTGAGACAATCGATTGCCATTCACTAATCTTGCCCCTCGTCACACCGTTCCTCTCCCTGTAGGAGTCATAGTACTCCAACTCAAGGAGATTGGGTGGGAGGACTCGCGGCCCAAGGTGTTGTCTAAAACATCTACCAAATGAAAGCTTGGTGAGTGATTGAGGTAAGTGACCCTCCTTGACGCGTCGATTGAATATCGACCCAAACTCGAGAGTGGTCAGGGCACGAGGGAGGCTTCCCTCCTTGAGAGGTTGATTGAAATGATCGCCAAATATGATGGTGGACAATGATTGTGGCAATGAATCAGGAATGATCTCACAGTTGAAAGCCATGCCAAACGTCAACATGGTCAAGGAGTCATGGAATGGTGGACAATGATGCTGAAGAGGATATTGATTGAAGTTCTTGCCAAACACCCATTCATTGGCAATATCTGGCCTCTTGTAAAGTATCTCTTTGAATGCTGGAAGTGGAGCCAATGGTGTTCGAGCTTGATTGTCACCATTGATTAAAGCATAGTTGTTCAATGATCTTGTATATCCATATCTATTGTCATACCAATACTTGCTTGTAAGTGATAGACATACTATATCAGGTGTATCCAGTTGATCAACTATCACTCTAACAAGTCGCTGTGGTAACAGGTCCATCATCTATCCTTATTATTACTTCGATGGATTGATTGAATGAATGAATGAGGAAGAGTGATTGAGTGATTGATTGAGTGATTGAGTGATCGATTAATCGTTTGTAATAAAACATTCTATGAATCTTGAAGAGCCAAGCACGTGATCAAACCTGGAAGTTCCCTGGAAAACGGCATCAATCAATCAATCAAAGTACTATGTGTTGGATGTTGTTGTGTTTATTGCCATGCCCAATGTCGATCCAGTGGACATATGCATGCACAGACACGGAGAGACAGACACTCGCTCACTCATACCCTTTAGAAGGTCTTGAAGAACTTATTCTTGTACAGCTTGAGATGTAGGAATGTACTCCTGTCGCCAAGTGCTGGATTGAAGACGTTGAAGTCGAGCTTCCTCAGACGCTCCAAAAAGTCGTCGGCAATCTCGGCACAGAGCAACGCCTCGTGCGCTGGCGCCTCCACCTTGATGGTGCGGGCAACGTCCAGATGTGACTTGGCAGCGGATGCCATCTCATAGATCGCCTCCTTGACCTTGGCCACCTGCTCAGGGTCGCCCTGATACAACAGCTCGGGCACAATACCATGCTTGGTGGTGAGTGTCGCTGGGATGTATAGCTTGCGTGTACGGATGTGGAATGGCGTGCCTCTGATCAGTGTGATGATGCCCATTGCGCGGCCAAGATGACTGGCAGCGTGCTCGGCCTGGCTGCTCTTGACGCCCATCGCCTCGAGTGTGAGCAACAACATCGATGAATGAATCTCCTCTGCATATTGTTCCAGCTCCTCCATATTCTTCATCTGTACCGAGTTCATATCCTTCTCACGTCTGTTCAGCAGTCTAATGAACCATGTCTTTGACAATCCTCTCTCCTTGATCTGTTGTGCCAGTACTCTTACCAATGGTTGATCAAACACCTTGCCCTGTTATTGAGTGCATGAGTGAGTGTAAGTGAGTATGAGCGTGAGCGTCGCGTCAATGATCGATCATCCATCCATACATTGTATATGTTGTTGATGGCATCCTTCCAGAACAACAACTTGTACTTGGCTAGACGGGTGTCAGACTTGACCTCAGAGTGCAGGACGACGGTCTCAATGTTGAATGCACGGATGGCAAATGCTGCACGTCTTGCATCCACGCTAGAGAGCAACATTGAACAGACATAGTTCTCGCGATCACATTTCCTGTTTGAGTTGGGGAGATGCGTTAGTTGGCGTCAATGTGTTGCCCAGAGTAATCAATTTACTTTAAACGTTGGAACACATAGTTGTAGTCCTCAGGTGTTGTCAAGTCACTGAGTGATATTGATTTGGAAGATGAAGGGATTGCTCCATCGGCCGTGGCACTCACAGGTGAGGCCTGATGATGTATAGTATCAGCAACAACTGTTGATGCTGCTGCGGCTGCTGCTGTGGGTCTTTGAACATGTGAATGACCATGTGAGTGACCATGTCCATTAAGATGTGAATGTCCACATTGTGAATGATCATGATCATCCTCATCATCATGATTGACCACCTGTTGTAACTTCTGTTCCTTCTGTTGTTGTGGCTTCGATGTTGTTGAGAACTGAAGTTGTCTCAAGGTTTGTGTCGTAGACCTTGCCAACAAGCTTGTTGTACCATTGTACCAACTCCTTTGCAAACTATATCTAACTATATTATTCATCATCATAACTAGTTTATATATATGTATGTATTGATGTATGATTGATTGAATGAATGAATAATGACAATGAGATACTCTTTGGCCTCATTCTTGGTCGTTTTGCGAGACCCCCTCCCTTCATTCGAAGCCCAAAGTGATGACCTCAAGTGCAGATCATCGTCTGTGAACATTAATGTAACTGTTCTGAACACACATAAATACAGATACATACAATATATATATATAACGAACAAACAAACAATGTCACATACATTATATAGACATCCACAATTGGAGATATTGGAGATTAATAACGATAATATGTCGTTTGTTCTATCAAACACTGATATTAGTGTTGCCAATGCACTTAGACGTGTGATGATTGCAGAGGTGCCAACGATGGCCATCGATCTGGTCGAATTCGAAGCCAACAACTCTGTGCTGGTCGATGAGTTCATTGCTCATCGTCTAGGCCTTATACCACTGACCAGTCACAAGGTCGACAGCTTCAAGTATACAAGAGACTGCGATTGTCCAGAGCGTTGCGATCAATGTAGTGTAGAGTTCCGTTTGAATGTTAGATGTAATGATAATATACTTGATGTATGTATCACTAGGTCATTCAATCATAATCAGTACTGGAGCTATCCCACTCACTCACTCATTCAATCAATCAATCAAACATACTAGGTCACAAGCAATCACTTGATATCACAGAATGATAATGTAGTTCCAATCACAACTGATAGTAATGATGGACGTCCGGGTGACGCTATACCTATTGTTAAGCTACGCGCAGGACAGGAGGTCAGACTGAGAGCGATTGCAAAGAAGGGCGTGGGCAAGGAGCATGCAAAGTGGTCGCCCGCATGTGTGGCCACCTATCAGTATCAGCCAAGGATCCTGATCAATCAGAACCGCATGGACGAGCTGTCTGAGAAGCAGAAGGAGGACTTTGTCAAGTCGTGCCCAGTGAACGTGTATCAATACATCCCAACCATCACCAGCAGGTCTCTGTCGAGAAGCTGATGAGCTGCATGTTCTGTAACGAGTGCAAGAAGTACTCGGACTCGATTAGCAAGCCCGATCTGGTGTCCGTCGAGCAGGTCACCAACCGATTCATCTTCAACGTCGAGACCAATGGCTCGCTCAGGCCCGAGGAGATCGTCATGGCCGCCATTCAAATCGTCAAGAGGAAGCTTTCCGATATCCAGGTTCAGTTGCAAGAGGGCAACTTGTAGATACACAATCATACTTGAGAGAGAGAGAGAGAATTGGCAACGCGATTGAGCAAGACAGAGAGGGACCAACCAACAATAACAACAACAACAACCAGGACGACAAGCTGGTGATGTGCACGCAAAGTATACATGTGGACGCGACCTCCCCTCCCAAGGCAGCGCAGCATCTTGGGCCTTGGGGAGCCCAGTGAGTTGCGCGCATCAATCAATCAATCAATCAATTGGAATAAACAGGTATGACGAGGAATCATGGATGCAAGGATCTAATAGATATAGTCTATTGTTGTTGTTGTGGATCGATGGCCTGCAGGGTCCATGATCTGTTCTTTGTAAAGGTCAACAGACGTTGGTGGTAGGGGATGAGTGATGATCGATGTCCTACACTGATGGTTGTTATGCCATTCTCGCGACATATGTCATAGACACGCTTTTCGATCGCGTGCGGGATGGAGCTGGTCGACTCGTCCATCAATGCAAAGCGTGGACGGTGGTAGATCAGACGCATGAAGGAGATTAGTTGCTGCTCGCCTGGGGAGAGTGAGCTCAGCCAGTTGTGTGTCAGGTCGTTCAGGTCGCCGCGACGCAAGATCTCGTCCTCGCGGTCAATCAGGTATCCAATGTCCACCTTGTTGAACAACTCGCGGAGGGCTGGACGCGAAATACGCTTGGTGGCAGTCGTGTAGGGATAGATGATCTGCTCCTCCAGACTACCATAGATTAGGTATGGCTGCTGTGAGAGGAAGAAGATGCTGTCATTGGCTGGCTTGATGATCTGGCCGTAGAAGAATGGCCACAAACCATTGATAATCCTAACTAGCGAGCTCTTGCCACATCCACTTGGTCCCATAATTAGTAGGTTGACGCCAGACTCGACCATAAGTGAGATGTCTAGTAGATTGGACGCGCGAGTGATTAGTAAGTGAGTGGCAATCGATCAATCGATCAATCGATCCAAACATACTCTTAAATAGTGAATCACCCTTTGGAGTGAAGTAGGACACGCTGTTGAGCTGTATCTGTGATGCAGAGTCGTCGATCTTCATCTCACCGCATGCATTATCACGTCCACCATCATCGTTGATGGCAACAGAGATTGTGTTCTCTTGAGCGTTGTCCTGTGGCACTGGCACCTCGTACTTCTTTGCCTGGATCTGATCACAAACCTCGAGCATTGTAGAGATACGCTGGATATAACTTGACAAGTCTGAAATGCTTGTGGACACGTTGATATACTGGCTGAATCCACTTGCCAACATGATGCAGTTATAGGAGTACTGCGAGGGTGGATGATGGATGGACATGTCAATCACTCATTCAATCAATCAATCATTTAAAAAGACTTACAATTGGTACATCAGAGATGGGAATGAACTTCTCGGTGCCCATGTATAAGGGGATGGCAATGACAATGTAGTTGACCAATGGACTAAGGTAAGTGAAGAGGTCGGATGATGCTGGAATGAGGAGGAGGTTAGTGATTGGTAGTGCGCTGGCGATATCATACAGCAGTCACGATATACATACTGGTTAGGCCGTATTGGCAAAGGATAACCTTCTTCTTGTTGTTAAGTAGTACATCGAATTGACGGCGTGCCTGCTCTTCCTCAACAATCGACTCGGAGACGAGTGGATCACGAGCAAGGTTCTGGAGGGCGATGGACTCTGCAAAGGAGCGAACTCTTAGATGGAGATAACGGAAGTCACCCTCAAGCTTATCTTGTAGGAAGGATAAAGAGACCAGCGGTGACATGATGAACTTGTTGGCAACGTAGCCGAGGAAGAAGAAGACGTAGACGACGGCTGGTGCGTACCAGCCCATGTCGCGCCAGGTCAGGTAGGTGTAGTAGGCGATCACCAAGGGGCCAGTGATCATCTGTGACACAACGTTGGCCAGCAGGGTCGTGAACTGATCAATGTCCGAGGTAATCCTCTGATCAGGGTTATCGACTGTTGTGTCAAAGGCCATGATGCGGTAGAAGAGGTTGTTGTCAAAGTACTTGCGTTGCAGTGCCAGACACAGGGTCTTGCGCCACAGCCAAGACATGGCATTGACAACAAACTTGATGGTGGCGTCGAGGATAGCGCCTGCCGACAGGATGAGGAATCCAAAGATCATGGTGCGAGTGAAGGCATGAGTGTTGCCACTTGACAGGTCTGAGTAGACACCAGACAACAACGTGCCGGTGAAGTGCGATACGTAGGTCTGTGCGATAGCCAAGCCCAGCAGAACGGCCACCATTCCCGAGGGGATGAGAGGGGAGGAGTATAGGATCTTGACCACATGGCATAACCTCTTGAACAGCTTCCAATCATATCTATTCTCCGAAGCCAACTTCTTTGTGATCTCTGATTGTTCGAATGAAGTTGCACCTGGAGCACCACCTGTAGAAGTTTGATTCTCCATGTTGACATCATCCTCATCATCATGAGCATTGAGTACATGATACTTTATGTTGTCCATGTTATTGTTGTTATTGTTATTGTTATTGTTATTCATACTTCTGTTGATTGAGGAGTATGAGTATGCGACTGTTTGAAGACGACGATTTGTTAGTCGCTGAGGCTTTGAAGGAGTAATGTGACGATGAGATTGATTGATTGATTCACATAACGAGTTCACTCTTTAGTTATGTTCTATTTCTATAACATTATAACAAGTTTATTGGGAACTGACTCTGTTCTGGGCCAACTTTAGTTTAACATTCACGACGATGAGATTGAATTGATATTCTTCGGCTTTCATTTCCATTTTGGGACAACACCTGATGAAATTCAATCAGAATGCTGTCCAAGATTTGATGTTATGGCATTGAAGTCTAAACCGACTCATCCATTACTTTGTAAATTTGGTGTAGCAGGACTTGATGTAGGTGAAGTTGTACAAGAAAGGTTTGTTGCTCCATTCAACTTTGAAGGATGCTCCGAGTGATCGCTCGCCACCTTCGGAATCTTTGACAGTGGTGGGTCCATATCGGAAGGTATTCATAAAGTCATCTGGAACGCGATCAGAGGTTACAGGAGGGAAGATTGAATAGACAACCGTGCTGTCATAGTCTGATAGACAGCCCCTTCCGTAAATAGCGCCTTTTACCAATCCTTTATCCGGTACATTACTCTCAAAGTCAATGTTATAATAAGTATTACATGGCCAAGCATTCAAACAAGTGACTACACTAAGTAGTACAACTGTTAACAATATTAAATACTTTGGTGACATTATTATCTATCTGTCTCTATTATAACTATGATGATTATTAATTGATTGATTGATTGATTGAGTAAATTAATGAATGAATGACATCAAGTATTATATAGAGTTAGTTGATTGAGAGTGCAACCGGAAAAGGAGGTTAGAGGTCCTGATCAGGATGGTGTTGTCATTGACAACATACAAGGGTGATTGGTGGGAGGGAATCAATGGTTCAATATGGATTAAGTAAGTATACGAGGTGTCACAATGACTTAGTAGTAGTAGCAAGTGTGTGACAACATGAGTGTGTTGTTGACACGAATGACTCTACGCCAATCGACATATTGTTTATAACCCACGTGTATCTATATCACCACTCTACCTAACCAATCAGTTAGACTCGATAAGGCAATGATGTCACCTCCTAATATTTATCTGTATATAAATACACAACAATAGTAATTATCTGAATGAATGTACAAAGCTACCAATCATGTCGAGAAACTTGACTTCCAATTGTTATTGTCCAAGATTGTTGTTTGGACTTTGGTGAACTTGCAAGTGTGAATGAATGATGTGATTGGATGTTTGATTGATTAATTGATTGATTAGTGATAAACATACAAATATATACTTATACAATGGAGTCAATGGTTACTGATAAGACAGACTTGCAAGGATTGTTCACTGGCTTTATGACACAGTTGGAGGATGAGCATCAACTTAGACAAAGTATAAAGAACCATACTACTGTCATCGATATGGTAGATCGCAAGATGAGTCTACACCTACAGGCTGCACATACACAACGTAACTATCAATCACACTGCAATCCATTGTCATAGTTAGGCATGCCAACTAAACAACAACAACAACGACAACATTACAGATATCAAACAGTCGGCTCAACTACATGCCCAGTTGGTGGAGCTGGCAGGTGGAATGAAGGCACCATTTGAGGAGTTAAAGAAGCTGATCAGTCCATTCAACTATTACAAGTACAGAGAGCATTGGCGTAGACATCTGTCGCAGGTTGTCTTTTCTTTGGCATTCTCCTACTGGTTAGAGTCTGGCAAGTTGTTATCCATCGAAGTCATTCAATCACACATTGGTCTACAGCGTAAACAAGGCGAGAACACCATCACCATTGAGCTTGAGGATTATCTACTTGGCCTATGTGACATGACTAATGAGATGGTAAGACGTTGGAGTTTGATGGATAGACCGCGTCCAACATTGTACAGTACGTCCCTAACACGCCGCCAATCAATCAATTGACAGTCAAGATACTGCGTTAACTGTGTGATCAGACAGGACTATGAGACACCAATGGTTATATCAAAGTTTGTCAATGATCTGTATGCTGGATTCCGTGTACTCAATCTAAAGAATGACATACTCCGAAAGAGGTTCGACTCGATGAAGTACGATGTTAAGAAGCTTGAGGAGGTTGTCTATGACCTATCAGTTCGCAAGCTTGTAAGTCCAGTTGCCGCCACCAGTACTGGCACAACTGTGGCCAATCAGTAAAAGAGAAAGGACCTCATGGTGTTGCAGCCAGGACTGTCAACATTGATCAAACTCAACAAAGACATTGGTTATCATCAGGAAGGAAGGAATGACAAAGTATATGTTATATATTTGATTCAATAATTGCTTCGTTTATTGAACGACTGCGCCTGTCGTGAGAGGATCAAAAGCAACAGAGTTTACTTGGCGAAGGAGGTGAGGATATCGGAGTCTCCCTCGTGGGTAATGCTCATGACTGAGACTCTGAACTTCTTACCGCAACCGGTTCCGAGGTCGATGTTGTTACCGTTGTAGAGATGGACGTTGGTCTTGCTCAACATGGCGTAGTACTCAATCTCAGAACGACGGAGGGGTGGGCAGTTGTTGGAGATGAGGATCAGCTTGGACTTGCCGGATCTCAAGGTCTTGAGGGTGGACTTGTAGCCGAGCTGGGACTTGCCAGACTTCATGACCAAGGCCAACTTGGAGGAGATGTTCTCCTGGGACTTCTTCTGTATAATTGTTGCAGTTAAAGTGCAAGATAAGGTAGAAGCAGATGTTAGATATCAATGTTATGTATATGTTGGTTTGGTATGTTGTGCTGGCCTATCTCTCGATCAATCAATCGCCAAAGTCGTCAATGTGTAAGTCGTACATGTGATACCTCTGAATAGCTTGCATCAGATGCTCTTGTGTCAAAGTGTGCGAGACACTTGTGACACAGCGTTTATCTCTCCGACTTAGTAAAGCTGGACCTACAACATACACAATGAGATAGATCACTACAAGTTGACTAACACATATTGTGGAATGTCGAACGTTGTGTTGTGATTCAATCATCACTGTTTAAGTAGGTCGCTTTAAAACTAATCATCTTAAAGACAACTAGAGACTAATCTGATTGATTCGTTTCATGAACGTCTTAACAAGCTATTCCTAAGTGGGATGTATGTATGGTTATGGGTATAGTCAACTAACCTGCTTCTTTGTGGACACCATCTTTGAAACTCGTATAATATGTTTCTACGGCGCAAAACAATTATCTCTGTGAATGAACGAATGGCTCAGCGATGCGTGCTCTCATGTCAAGGCACAGACCCGCGAGCTAGACAGGATTGATGTGTGAAACATGTGAGTGAAAATAAAATAATTCAAAAAAATCAAAAAGAAAACAATTAAACACGAACGATACTTTATCAAAATTATGAAATGCCCGGGCTTTAATTTCCAATTTTATTGATAGATTGGTCAATGATCGTTTGGAGTGGTATTACTATATTCGGATTATTAGGTGTAGATATTGTATTTATTGCGTCTACTTTGAAGTTATTCTTTGATTGAATGGTTGAATGATTGACTACACAAGTTTGTAAATGATTTGTAATTGTTTGGTTTCAGTTTTTTACTTTGTTTGGTGTTTCGAAGCTGGGTTGCGCACGAACGACAGCTATGTCAAATCAGTTTCAGTGTGTTGTTGTTCATTACCCAACTCACTTAATGTGTATGTATCTCTACCAAACTCCACTCTCTCTATCCTCTCTCTTTGATTGGAATGATGAAAAACACAGACCTGATCAGACACAATATTGGTGATAAAAACGTGGTTATTTTCTGAACAATCAATCAACTCTATATCTATCTCTTTCTCTATCTCTATCCCTTGCATTACCTATTTATTCAACTCATTCTAACAAACATCCATCCTTCCAATTGTATAGTATAGATCACACATTGTGCATGCCAACGACTATGACCACTCCAATTTGTAATAATAATAAAATAAAGATAACAATGTCTATTCCAAAACAATCAACATTCTCCTTCCACTTTGTTCGTTGACTTGTCACTCGCTCGTTGATGTGTTTGATCAATAAGTTGAAAGATCTTCATTGATCGCAGATAGAGACGAGCTTGGAATGAACTACCAAGGCTCCACCAGGCAAAAGACCGTTCCAGAACGGTCACAGTTTTGTCAAAATGTCAAGTTATGGATTTGATGGACTGATCAATCAAACAACTTTGTTTGTTCCAATTCCATTCGTCTGTTGGAAGGTAACATATGACCTTCCCCGAAGATCTGACTAACATCGATGATCAACCAGCCCTTAATCTAGAATGGAAGGGGCACCAAGTATTTATATCCTTGACAGTATCATTCATCAAGTCATCAAACAATCAAACAATCAATCAAACAATCAATTAATCAAACAATCAATCAATCAAAGTATATACTAGGATTTCCTTCCAAAAACTAATCAATCAATCAATATAATGTCTACTCCAACTCTTTACTATGTAAGTGGAGCAACATCATTGAGTTGCTGCTGGACACCATGTCTAACTCACACCTCTAACACATCACAATACAATAGTTTGATGCCCGTGCCCGTGCTGAGACCTCTAGACTGTTGTTCGTCTATTCTGGTGCCAAGTTCAATGACAACAGATCAGGATTCCCTTTGGCTGAGGATGTACGTGCAAAGACACCATTCGGTCAAGTTCCATTCTTGGAGGATGGCGAGACACAGTTGGCTCAATCAATTGCCATTGAGAGCTATCTGGCCGAGAAGTTCCAACTAGCTGGTAGCTCACCAACTGAGCGTGCTGAGGTCCTACAGTTTGCCTTGGTACCAGGTGACTTCTATGCTCCATACTTTGCCGCCAAGGATGATGCCGCCAACCTCAAGTTCAAGGAGGAGACTGCACCAAAGTTCTTTAGCAAGTTGGAGGCCGTTCTGATCAAGAAGGGTGGCGAGCACTTTGTTGGCAACAAGTTGACCTGGGCTGATATTAGCATCTTTAACTTGATCGACTTCTTCCACCAACAGCACAGCAACCTAGTGGCAGCCGTCCTTCCATTCCCAACATTGTTAGCCTTCCACAAGAGAGTGGCGGCCATCCCTCAGTTTGCCGAGTACCTTAAGAACAGACCAATTACCAGACTCTAAACATACTTACAGTATATGTAAATAATATATAATAAAGTGACAACCAATCAAACAGTAATACTTGGCTCAGAATGATGTAGTGTCACCCTACCTTAACATAAGTGGTGGCGAGTGTGGCAGTGGCCATCTTGTGTGAGTGAGACGACAACTCGTCTGATTGAATGGGGGCTGGGGTCTACAGGGGAGGAGGGAGGACGTTTATTGTTGAGCTATTTCAAGACTACAATAGATGGCTACTACGATTGAGTATTATAATTATTATATAAGGTTATTGGATGGAGTGTCAACATTGGTCACCAACCAATAATGGTGTTTGAGGGAGAGAGGGGAGAGGAGAGAAGAGAACGGGTGCGCGAAGTGTAGTCCACTAATGGATCATAAGACAGTCTACCACCGCTTACCTTCTTGGAGGAGGTGGAGCGGCAACCTTGGCTGGGAGCTTGGGTGGTGGAGCAGAGCCAGGTGGAGGAGCGGCAACCTTGGCCGCGAGCTTGGGAGGTGGACCAGCTGGCTTTTTCTGTTCAAGTGTCAATGTTTGATTGATTGAGTTAGTGAATGAGTGAGAATGATGGGATGATTGACAAACTTACCATGCCTGGGAGGGCCATTGGTGGAGCTCCAGTTGAAGGAGGTGGAGCACCCATGCCTGGACGTGGACCGCCTGGAGGTGGGGCACCCATACCTGGACGGGGACCGCCGGGGGGTGGAGCACCCATGCCTGGACGAGGACCGCCTGGCATACCCATGGGAGCACCTCCTGGACGTGGGCCGCCTGGGGCAGCACCACCGCCGCCAGACTTGTCTGGCGCAAGAATTGGACTTGAACGATCATTGGTCTTTGCCTTCTTCAACTTTGCTCCCTTGTGGATTGAGCTCAGCAAGGCGTTTCTCTCGGATGTCTTGGGAGGTGGGGCGACTGGTGCTGGGGGAGGTGGTGGACCTGGAGGGGGTGGGGGACCTCCTGGGCCTCTAGCCATCAAACCTGGCGGTGCTGCTACTTTTCCTCTAGTTGCCATTATTATTGTTTACAAATTGATTGATTGGGGAATGAGTGAGAGAGTTGATGATGATGATGTGTTAAATATTATACAAGTTACACAAGGTAGATAAATAAATAAATAAATAATATACACAAGTAAGTAAGAGATGGGGATGTAGTAGTTGGGAAGTTGGAAGTTATGTATTTAATGTTAACAACATTCAACTCGAGGTAGTGCTTTGACTGAATGAATTGGATTTGAGTGTTAATGAGGAGACTCTTCCAAAACTTACTTGATCAATATCTCTTTTGTGGAGTACTTTGGGCATTCTTGTCTACCTTTACCCCCTTGACAGCCATCCATCCAACCATCCAGCCTGGCACCAGAGTAGACCCACCCAACCACACACGTGATGGTTCGAGTAGGGCCACCCATCACATCTTATTAAATATTTAATTTCGATTTAAAGTGAGACCAATGGTAGGTCGATCCACCAACAACACCATTGGACACAGCAGCGTTATCATAAACTGTTTTGTGTGTGGTTGATGGTGGTGTTGGAAATTTGCGACTCTGATTGATGGACACATGATCCAAATCATTCAATCTCTCTTGAACGATCGAATGAATGAAGATAGAGACACGTCAGTGTTGTTGTGTACATCTCTACATTTAATAACATATGCTGGTGAATGAATGAATGGTTGAGTGAAATGAATGATGGATGAATGAGCGAACAACAACCACTCCTGGAGTGAGCGACGATGACGATGGTAGCCCTTGCTATAGGTCATCATTCCGCAGTCATTCGACAGATTGAACATCCAAAGCAGTGTTCCTCTCCATTGGGCGGATGTTTCAAGTTGCAGGAGCACTTGGGCAGCTTGTCCACAGCCGTCCTCACCATCTCTGTCGATTTCTTATGGCAGTCATCGCAGAAGTGTGTCTTTCCCCAACAGAAGAACACTGACATATTGCAACAGAACTTGCATTTGTACTCACTGTTGTCAGTCAAGTTGATTGATTCATTGTTAGTCAGTAAGCTTCATACTTTGATTGTGTTATTGTGTACATACACGTAGTCTTTTCCATGTTTGGCACAGTTGTCCTTTCCATCACAACTGCATCCTCCACAGAGTAGCTCCTCTGCCTTGAAGTCTACGTTATTCTCTCCACATGCTTTCTCTCCTCCAAAGTATGGTTTCTAAGTTTGTGTGGTGTCCACAGGGACAAGGCATTAGGAAACTAATGATGATGTTGATTGAATGTGCATCCACTGACTTACCTTGCACTTATAGCATGGGAAGTATGAGAATCTGTCCATGACATATTGTTCCTCTTTCTTGTACCATCGACATTTGGGATCTTTCAGATCGACGTCCTTCTCTGGTCCAAACTGGGTCAGTCGTTGTAGTCCCTTAGTTTTGATCGTGTTGTACAGATCCAGGAGTGGATCCAGCTCAGCCTTCAGAGCGACATGCTTTGTAAGCTCCTGACAAAGAGCACACTTCATGAATCCAAATGATATCCTAGACGAGTTCCACTTGTTTACCAGCTTCTTCTGGCAGCACTCATAGTGGAACTAAATGATTGATTGATTGATTGATTGATTGATCGTGATGGTTAGCGTGTTGACGTGTCAAAGTGGCACACAAGATTGACTTACAATGTGCCCACATTCAAGCTTTATACATGGTGCAGCGGCCAAGTCTTCAATCCAACATATATTACAAAAGTCAGTTGATATCTAATTGTTGACGATTGATTGATTGGATTGATTGAATGAGTGTTAGTCATTGATTGGAACTATTCCAAACATGTTTGTTCTATCACCAGGTGGACAAGCGTGCGTGATCCATACCTGATGCGATTTCTGACATTCCTCTACCAGACATGGAAGACAGTTGGATTCATTGTCGATACCATTGCAATGATGCCCGCATGGAAGTGTCTTCTTGCACGACTTTTGGAACTTGAGCGTGCATTCGTACAGAGAGCAGATCACACTGTTGTTTGATCCGCTGATGGTGTTTTGACAGAAGCGACAATGCTTGGACGTTGAGTACGTCTTGTACTGATCGCAAGTGAAGCCCAGGTGATAAGGTGTCAGCCTACAGTCTGCGCAGAACACAATCGAGCATGCAGGACACCTAAGCCTGCACTTATTCTTATGTTCGATCGCTTCCTTAGTCAATTCCTTTCCATTCTCATCCTGAGTGATTGATTGAGAAAGTGAGTGAGCGAGGGAGTGCACTTGAAGCATCGTGGTGCTCAATGTATCAAGGGATACCTACAAACTCCTTGTTTGTGCCTTGCAGACTGCGGTCATTGATCTTCTCAAAGAGGAGACTACATGATGGACACTTGCTGTAGTTCTGGTTCATGGTGACGACCTCCTCGAGTGAGGCAGAGTGATAGCGTGAGTACTCTTGCTCGTCCAGTACCTCTGTGATGTCTCCATGTGACAATGTGAGACTACACTTCTGGCATGTAATCCTTGACACCTCCTTCTTGTCCACCCAGCACATGACGTGTAGCTTCAGACACGGCCTACAATATACATGACCACATGCCTTAATAATGGTATGATGATGGTTAGTTGGCTGAGCTCACTAACTCAATCAACTGGCTCATTCCACGTTAACTTACATCGAGAAATACAACATTCTCATGCTCCGCCTGGATGTTGTTACAGCAGATGCAGTTGAGAACAAAGTCAGGCTGCTTGTCATGCATCTCTTGTTCATGAGAGAGTCGCTCTTGTTCGAGCATCTCCAGTACCAGTCGCTTGTTCTCCTCTTCCTCTTGGGCCAACTTCTCTTTCCTCTCGTCCTCTTGCAGTTGCTTTGCCAACATCAGTGATTTATATTCATCGTCCAACTCTCCATTGCTCATCAGTACAAAGCTTGTTGGTCTACTTGATCCATCATCTGAAACATATACATCTGTGTATCCAATATTATCTCTGTCTCCATTATCATTGTTGTTATTGTTGTTATTGAGGTTGTTGTTATGGTGATGATCATCTTCATAGTCATCTTCGTCTGAGGTGTCTACATTGTGTGCATTTCCAATCACATTGCCAAAGAGATATGAGTTGAGCAATCCAACAAATGAGTTATTATTATTGTTGTTGTTGTTATTGCTCGTTGATGTTGTTGAAGTTGTTGATGTCATTGGTGTCTTTGGTGTCTTTGGTGTACTTGGTGTTGATGTTGTAGTTGTTGTCGTTGTTGTTGTGGTTGTTGGAGGTAGAGGTGTAGGTGTGGCGGTAGAGGTAGTAGTGGTCGATGTTGTTGGTGTCATTGGATGGTCATTATATTTGTCGATGTTATAGTGATCATGGTCTACATTATAGTCGCCCTCATCATCATAGTCCGATGCATCGACGTCAATCATTGGCTGATCAACATCTATCACATTGTTATGATGTTGACCTTCCTCCTCTTGAAACTTCAATGCCTGCTGATGATCACTCTCCTCCAAACAATGATTATAATGATCTTGAAACATCGTTGCATGAATAGATCTTGAGCACATTGGACATTGTATTGAGTAATCTGTTTCAGTGTCCATCTTCCTCTTCTTCTTCTTCTTCTTCTTCTTCTTCTTCTTCTTCTTCTTCTTATACACAGGCTATATACACTATACTATATATATTCTATATTTATTAATATAACTATATATATATATATTACTATTACATTACAACTAAACAAACAAATAAAAGATAAATGAAGGGGTCGGATTCACCACATCCCCCACTCCACTACTTCCAAAAAGTTAAGATTAAAGTTGATATCATTGATGACTTGGCAGGGCAAGATTAGATAGGAATGGTAATTTGGTAAGATATACTTATTGTTTTTTTATTCTTTCAATCATATGTAATCGAAAGGAGGAGAATAAGAGAAGCCATGATCTATTGATCGGCCTCCATGGTGACCATCCACCCACTCAAGATTGTGGAATGTAGATGTTCATTCATTCACATCATTCATTTAGAGAGGGTGATGGAACATCATTCATCTACTTACTTATTCCCGTTCGAACTCACCACCCTTACTTACTTACTTAACCTAACACACACACATTGAACTGACAAGGTGTCACTCATTTAAATCCAATCTCACTGTCAATCAGATTAAGTATGGTTAAATAAGTGGCGCATTAATGTCACCATTATCCATCGAGTGCCCAGAGTAGATAAACATCTTAATTCATTCATTCATTCATTCATTATTATTATTCTGTCTTTCTTTCATTATTAATTATACTCACTCTGGTAAGTAATACTACCATACAACCAATTCAAACAATGTGATTGTTATTTTGAATATTACAGATAATAGTCAATGGAATATTCATTCAACCGACAATCCTTAAATTACAAACGATTATTATTTGAACCAATCAATTGTTGACTCATTACCACGTACATTATCACTCGAGTGACTTCGGAAACAGAGGGTACCCTCCATTCTCCATTCATTGTATTTGACAACCACATCACCATTGTTCCATTCATGGTTTATTAACCCCAATGTCGGGGTCTTTGTCGATTAAGGGTATCTCTATTCTATGATCATCGCCCAATTTGTCGAACATGTTTCGATTATTATTTGTTTATTTGTTTGTTCAATCTTGTGAGTGTGAGTGTGAGTGTTTGAAGGTCCCAATGTGGTAAACCCCAATGGACCAATGACCTTTGCCATCAGTAACACATACCCTACCACATCATAACAACATACATACCGTCAAGATGGACCACCACTTTAGTGTGTGTGTGTGTGTGTGTGTTGAACTACCTAAGTAGGTGGTTGTGGTTGTGGCAGTGGCAGTATGTGGTGTGTTGTTGGTAGGGTGACTGTTTGTTCAGGTCTCAGCTCAGCTCACTCATCTCCAACAACATCTTCAACATCATCATCATCATTGTCTAATGATGGCAGAGCATGAGCTGAGCGTTTCATCTCGTTCAGTTCAATGTCTTGTGTTGTTCAAGCATTGCACTAATGAGTGCTCGTTATTAACTCAATTATAATCAATCACAGACACATATACATACACACACATAGCCACATCCGCTTATCCATCCAATCAATCAATCCAAGCAAGCAAGCTAGCAAGCTACCAACATTACTTTACTGTTCTGGACGCAGTCAGTTTAGTCAGTCAGTCAGTCAGTCAGTTCAAGATCAGCTCAGATAACCTCTCTCTATTTGTCGAACGAACGACATTCCCCTGCTGCCCTGAATACTCAACGAGTCAACTCCATCGACTTCATCAACGACAACGACAACAAAAACTACAACAACAACAACAACAATGCGATCATTCAATATACTGTTACTTGCACTGCTCTCAATATTGGTATTGTTGCCAGGCTCTCAATTGAGTTTGGCATCATTCCATGCATACAACGTAACAACCGGTTGCTCAATGAATGGACTGAATTCCAGTTATATCGTCCCTCAGAACTTCACGCCAGTACGTCCAAGCCCGCCCCTAATGACCGGAACCTGCCAACTCAATCATCCCGAGTACGACACACTGGCCTGCTGCACATATGAACAATCCGTCGTGCTCAAGAACAACATGGCCATTGGCGCAACGATCTTTGGTCGCTGTCCAGCATGTCTCTACAACATCTGGGACCTGTGGTGCGCGTCCTCGTGCAGCCCCTACCAGTCCACATTCATGGTGCCGCGCAACATCTCGCACCCCAACTCCACCGAGCCCAAGATCGAATCGGTCTACTTCTACCTCGATCCCGTCTACGCACAAGGTCTCTACAACAGTTGTCGCGACGTCGACTCCAATGGGGCTGGTCCAATCGGCCAGTTCTACACAGACTATGTCGCCTTCTTCAATGGAATCTTTGGTGCCAATCCAGCCTTCAAGATATACTTCATGTTCGACGCTGACATTGGCTACACCAACACCATCGAACCTTGTGCTGCCTCCTGTTCATGTGACAGCTGTCGTGACAGCTGTGTCGAGAACAACTTCAATGGACTCAAGTTCAACTACACCTTACCATCGACCGAGTTGTTTAACATGGAGTATGTATCCAATCACCAACTCTAGGACTCGCCCTCGCCATTATACTGACACACTTATCCAACAGGATACCTTTCCTCTCAATTTGGTTCATCTACTCTTACGTTGCATTCATTATGACTGTATGCTTCGTCCTTTCGATCTACACTTTGGTCGGCTACTTCAAGCTCACTCAGAGAATGCTTTGGATGAATCTAGTGTATGTGATGATTGTTTTGTACATCTCTGCTCTGATCTTCCCCTTCGCCGCCGGCGTCGATCCCGAGTCCAGCAGCAAGTGCACATACAAGATGCCCTATGGACACAATTGGAATTGTGTTCTGGCTATATTCGTCGCGATCTACACTCCTCTGATCTGCATTCTCTTTGCTGTGATGGCCTTGGTTCTATACTTTGGCCGCGACCGCCTCGCCCCACCCCAACAATACATGGAGGAGGAGATGCCCATCCGTGCCGGCTCCATCCAATACAATGACAGCGATCACTACAACAACATGTCCGATGACATTGGCATCACCGACCCCTCGTTGGTCCAGCGAGCATTCTTTGTCTATGGCAAGTTCATCACTCGTTTCCCCAAGTTGGTTATCTTGGTCTGCATCCTCTTTGCCGCCATCTGTGCTGTTGGCATCCTCCGTTTGGACATTGAGCAGGATCCAGTCAAGCTATGGGCCTCACCAGACAGCCGTGCAGTCAAGGAGAAGGCCTACTTTGATAGCAACTTTGGACCATTCTATCGTACCGAACAACTGATCATCACTCTTCGCAATGATTCCTATGGTCAGGTGATGAGCCAGGATTCACTGGTGGCACTGATCAACCTGGAGTTGGATCTCATGAGCCTAACCACAACATACAATGGCCAGCCTCTCGCACTCTCCGACCTTTGTTTCCAGCCCACTCACAAGGGCTGTCTCGTCGAGTCCGTCACCAGCTTATGGCAAAGAAACATCGCAAAGTTGGAAAGCCAGGACGTTTATGATTACTACCAATACTGTCTGGGCAATCTGTTTGGCCCCGACTGTATGGACCTCATTGGCACGCCAGTCAACCCATCCGTCGTGCTCGGTGGCTGGAGCAACCACAGCTCATTCAACGCCACGGCCTTTGTCACCACATTCCTTCTCAACAACAAACCCGCCAACCTATCAGCCAACGAGGCGTGGGAGGCTGTCTGGCTCAACACTGTCAAGAGCTACAACGATAACGACACGTATCCATTCCGCATCGCCTACTCGTCTGAGCGCTCTGTCCAGGACGAGCTTGCCCGCGAGGGTGAGGCCGACATCCCAACCATCTTGATCTCCTACTCGGTGATGTTCCTCTACGTCTCTCTCGCTCTTGGAAAGTACTACCCGCTTCCCAGCAGATGGCTATCACTTGTTGTCAACTCTCGCTTCACTCTTGGTCTGTGTGGCATCATCATTGTCGCCCTCTCCATCCTCATCTCTGTGGGCATCTGCAGCATACTTGGTATCAAGGCCACGATGATCATCTCTGAGGTGATACCATTCCTTGTGCTGGCCATTGGTGTGGACAACATCTTCATTCTCGTCAACACATTTGAGTCTCTACACGTCTCCAAGTACGATTCACAAGCCAGGATAATTGTTCGCCCTTCACCAGAGCAGACACTTGCCCGCGCCCTCGCCAAGGTCGGTCCATCAATGGCCCTGGCCTCCCTCTCAGAGTCATTGGCATTCTTGTTGGGCACGCTCACAAAGATGCCCGCCGTCGTCGCATTCTCCTTCTACGCCTCGGTCGCAATCTTCTTTGATTTCCTCCTGCAGATCAGTGCCTTTGCCGTTCTCCTGGTTATTGACACTAAGCGCAGCGAGTCAAGACGCATAGATTGCCTCCCATGCATCCCGTTGGACGATGGCGAGAACTCTGACGACGATGAGCCCGAGAAACAGCCACTCATCGACGGCCAACCCGACGTCTTTAGCGATGTCACATACAAGAAGAAGGACGGATTGCTCAAGTTCCTCTTTAAGGAGTACTATGCACCATTCCTCGTACACCCCGTCGTAAAGGTAGTGGTCATCTTCTTCTTTGTAGGTCTGACACTGTTCAGCATCTCCAACACATTCAAACTCGAACTTGGTCTCGACCAGAGCGTGGCATTGCCCAAAGACAGCTACCTTCAGGACTACTTTGCGGAGCTGGCCGAGCGTCTCGAGGTGGGCCCACCATTCTACATCGTGATCCAGGGCAACTATGACTACAGCAACATCACCGACCAGAACTACCTCTGTGCCGAGGGTGGCTGCAACTCCAACTCAATCATCAACACGTTCAATCAGGCACCCTACGTCTTCTCTGGCATTGCCTCATGGCTGGACGACTACATCTCATGGTCACAGAACCCTAGTTGCTGCCAGATGTACCCGGACGGAAGCTACTGCACTGACCCCACCAACATCACATGTGTATCATGCTCCAATGGACAAACAGGTCGCCCCAACCCAGAAACCTTTGTCAGTTTCCTTCCAATCTTCTTGAACTTTGTCAACACTGCACAATGTCCAGTTGCCGGTCTTGCCTACCAAAGTGACACCAACCTCCAATCAGGCCAGATTGTCGCCTCCCGCTTCGACGGCTATCACACCACTCTAAGGACCCAGACAGACTTTATCAATGTAAGTTCAATCAATGTTCTGTGATTGATTGATAGATTGGTCGCCCACATACTAACTCATCATCAATCACTAGGCCCTCAAGTCAGCATACTGGGTAGCGGATCACTCTGACCTCAATGTGTTTGTTTACTCAGTGTTCTATGTCTACTTTGAGCAATACCTTAACATTGTGTCGATCGCTATCATGGACATTCTGTTGGCACTTGGAGGTGTATTGGTCGTTTGCCTACTCTTGTTGGCAAATCCAATCGTATCATTGATTGTGGTACTCTGTGTAGGTCTGGTATCAATCGACCTGCTTGGTATAATGGCACTGTGGAATGTCAACCTTAATGCCGTGTCCGTTGTCAATGTCGTCATGGCCATTGGTATCTCGATCGAGTTCTGTGTACACATTGCTCACACCTTTATCCGTGCGCCCAAACTTCTATCACGCGATGAAAAGGCCAAGTTTGCCATCTCCGAAGTTGGTGCATCCATTGTCAGTGGTATCTTCATTACCAAGTTGCTTGGAGTTGTCGTTCTTGGATTCTCAAAGTATGTAACATCTTCACTCATTCAATCAATCATTCAATCAATAGGACTGACCAACTCTATCCAATCATTACCATATCCAGCTCCGAGATATTCCAGGTGTACTACTTCCGCATGTACATCTCTATTGTTATTCTTGGTGGACTACATGGATTGGTACTTCTACCAGTATTACTCAGTCTTTTTGGTACAGACATGTTGAGCTTCTCCTCATGCTTCAAGTCCAAGAAACAACCACAAATTGATCCAATACCAATTATTTAATCGATCAATCCCAACAACAAACTATTAAATATAATAATATTGAGATCATAGTAAGTTGATTGATTGATTGATTAGTCACTGACCCATGCATGGTTACTGCGACTGTACCCGTCGAGGACAGTCAACGCGTTGACCCTACACGAACCAAGTGATGGAGTATCCCCTGAAATGTCGACAACAATTGATTTATTGGGCGATGTATACAGATTGACTTCCCGAAATTGTCGACAACATCTGAAATGTCCCTGGTATTTACGAATGGGCAACGTTGTCTACCTCAACACCAACATCATCTTTGGGCACTATTGTGCCCCTTCACAATACCAAAGGGTTCTATATATCAACACTACTGATGCAAGGCCTTATTATGGAGGTGAGACAATTCCGGTATCAAGTTGTATTTTCAAATAACATAATTATGTTATGTATCCTCTTTCTCCTCATTCCATTTGGGATTGTGGTTGATGGGTATAGGGTAGGGTAAGGGTCATTGAATTGGTAAACTTGTTGATCTTGAAAGTATTCCAAATGGATGGAGTACATCACAGTCACCCGACCGACAAGACACACCTTTATGGTATCTAGCCTGACTGACCCCATATTTAGAGTTGAGTTGATGAACACATTTATTTGATTGATCCAACGGCATCAATAAGTCTCACATACTCAAGTAATCGAAACATGACGATACCGTGCTCCTAGATGGAGGACCAAGATAAAAATAAACACACAAAGATAATAACCTAAATTAGGCGTTTACTATCACCTTGTGCCCAATCAACTCACAACAAACAAACACTAGGTCATGCAACCTTTTGCAAAAAACCCACTTGCTTCCACCCATCCACATCTCCAACACAACATAAAGGTGCAAATGGGCAACAATGTGTCGTCCAATCTCAAATCATCTAATTTTGCTCTTGATTGAAACACCCCCAATCACCACCATCGTGACGTCTCTCTGATCGAGCGTTATGCCCTAGGCTACAGGCGCTGTCACCTACCCCTGAGGGAATCCCTCAACGCATATGGCTAGATAGCATTAGATCCAACTAGATTTGGACACTTCTTGAATGCCCCGCCCATGATGGCATCAAGTCAATCACGTACATGTCTGGATTTACAATCTTAATAATGTTGGTGGTCCTGTGAGTGGGAGTACACCATCAACCAACAAAGGAAGCAACGAACTCTACACACTGGGGTGTGTGAGTTAGTATGAGTATATATTGGTTGCGTGCCGTGTTGGTGATGTTGTTGTTGCAATATGCCCCAACATCTACTGAACCTCTTCCCCGACAATCAGTCAGTCAGTCAGTCGTCTGCCATTCCATCTACAACAACCAGAGATAGGATAGCAATCTATACCATTCCATTCTATCATTCATTCCCCACATCACGTCACATGTCCAGCCCCCACCAGTCTGTCCTTCGTCCAATTGTATCAATCTATTATAAATAGTAGTAGACCGTCCTCATTCTTCATTTATCCAATCATTCATCATTCAATCAATCATATTATATAACTTCAACCACACACGCTCACCCTCTCTGACACCTCATCAATCATGTTACCAACTTTATCAGTATCAACCAATGCAACAACCGAAGAGGTTGATCAATGCAATGTCTTTGTGAAGTTCCTTCCAAGTGAATATACTGAGAAGGGTATGATTCCACCAATCACTCAAACTCCCCTACCAATCATTCAAATATACTAACTTTAATAATAATTATTAAATAGAATTGTATAACTTATTTGATCATTGTGGTCAAATAGTAAATACAAAGGTGATGGTTAATACAAAGACTGGACAAAGTCTTGGATATGGCTTTGTAAGGTTCTCTTCACCGACCGAGGCCTCAGACGCCATCCAAAGAATGAATAGATACCAACTAGGCAACAAGACATTGTTGTGCAAATTGTCCAAACCAATACAAATCGCCAACATTTCGACCGACTCTTTGAGTGGCCAACCCAGTGTCGAGGACCAAGAGATTGGTGAACCATGTCCAACTATATTCCTTCGTGTACTCTCCCCTACTATTACCAACGCACAACTTAGAGCTGCTTTTGAACGATTCGGTGAGATCATCGAGTGCCAAGTACACACCAATCCCATCTCTGGCAAGTCCAAGCGTTCTGGCATGGTACGCTACGCATCCACAGAAGAGGCAACCTATGCACTCGAGCGAATGAAGAATACCATGCTTCTTGGAGATACTCCATTGATTGGTATGTACCCCTCCACCCCCACCCATACCCTGGAATGATTCCAGATATTTATCAAACATGAATACTAACCTTTTAATTTGATTGAATAGTTAAATATGGAAAGGTCCTCTACTCACCAAGAGACTCATCTTCCACCTCTTCCTCCTCTTCCTCTTTTTCCTCAGTCTCCGCCTCCGCTTTTTCCACAACTTCCGCCTCTTCTCCATCTACTTTTTCCTCTCCTTCCTCCGCGCTCTCCCCAAACATTCGAGGCCACAGCCTTGATATCTCCGCTGTATCCCCATCCATCCACTCCCAACAACATCAACATCAACACTCACCTCTTCAATCACCACCTCCTCAACCTCCAACCCAAATAGTATACATGTACCCTTCCACAATTGACCAATCTGCGCCAGTCCACGCCACCTCACCATCGCCATACTACATTCAACATCCGCATCAACATCCAGCAGCCATACCAATGGTCTACGGAGGCATGCCAGCCGGTACTATGGCCGCATATGGCCATGAGAACTATGGTCCACACTATGTGGCACCTTATGACTCTCCGCCTCGTGCCGCGCCAGCAGTATCATACGCATCGGCCTATCCATCATACCACCACTCGCATCACTACTATCATCATCACCAACAAACATCAACGCCAGCATCCTACTATCCAATGACCTCAATGGAGAGTCATCAAGCATCCAACGATAACGCCACACTTGTAGTCACATGCCAAAGTGAAGTCAACTTCTCCGATTTATACAAAGCATTCTCCAAATATGGCTCGCTCCAGAGCTTAAAGGTATGTTTATCGCGCGTGCGTGCGAGCCACTCTTGATCGATCGATCGATTGATTGATTGAATGAATGAGTTCATTGTTACTGACTTGTGCCCATACCATCAGATACAGAAGGGCCAGGACAATGCCAGAGGAGTCACACACTGTCTAATAAGCTATGTGGATCCGGACGATGCTATCAACGCCAAGCACTTCCTGAATGGCAGTGACATTGGTGACCAGTGCGTCCATGTTGAGCATATGACTGGCGTTGCAGGCGTCGAGTCTCTCTTGTGTAATTAGAATAAACAACGCGGTGCCGCCAAAAAAGGGTGCGCACTTCGTTGTCCCAAGCCGATCGATCGGCTTCCAATCCTTTTTTTCCTTCCCAATACATCTTGTTCGTACCTTGATGTGATGTTATGTTGTTGAAGTTGAGATGGAAGGTGGAGTTATGGAGCCAAAGAGAATGATAGCATGGTCCCAATCAGCCCAATGATCTATTGTTGCCTCCTGTGCACTTGTTGTTGTTGTTGTTGTTGCTCTTGTTCTCGCCTCTTGACTGTGACTCATTGTTGTTGCCGTTGTTGCCATTGTCCAACTGCATGATCTGACTGGACATCATCCAGTTTAGTACCAACTCCTTGGGAAGTGATTGAAGGAGACGATCGCGTGCCTCCAGTTTATAATTCAAATCGACAATCTCACTCTCTTTCGTCTCTATCTTGTCCCTGAGGACGTAATTATTGTTAGAACTTGAACCCTCATCACGATCAATCAATCATGCATACCTCAGAGAATGTATCTCATTGTGAAGTCTATCCAATGTATCAACGAATCTTGATTGCTTCTGATGATATTGTAATTCATATTGTGCTCTTAGTAGGAAGTTTGATAATCTTCTCCTACTCATATCTTCCAAAATCTTATCTCTATCATATTCCTCGTCATCTTCGTCGTCATCCTCATCTTCATCTTCTTCATCTTCGTCATCTTGATCAACATTGACAATATCACGAGAAGTAGGAGTACGGACATTCCTCAAATTGCATAGAATTGAACAATCGTCTTCATCATCTTCATCATCACCATTGTCATCATCATCCAACCATTTCTCCTCATTCTCCATCAAGCTCAATAGTTCACCAAAGCCATATCTTCCATGTTCTGCTTCACTATTACTGCTTGTTGTGCTTGTTGTGCTAGTGCTCGTACTTGGAGTACCATTTGTATTGGTAGTTGTTGTACTTGGTAATGTTGGACTTGGTAATGTTGGACTTGTTGTGCTCGTTGTTGTAGTTGTACTTGTAGATGTGGTAGAGGTAGTCAGAGGTGTCGCATTAATGTGATGATGGTTATGATTCATATTTGCCAATGTATTATTCTTTGTTTGATATGTTGTCCTATTATTACTATTACTCCGACTACTACTTGTCGTAGTAGTACTACTACTCTCCTTCTCTATTGCCACCTTTGGTCTCTTCTTTATGCGTTCTCCAGTGCCATCAGTAGAATGCATAGCAACATTATCCATACTACTTATAGGTATCATGTATATTCTATCTATATGTTATTACTATCTATTACATGTATCTATCTATGTTTGTTTGGTTGGTTGAGTGGTGTGTGTTTGTTTGAGGGGTGGACAGGATGTCAATGTTCATTCATTCTTTCATTCATTGAAGTAGACATGGTGGGGGTGAAGTTACTCACAGGCAAAGACGCGCCAACACCTGTAGACACAGGGGAGAACTTTCATTCATTCATTCATACAAACAAAAAAATCAACATCTCGACTTCATTTTCATCATCAACCATCACTATCTCTTTCATTCTTATCACATCACATCTATATCCTATCTCTTTATATATATCTATATTGTATTGTATTGTATTGTATTTGTTATAAGATCAAGTAGCTAGCCACTCAAACATGGATAACGAACAGATGAAGAGTCAGAGGAAGAAGGAGTTGGAGGATATGAAGAAGAGGATTGCATTGTTGAAGGAACAGAAGAGTGCATTGGCCGAACAGAAAAAGACGACTCCAACTGGTACTACAAGTCCACCAACTGCAACTGCCACCTCATCATCTCCACCAATGCCATCTAGCAGCAACAACAACAACAACATGGACTTTGACTCGTTGATGAACTCCATTCATCAGATCGTCCCATCTGCGCCACCACCTACCCTCAACGACGACTCTGCCAAGCATGATAATCAAGCCGCACCAGTCAAGTCGTACGTATCCACTTCCTCACTTCATTATCATCATCGTGCTGGCGAGTGTACTGACCAGACCCATCAATCAATCGATCAATCATTCAATCATAGATACAAGCCTGTGCTCACCATCCAGAGCTTGGTAATTGACATTGATATCCCACCAAAGGAGATACCAATGTACTCAAAGGGAACACAGACTCTTGAGCCTGAGCCTCTTAGCGAGGAGGATGCTGCCAAGCTAGCACTCAATACACCAACCAAGGCAAAGTTGAAGTATCAACCAACATTCCTCCAGCAACAGCAGCAACAGCAACAGTTGTCATCCTCCAATCAAGGAACAGATACTCCCATTGAACCTGTCGAGCAGCCAGACTTCAATGAGCCACAGATCGAGGGTAAGACATGCTTGCTTGTGCACGATAGATCACTCACCCATTCAATCATACTGACATGTGTTAACGCGATACAGAGCTTAGCGAGCATGATAAGAACAACATCTTGGAGTCAGACTCATTCAGATCATTCTTCTCAAGGTCATCCAAGGTCATTGAGAGAGCACTCTACTTGGATGATTCAATTGATATTCTGGTTGACTACACCAAGTCTGATGAAGTGTAAGTGAGATTACTTTGATTGATTGGTTGATGGACTGGATTGGAGAAGAGTACTGATCATTTATGTATCACGATATAGAACCAAGTCATCGACAAAGGAATTGACACTTGTTGGCACATTGGCTGATGAGAGATGGACCAAGCATAGATCAGTCACCGACATCAATTGGTCACCAAAGCACCCAGAACTTGTTGTAACATCATACTCTTCGAATGAAGCTGGCTCACACGATCCCGATGGAGTTGTACTGGTTTGGTCAGTTAACAACTACTTCCAGAAGCCAGAGTATACATTTAATTGTCAGGTATGTATGCCCAATCATTCAATCAGTCAAACCATCAATCATACATGATGTACTCATTCAACCTCACATGATATAGTCCCCTGTGATGACAACATTCTTCTCAAGATTCCATCATACATTGATCGTTGGAGGAACTTATTCAGGTCAGATCGTGGTATGGGATACACGTTCAAAGTCGACACCAGTGCAGAGAACTCCATTGTCATCAATCGGACACACTCATCCAGTGTACAGCATGTCGGTGGTGGGATCGGCCAACGCAAACAGCTTGGTCTCCATATCGACCGATGGCAAGCTATGCAGCTGGAGTCTTGAGAACTTGTCACAGCCCATCGAAACACTGGACTTGAACTCGCGCAACAACACCAACATCTCGACTACGGCCTCGATCGCCGTCACGTCGCTGGTGTTCCCCGAGAGCGAGATGAACTCATTCTACGTCGGCACAGAGGAGGGCGTCATCTATCAGGCGCAGCGTCATGGCGCCAAGGCCGGCGTCAACGAGCGATTCAAGGGACACTATGGCCCCATCACCTCTGTCGACTTCCATCCCTCGCGCGGCAGCACAGACTTCTCCAACCTGTTCCTGTCCTCATCCACCGACTGGACTTGCAAGTTGTGGTCGACCAACAAGACAGAGACACCAATCTATTCATTCGAGGACTACGTCGAGTATGTGTACGATGCACGATGGTCGCCTACGGCACCATCGATCTTTGCTACGGGTGACGGAAGTGGACAGCTGTCTCTGTGGGATCTCAACGAGGAGACAGAGGCGCCCATCTTCCGCATCAAGCCCTCGTCACGCTCGCTCAACAGGATCTCTTGGTCTGCTGATGGCAAGCGTCTGTTGGCTGGTGACAGCGCCGGTTCGTTGTATCTCTACGACTCTAGCCAGTTCGCCTCGCCACAGCCCGATGATTGGAACCGTTTCGGCGATGTTGTAAATAAGCTCACGTCCAAGCCACTCAGTCTGCAACAAGACTCGCCAACCTTGGGCCACGCCGACCACGAATAGACACACCGCAACAACAGCCCAAAAGGTTAGACTTACATCCATCATCCATCAACCAAAAGAGTGCGCTCGCGTTCACATAACAGTCGTCGACGTTCGAACCAATAATAAACCAATCGATCAATAATGTTCTAATCATGCACGCGAGCATGCATGTGTATGTATTGCTATAATTCAGGAGACTTGAGGGTTTCCAGCACCTGTTTAGTTGCCGGCCATCTTGCCCTTGAGAAGGGTGACAAAGGTCTCGATCTTGGTGCGCACGGCCTGATCCAGCTTCTTCTTGGTCAAGTCGTGCTCAAAGATGGCAAAGACCTTCTGAGTGTAGGGCGCAATGAGGTCGAGCTTTGTCGAGTACAGCGCCTGGATGGCGTTGAACACAGCGCCAATCTCCTCCTCGTCCTTCTTGACGGGCAGGCGAGCAAAGAGCAGTGGTAGCACCTCGCCCAGTGGGACGTTCTGAGCATTGCTTGCGATTAATCTACAGATGCAACCCAGTGCGTTGTCAATGACCTCAGGCTCCTCGTTGTCGTTCAAAAGTGGAGCGACGCCCTGGAGAATGGCCATGTAGTGCTCGCTCTTGGTGGTGACGCATGACGATGCCAGGATTCCCAAAAGGAAGCATGACACTCTCCTGACTTGTGCTGACTCGTCCTTGAGGCCCTTGATACCCATTGGGTACAGTCTATCAAAGAGGTTGCTGCAGTCTGTCTCAATGACCTTGATAATCTCGGCAACAGTTCCAACGACACATGCTCTAATCGAATGATGATTGGTTGGTTTCTGTTTGTGTGGAAATTGATTGATTGATTGGTTAGTCTATGCTTGAGTGGGCATCGCGATCGATCAGTCCATGGATTGTACTTACGGTCAACTTTAGAAGATGGACAAGAGCGTTGTCGATATATGATTTAAACATGGGGCCAGAGACTGTGGCAATCTCAATCATGCATTCGGATGCGTAATGCAAGAGTGAGTAGTCGGGATCCTCATCGTCCTCCTCGTCGAGATCCTCCTCGGCGTGATCATCCTCATCATCCTCGTCCTCCTCGTCCTGTGGACCGGTGGTGTCGGCTTGGTTCGCGGTCTGGCAGTAGAGGTTGCCCATGACGACCTGCAGCACACCGCCACCAACCATCTCCAAGTATGGTGCGATGGCACCTGGACCCAACAGGGCAACGGTGTCGGCAATGCTGCCAAATGCTCTAGATACGACGCTCTTGTCCTTCTCATGGGACAGAATGTTACCGTAGGCCTGGAATGAGAAGTCCAGCAGCATGCGGACCTGCTCAGAGACGGCGGCGCCAAAGTCTCCCTTGGTCCACACAGGGTTGGGTGCAGGGAAGCATGTGTTGATTGAGACGGCCAAGCTCTGAAGGGTGATCAGAGACTCGAAACGGATATCCTCGTGGAAGTATGCCAGGAGTTGCTCGAGCGAGGTGATGACCTGGCCCGAGTATGGAAGGAATGATTGTGGCAGTGACACAGCGATCACTCCGATAGCGTGGATTGCTGCGCACTTCTCGTCGAGGAATGATGTCCTCACGCTGATGCTGGTGCCCAAGTCGTCCTCGTCATCCTCATCATCCTCATCATTGTCAATGCCATCGATATCGTTCTCTGTCTGTCTGTTGCTCTCGACACCGTCGTCCGACATGGACGACTTGATCAGCTGCTCCATGACGCCGGGCAGGAAGGAGGCAAGCTCCTCGCCAAAGTGCTCAAAGATTCTTGCGTAGAACTCGAATGTGGCCTCCTTGAGTTCAGAGCTGGGCAATGTGGTGATGCCATCATGTGCCAATGTCATCAGGTTGTGGATGATTGGACGGAACTTATCCTTGGGCACGGCCTTGACGAGCGAGCCAACGCACTCGGTGGCATTTGATCGCAACATGATCAGCTGTGGCTCCTTTGTGGCCAGGAGGTCCTTGATAACGTTGAGCACGCCGTCAAAGTATGGCTCAAAGTCCTGCTCAGCAGAGATGGCAATCGCGCAGATGGCCGACAGAGCAAACTCCTTGACCTGATTGTTGGGGCGCATCATCAGCTCGCCCAGCTTGTTCATGGTGATGGCGAGGATTGGCTGCAGATGCTCGCGCTCGAGGTTGGAGAGGAAATTCTCCAGGGCGAAGCAGCAGCGCAGAATGAAGTGGTCGTCTGGGTCCGACAGCGACTGGAAGATACGTGGGAAAATGACGTTGGCGTACTTGTATATCTCTGGGTTGACGTTCTCTGAGAGACGTGCCATGCACACACAGGCGTTCTGGCGCACAAGCTTGTCGGGGTCGTCCAGCGACTTGGAGATCAGTGTGACTACTTGCTCGATGTTGTCACGCATGTCCTCAGCGCATCCGTAGGACAGCTGCTGGATGATCATTGGTGCAGCCACACGCTTGGATCTGTCGGGACTGGCCACAAACTCGGCCAACACTGGCAGGATTGGATTGAATACCAGTCTAGCACTGAAGGCTTCGCCACAATGTCGCAGGGCGATTCCAGCAGACTCGTACAAGTGATCGTCTTCGAGCTCATCAGAGAGGTTGCAACCCTCTGCTGCCATAATATGGAAAAGCAATTGGAGCAATGGTTGGATGAGATTACTCTTCTTTAGTACCTTTGGTTTGCTACAAGTGATCATCATCATTTGGATTTGAATGTTAGTGATTGATTGAGTGATTGGAATCATTCCAGGTGTGATTTGAGCACATACTATTCGACCATTGTTCTCAAGAACTCGATGGCTGCTGTACGAATGGTTGGATCAATGTTGGAGTTGGATCCAACCTCGAGTGAGAACTTGCAAATCAATGGAAGTTGTTGGACAATGTCTGATGAATGCTGTGGAATGATGATGAGTGCGTTAGTGATGCACTCTGAGGCCAAGCCGCTAGGACAGCCAAGGATCCTTGACAACTTACACTCTCAGCCAGGTCATCAAACACTTCGTATGATGTGATGACGTCGTCCTCCAACATGTTCTCGATTGAAATCTTGATGACGTCGATCATTGGAGGCAGCAGATTGATCAACTTGCCAATGATGTCGGGCTGTCCGCTAAAGGCCATCATGGCCGAGCCAACTGCGCGAAGGGCGCTCGAACGCACACGGATGACCGGGTCGATCAGACCGTTGGACATGATGACGACCATCTCCTCGGTGTGCTTGGCGACCGACACGCAGTTGTTGGAGAGCAGCGTGTCAAAGAAGTGCATCTGTAGCTCGCGTGTCGCGGGGTCCTGCTGCGACGAGAGCTGGTAGAGGAAGGGTGTGAACTGCTTCCATTGTGCGACGGGCAACTCCACGCGACATATAATGATCATGATCTCTGCGATCGATCTCCTAATTGTAAAATCTGTCTCCTTGTTAAACAGATCGATCATCAAATTCTTTACAGCCTCTCTATTCTGGCTTGACAACTTTGTCCAATGTACTACCAACTTCTTTCTCATCAATACTGCTGCTACATGTTTGATCTACGAATGATTGATTGATTGAGCGGGTCAGTCATTGAGCGAGCGAGTCTGATGGAATGAGTGATCGATTGAGAGAGTTAATGTGTGTACCTCTTTGAATTGTGAGCTCTGAATGTGATGTGCCAGGATTAGGGAGGCATTTGGGTTCTTGAGCAGAGTGTTCAACTTGGCTGTGGCCATTTGAACAGTGTTGGTGTCTGGCTGAAGGATGCCTCTGAGATTCTGCTCGACCTCATTGATTTGTTCTTGTGATGCCATTATAGATATATAATGTATATATATGTACGTATTACAAGATGTTGGATAACGGAGATGATGGTTGTGAGTGTTCAACTACGATGAAACGAGACTCGTTCGTTTTGTTTGTTTCAAAAAAGAACTCAAAGTAGCTCTGAGTGGACAATTATTCATTTTTTCTCTTCACACAACACTTTGTTGTTGTCGTGGCGCCAACTTGTTAACAAGTTGCTCTGTCTTCATGGCTAGCCATGTACATTGTTAAAGGAGTTAGTAGTATAAATGTTGACCACGGTTGTTATTATTCATTCAATCACTTCAATCATTCAATCATTCAATCATTCATTCATTCATTCATCATTCATTACAACAAATATCAAAGAATAAGTTCTTCTTGTTGTGAGACACTTGATGATTGTGTTGAAGAAGGAGAGATCAGACATCCGATTTGAATCACCCAACACAAACAAACAAACAGACAAGATGTCACATTACTTGACACCTTTTTGCACTGCCTTTTTGTCTTGTCCTCTAGGTTTACTGATTGTTCAAATAAATGACTTGTGATCTTGTGTGTCTTGTTATTTCCAGATGGTAAAAGATAGCTCGACAATCTCCAACAACAAGCACCAAAACAGACACACACTACATTGTTCTTGACTTCAAGAACCAAAGAGTTAACAGTCCACTCATCATTTTAAAAGGATAACCTCGTGTCGGGGAGATGCGCGCTCAGTCAAATTAATCAAAGATAACAAAGAATCTGATTAGGAGGTATGTATGGGAGTATGGACTCATGTCCTGCCCCATGTGCAATCATGATCCCATCCCTCCGCACCCCCTCATGCTGCAAGTCCAAACACACCGTATCACTGGGCCTCCTCATACCTAGAGTCGACCAAATCAAATCAAAAACTTGTTTGGAAATATCGCGTTTGTGGACCATTTGAAGGTATCGTCTAACCCCCCGCTCATGATCCTCAAAAACACTCGTCTTCATACTGATTAACCATGAGCTGGAGACAGGACCAAGGGCACTGGTAGCCCTGTCCATTGATCAGCTGATCACTTCAACTCGGTCATTGACTTATTTGCTAGCTATATCTATCAGTGTTATTATTGTCGTTCATCCATCATTATCCACCTATCACATCATTGATATAACTTTGTTAAACATAGCTATCCGTTGCTGTTTGTTGCTGCTGTTTGAATAGTTGACTTAATAAAACAGCCTTCCGCTGACAGGACACCAGAAGGGACCTTTTAATTAAAAAGTCGTCGCTACACTTAAACACTTCACTTCACTTCACTCTCATCTCATCTCATCACATATCTGCAACCAATCAATCAAACAAACAACCAATCATTCATCCACAACCAACCAATATCTAACTAATCAATCACTCACATACACTGGTAATACAAGTATAGTTTTAATCAAAACTGCTTATAATCTACCATCCATCATCAATCAAMAACAACCATCATCCACACTCATACATCGCATCACAATCACAATCACACATAAATATATTTATATTATATAACAAAACAGAAACATGAATAACATCAAACTGGTAGTACTAGGTGCCGGATCAGTTGGCAAGGTATGTGTAACAAACATTACTTCAGCTCCAGGTCCACACATGTCCTGACCCCTCACCCCATGGAACTATTCCAATCACACAGAGTTCTTTGACAATTCGTTATGTCCACAACGAGTTTATTGATAGAGTATGATATCCAATCAATCTCATGTACATATCCAGTCCAACTAATCAATCAAAATCAATCAAATTATAGTATGACCCAACCATTGAGGATATGTACCGCAAGGTTGTAGAGATAAGTGGTGATCACTTTATGCTGGAGATCATGGATACGGCTGGAACAGAGACCTTTTTGGCAATGAGAGACCTATATATTAGGAATGGCCAAGCATTTATGTTGGTCTATAGTATAACTTCAAAGTCATCATTCTTGGACCTCGAGTCTGTAAAGGATCAGATATTGCGTGTAAAGGATATGCCAGTGTCCAAGCTGCCCATACTGGTGATTGGCAACAAATCGGATCTGGAGAATGAGCGTCAAGTACAGTCTCAGGAAGCCGAGAAGGCCTGTGCCAAGTGGGGACTGCCCTTCATGGAGACCAGTGCCAAGACCAACATGAACATCTCCTCCGCCTTTGAGTGTTTGGTACGCGAGATGCAAAAGAAGACACTCGGCAAGAATAAGTCCTCCAAGAAGAAGGCAAACTTCTGTCACATTTGCTAAGCTTCATTGTCCATTGGTCAATTGTCCATCACCTGCCACTCATATATGGCACTCTCCCCCAACCTCCCCAACATCAATATCACTCCACAACTATATCTATTTATTATTATATTATATCCATCATATATACATATATATCATTCATCGTCTATTAGAGTGATGATGGTCATTATCATCATCATCAGCTCTCAACCAACCCCCAGCCATCCACTTCAACCCAGCACAAAGGAGTCCATTCACATGACTTCCAAATATATTATCCAGTATACCATCCACCGCCACCAACATCCAAGAAGTAGATGAGACCTGAGTGTACATCATCGTCTGTTTTAAAACCCTACCTTCCAAATATATAAACAAATATATCCTATCCACTCAATCAAATACATTTGATCAATATGGGAGTTTGCTCAACAGGTGGTGATTGGGTTTGCAAACACACTAGTCAATCAAATAATGTCTGGACACTTTGGAAGGAATGATTGAATGGGTTCAAACAATAGGTTGTAGATCTATTTAGGTGCATAGAAATTGAAGGTTCCATTGTGTTGATGATGGTTGTTGGGTTTGTACAGACGTGGGGCAAAGGTGTTGGAAGTAGGGTAAGAGGGGCTGGCGCAGGACATGGGTATGGTTGAGTTGAGTTGGGTGTTGAGTATTGGTCGGTCCAAGTTTGTTTGTTTGTTGTTGTTATCGGCACTGCCATTGTGCATTGACGCTGCAGCGCTGATTGATGTCCAATAAATAATCCATTATTAATAGATGTTTGAGTTGCCAGAGGTCTTCTTTAACCACATGATGAGGTTCGACCTCTCGCCACTAGTCAGTCCATTGGCACCATGACGGTGGGATCCAACGTGAAGCAGTGCAGTGCCAGGCTTGTGCTGGAACTCAAAGTACTCTTGGTGGGTGTCGGGCTGGTCCAGGATGCCACGGAAGTACAGTGAGCCGCCAGTAAACTGGCGACCGAGACACAGATTCAGCGTGACGTCCGACTCGTCGTAGTGGAAGCCCAGCTCCTTGTCCTTGTCAATCTTGTACTGTACGATGAATGCGTGGTGACTGTCCAGCTCGGCGCCGTTGTATCTTGGGTAGAGGACCGAGGTGAATGGACGCAGATATTGGTCGCGGAACTGAGTAAAGAACGATGTGAAGCCAATCTCGTCCAGGATAACGCCGTAGTTGTTCATTGAGTTTGGTCTGGCCGTAGGCAGGCCGCTGTTTCTAAAGTTATCTATTTCGTTTAACAACTTCCTGATCGTCGCGAAGTGGTTGTGAAAGAGGAGGATTGTCAGCGATTGGTTGATTGATTGATTGAGTGAATGTTAGTGACATGTCACTTACAGACAGAAGTCCTCCTTGAAGACCTTTAGTGAGTAGATTCCAGTGTCTGTGAGCTTGGTGATGGCTGTGAAGAGGGATGCAGGGTCTTGGGTCTTTGAGTATTCACGGGATGCGCCAAGGAAGGCCTCATCCAGGAAGTCCTCGGTGAATGTAAACAGCTCTGGGTGAAGTGGACGGTAGTTGGTCTTGATCAAATTGATCCTTTCCTCGCGCATGCGCAACAGCTTCTGAATTTGTTGTTGATGTCCATTGTCTGTGCAGTCGTCGGGGCATTGATCATTGTGATTGTGATTGTGATTGTTGTTGTGATTGTTGTTGTGATTGTGAGTGTGATTGTGGTTGCTGTGAATGATTGATTGTTCGTGTTGGTCGTCTGCTTGCTCGGGTTGGGTAGTTGTCTTGATGATGTCGTCGGCGTTGGAGTCGTTGGTGTCGGCCAGGTCGTCACACTCGAGCTCTACACTCTCTTCATCGTCATCGTCATCATGGTTGTGCTCACAATCGTGCTCATTCTCAAAGTCTTGCTCGTCGTCCAAATCATCATCACCGTCGTCCTCTGTATCAGACAGCAGGTCGATCTCTGACACGATAGTATATGTCTTTGAGCTATCAATCTCGTATAGCTCATCTGATCCACTGCTGCTGCCACTGCGACTGCCACTTGCTCCACTGCCACTGCCACCATAATCATAATCATTGTCCAGGTTGTTGTCGTCATTGATTGTAACATTGCGGGTAAAGCTGATGTTGTTGATATTGTTGAGATTGTTGTTGTTGTTGTCTGATACAATGGGATGAGGTACAACCTCATCACCATTTGGGTCGACCATTATAAGTCCACCCTCAGTCTGGAACAATCTCTCCAATATCTGCTTGGTAGCATACTTCTTTGCCAGCCTGAGCTCTCCATAGCCCAAGCTGACAAAGTGTACAACCTCTTCCTGTGTCGCAATCATCATACTAAATCTAACTAACTGTCTCTCTCTCCTCTCACTAAACTAACTAACTAATTAACTAACTAACTTTGAATGAATATATATATAATCTGCTGTGAATGTAATGTATTATACTACTTCTTAAGATGACATATATTATTATCTGTATCTGTATATATTATTATTATTATTTGTTTGTTTGTTTTGAATTTGATAACAACGATGAACTCTATTAATGTTGTTGTTGGGTACAAACACAAAGGTTGGATGTAATTGAGAAGTTGAGATGATGTCCAAGTCGATCGAATTCTCAACAAAGGACACACACGTAATGTTATATATAAATATCCTTCTGTTGATTGACGATGACAAAGGTCTTGCTTGTTGATTGATGTTTGTTTGGTTGTCGAGAAGAATTGAGGAACAGAACAAACAAACAAAGAACACCCAACATTTCACTTCTGTTCTTGTTTGGACGTTTTCAAAAATAAAATAAAATTGGAAAGAAACTGGTTGACCTCCAATCATTGAGTGTGGTGTGTCTTACAATCCAACCCATCTACTCTTTCATTCCTTCATTTATCAATATTGTACATGTAATTAATTAATTAATCCATGTTTAATATATTGTTGACCAAGTAATAATAAGTTGATTGAACCAACAAAAGTTAAAAAGAAAAGAAATCAATCAAGCATGCTTTACCTCAATGGAATAATACCATACCAACTTAGCCGTCGATTTTTTGGTACAAATAACTTGACTTGTGAACTATCGATTGTTTGAAGAAAGGTCCACCCTAGGGATTATTGATTGATTAATGATGGATGCAGGACAAACCTGAACCCATCAACCTCACATCGAATTGTTCGATTCTGGAACCCGAAGAATGTTGACCCACACCACAGTTTATTTTTGGAACGTTGTCCGGAATCGATGTTACAAACATCTCAATCTTTGGAATAGGTGGAATATGATCATCACGACACTTCTATATATCCTTTCATTCATTCATACTTTATTATTTAATTTCAACAAACATATATATATATATAATTAACAAATAAGAAAATGGCAACAACAACAACTGATGGGAATGAACTTCCCTTCCATGACAGGTGGCATGATGGTGAAAGTATGTACATACTCACTCAATCAATCAATCAATCTATCATACATACTGATTGTAACAACACAGGAATGATCCAGGATATTATGGGAGTTAGGGAGATTATTGAGCCAAAGAGTACATTCTTTAGACCATTCTTGACGGTACAAATGCAAGAGTTTGTACCAATGCTTCATTATATGTTCTTGGGTACACTTGATGAACGTGGTCGTCCATGGGCCAGCATGATCACCGGTACACCAGGCTTCATGTCCTCTCCCCACGATCGTTCATTGATCATAAACACCGCCAACAACAATCCTCGTGATCCATTATTCCACAACTTGGTACATGGTCAGCGATTCAATGGAGACAAGTCGACTTACTGGGGTGGTGTAGCACTTGATCTATCAAACAGACGTCGCAACAAGATGAATGGAACGATCGACTTCTCGCAAGACAATGTACAACTCAATCAACAAAATGGCACCATTCAACTTAATCTTACGGTCGAACAATCAATGGGCAACTGTCCAAAGTACATCACAATCAGGCGTGTTAGAGAGGGACCAATCAGTGGGGCATCGACTGGGTCCACAGCCCAAGCCTCATCATCATCTTCTTCCTCATCATCTCACTTGTATACCGAGCTTGGGGACCAGGCCAAGCTACCAGACGCGGCAGCGGCGATGATAAAGAATGCAGACACATTGTTTATAGCATCAAGAAATATTGATGATTCCTTGGCAGCGCAGACCAATGGAATGGATTGTAATCATCGAGGAGGTAGTCCTGGATTCGTAAAGTTGCTCCCACCTGATGAGACCAGTGACAAGTACGTGGTGCTCATCCCAGACTACAGCGGCAACAGATTCTTCAACACACTTGGCAACCTACATAATGATCCACGTGCAGGACTGATGTTTGTTGACTTTGAGCATGGCTCTACACTTCATCTAACAGGTCGCAGCACTGTACTACAAGGCGAGGCTTCACTGGCTGTGTATCCACGCATTCAAAGAACCATTCGCATGGAGGTTGATGCATACTTATTGTGTGATCGTGTACTCCCCTTCACATTCGACACGATCGAGGCGTCGCCATACAGCCCAGCCGTGTCCTCCAAGGTAGTTGGTCAAAAGACGTCCAACATGGCTACGCTTAAATCGATCGTCAAGCTCTCGCCTGATGTCTCATCATTCTACTTCCAGACCACATCGCCCATCACCTACAAGGCAGGTCAGTATGCCATATTCGACTTTGGTCAATTCAGTCCAGGATACAAACACATGGACTCTTCCAATCCCAAGAGTGTCAACGACGACTATGTCAGGACTTGGACCATATCCTCAGCGCTCTCATCAAAAGACTCCACAGACAATCACTTTGAAATCACGGTCAAGCATCAGCCTAATGGCGCTGTCTCATCATTACTTCATCGTCTTGAGCTCGGCACACATCAGATCACAGTGCCCCTGATGGGCTGTGAGGGCGAGTTCACCCTAGAGAGCACCCTTGATGGTATCGACCCTTCATCAACAGCCAAGTTGGCCATGTTTGCCGGTGGCATTGGTATAACTCCATTCCTTTCAATGATTCGTAGCATCACTCAATCATCGCAAGTCACACCACTGGACATCCACCTTATTGTATCAGGTCGCAAGCTTGTTGATTGTCTGCCATTGATACTCTCACCATTGTTGGAGTCGTCCAAATCATTGATAACACTCAACATAACATGCTTTGTAACAAGTAATGATGGTGATGGTGATGGTGATGCTGTCGACAATGATAAGATAACAATCAAAAGAGGAAGGATTACAGCAGATGCACTGCGGGACATTGTTCCAGATATTGCCGACAGACACTCACTACTTTGTGGACCAGAGGCCTTCATGAATGGCGTCCAATCACTACTACTCAACACTTTCAACATCAAAGCCAGCAACATACATAAGGAGGAGTTCAAGTATTAATTAAACAAACAAGTGTACATTATTATTGATAATATCTCTTTGATGGATGTCCACTGTCTGTCTTTTATTCTTTCATTCATTCATTCAATCATTGATACATTGGTTCGCAGCAGGAGGGGAAAGGGGAAAGGGAGATGCGGTATCACCGCGCGCACAAGAAAGGGGGAGACAGAGGGTTTATCCACTCATGTAGGTGGATGGGTCGACCTTGGCAGGGAGGTCCTTGATGGAGACAACGAACTTGGCCTGAACCTGGTCCAAAACGGTCTGGTCCTCTGGTGTGGAGACAAAGGAGACGGCGAGACCCTTTGTTCCGAAACGACCGGCACGACCCACTCTGTGGAGGTAGGTGTCTGGGGACTCGGCCATATCGTAATTGATGACTACATTTACACGCTCGATATCGATACCTCTGCCAAAGATGTTGGTGGCAACCATCACTCTGCTCTCAAAGTTCTTGAATTTACGGTACTGCTCGATTCTCTCTGGCTGCTTGAGGTCACTGTGAATGCAGATCGAGGAGAAGTGGATGTCACTCAGGATCTGGTTCAGTGCCTGTGCTCTGGCGACAGACTTGACAAAGATGACCACCTGGTTGAAGTCCAAAGCATCCAACAGCTCGACCAACTTGGCGTTCTTCTCTTGCTCGTTCAGCTTGACAAAGTACTGCTGCAAGCCGTGGAGTGTAAGCTTGGAACCATCGTTAATGTAGATCTCGAATGGCTATATGAAAAAGTCTAAATGTTAGAGTGATGTCGACTTGACCTTGGCTTGACTTGACTTGTCTTGAGTACATACCACATGCATGAACTTCTTGCAGATGGCTCTGGTGGTCTCGGAGAGAGTGGCAGAGAACATCATCACTTGCTTGTTTGGTGGAGTCATCTTGAAGATCTTCTGGACGTCCTTACGCATGTCGAGCGACTCGAGCAACGAGTCACACTCATCCAGAACAAAGTGCTTGATGTTCTTAAGGTTGAGGATGCGGTCGTTGGCCAGCTGCAGGACACGGCCTGGGGTACCAATGATGATGTTTGGCTTCTTGTCTCTCAACATGTCCTTCTGGGTTGGCACTGGGATACCTCCGTAGATGACGGCGGTCTTGATCGTTGGCAAGTAGAAAGTGAAGCGATCAAACTCGTCACAGATCTGGTAGGCCAGCTCTCTTGTGTGGCAAAGGACCAAAGCGACAATCTTTGATTGATTGGAGTATTAGTTTGTTGTTCATGAAGGAGTGGCAGTTGGAGTTCAGTCCTCTGGCGCAGCAGCACATACGTTTGATGGGTTCTCCTCGATCTGGTGAAGGACAGACAGGACAAAGACGGCAGTCTTGCCCATACCGGACTTGGCTTGACAGATGATGTCGTGACCCAGGATGGCTTGGGGAATACACTCGTTCTGGACCTCGGATGGATGCTCGAAACCACAGTCTCCAATGACCTTGTCAAGCTCGGGCTTCAGGAGGAACTCTCTGAAGCCGCTGCTGTGCATGGCAACGTGGGTATCCCTATTGTTGTTTGAAGTTAAAATAGATAGATAAGGAGAGAGATGATAGGGAGAGTGAGGAGAAGGAAGAAAGAAAAAAGATAGAGGATAGAAGAGAAGAGAAAAGATAGAGCGAAGAGAGAGTAGTAGTAGTTGGTTTGTGTTGGATTGGATTGGATTAATAACCTTGATCGACTTGGTAGTCAGGGAGAGGTGAGGATAGAGTGTGTGATTATGATGATGATGTTGTGAAGACATCCATTATGCTAGATGGCCATCTTGTGTGTATGTGTGACTAGCTGGATGGAAGGATGTTGGCATGTCTCCACGATGCGTCCTATCCACCAAGCTTCCTTCCTTCCACACAGGATTGCCATTCTTTGTTTGGCCCAACCTGTCCCATTCAATGTCAATATTGTTTGTTTGTTTGTTTGTTGTTGAGTCATGTGATTGATTGTTGTGAAGTAGTTGTTGTTGGTGTTGATAATGTTGGTGCTGATGTTGTAGTTGGATGATGTGATGTTGGTGTTGTTGTTGTATAGTTGTTGTGTTGGTTGCTTGTGATTTGAGAGTTGTCGATAATGAACCAAATGACAGAACTCGAACAGCACCCAGGGGCCCAAGGCCATTGTGCACTGGACAGCTCGCTCGCACTGCACTTCATAGTCTTCATCATCTTCTTCTTCATCTTCTTCTTCTTCTTAATTCGCAGCAGCAAAGTGGAAGGGGAGAGAGAGAGAGGAGAGAGAGGAGAAAGATATAGAGTGAGTGGCATATGGATGCCATAGCGGACACGCGTCGGGAGAGTCGTCATGTCTTGGAGGGACATTGGACATTGGGAGGGAGATATACGATGGGATGATGGCCATTATTCTCCCACCTTCACACTTCCATTGACAGACAGCACACGCAGCCGCGGCTGGTGTGAGGAGTGAGAGAGGACTTGACACACAAGAGGCAATTGCAATAACCGGACGACCATTGATGGGGTAGTTGTTGAAGCGAGCGCGGGATTGTTTGATTGATTGATTGATTTAAGTAACTCACTTTGCAGAGATGTTCTTCTTGTCGCCATTGGTCTCCTGGACGACTTCCTCGTCACTGTCCTCGTACTCGGCAAGCTCGTTGATGTCTACTTCAGCAGTTGTTTCGGCCATTATTATTGATTGATTTATAAGTTGAGTTTGTTGAAGGTTGAAGTTTGATTGATTGTTTGAGTTTGTTGAAAGTTGTGAAGTTGATTGAGATAAATTCAACAATTGAATAATCACAAATTGAGTTGATGAAGATAGATTTGTAAAGTTAAATACAAAGCTTTGTTATGCTTATTATTATATATATATATTGAGTATTTGAGTGATTATATATAATATAAATATATAATACTTAAATATCTATCTGTTAATATATTAGAGTCGTGAGTATGAATGAATGAGTTGAGATGATGTGTGAGTTCATGTGTCCTCAAACTAACAACTAATTTTTTGTTTTGAACCAAACCCCAACTTCAACAACTACTTTGTCAGTAACGTTCACCAATCAGTTTTTCAAATTCGAGTTGTAGAATGTTAGACAGAACTAAACATATACCTAAATCAATTATAACATAATTATATTATTTCTTAACAAGAACAGATATCTTATATCTATTATCTATTTATTAATTATTTATTTGGAGATAAATTTGTGTATCTTTGTTTGATGATGCATCATGACACCCACTACTACTATCGGCACAATCATAATCTTGCATGAATACAACTGCGATCGATGTCAAATTCAATGAACGATGGTGATGTCAAGACCACTCCATCAGTGTTGTCAAACTAGATTTTTTTTATGATATCACTTTGGGCCGACCTTGGGGCATGACCTTGCTGTCATCGTGGTGTTGTGTTGTTGGATGAGAGAGAATGATATTTATTTGGATCAAACACACACAACTCCCCACTCTCTGTTGTGTCTTAATTACTCTCTCCCCTCTCTCTTTGTAAGATACGCGGCCTAGGGTCCAACAATCAACAACAACAAGGTTAGCATTCATTCATACATACATTCATTCATTCGGAGCTCAGAGAGATAAGACACATCTTTCAAGTGTCACCAAACAACATCATTATTCAATCATCAAGTCCATTCATTCATTCATTGTATCATCAGCCAATCAATCAACCAAGGTCGAGACCAACAAACTATATAACTATTTATAATATATATAAATGTCACAAACATCATTCAATTATAATCAACGAATGAGTGGTGCATTGCCTCCAAGACCACAGTCAGGTGTTCCACCTGGAGGTGCTGGAGCTGGAGGTGGAGGAGGTGGAGGACCTCCTTCAAATGCCCCACCAGCACCACCTACAGCCAACAATGTAAATACACCTCCCTCGACACCTCTGCCACCAAAACCTGCTGCTCTGAAACCTCGCGTCAACAAACCATTGCCACAGGCACCAATCAGTGGCCAATCCACTGGCACAACAACTCCAACTACATCAACAACCTCAACATCAACAACAACAGCGAATCCAACTCCAACCCCAACTCCTACCTCAACTCCAACTCCAACTCCAACATCAACAAACGTGCCACCAAGCACTCCACTGCCAAAACCACCACTGCGCAGAGATAACGCACCAAACACAAGTAGTGGAACACTTCCTCCACCATATCCACCATCATCGCCACCTCAACAGGTCAACCGAATGTCAATGATGGGCGTTGGAAACATCAGTTCAGGAAACTTATCGACTTCCGCGCCGGTCCAAGGAGGCGGAAAGCCACCCATAGTTGTTGCATCCTCTGTTGCATCACCTCCCATCCTTCCAAGCAGTCCACCTCCATCATCTGTGTCGCTGATCACTGCGACACCTGACAAGTCTGCGAGCATCAGCACCAGCACTAGCACCAGCTCGGACTCACTCAACTTTGAGAAGGTGTCGTTGACATCCGAGGGCGGAAAGGACAGCCCAAGCGCGCAGACCATCGCTCAGAGTCTTGTCGCGTACAACTCGCGTCTGGAAGAGGACAGGAGCGAGACTTCGCCTGACACTGAGCGCGAGGGCGCCTCTGATGAGAAGCGCTCCATCTTCAAGAAGTTCCCACATCAGTGGGCCATTGGCAAGCTGGAGAAGGACTCCTCACAGAAGAAGGAGGAGAAGGAGCGCAAGGAGATCGAGAAGAAGGAGGAAAAGGAGCGCAAGGAAAAGGAAAAGGCCGAGAAGAAGGAGCGAAAGGAGCGCGAGAGGAAGGAGAAGGACATGGCCAAGGAGAAGGAGAAGGATCATAAGGACAGGATGCTGGGCCGTTCAGCCAGCTCGATCACCGCCAAGCTGAAGCATGCTACACTCACTCGAAATGCGCGCATTGAGGACGACTCCTCGCCAAGCAGCAACTCACCAGTAATGCTCGGCCACAACAACAACGTCGGCGGCAACAACAGCAACAGCAACAGCGTGCTGAGCTCACCAGCCAGCTCGTTCACATCGATATCGTCACTGTCAAATGTCGTCGACACTGGATTCACACCCGGCTCCTCGCCGCCCTCCTCACACTCACACATTGGCAGCGGCCTGGGTGGCGCTTCAGCAAGTGACAGCGCTATACGTTCGGGCGCCACGCAACTGGACACCAGTCGCGGTTTGATGACCTGGGGCTCAGGTTCCTACGGCAAACTGGGCTTCAAGCCCGAGAAGGACAGTCAGAACACACCGGAGCGTCTACCAAACTTCCAGACCTCAGACATCTGTTCCATCTCATGTGGCAGCTACTACTCTGCCATGTTGACAGAGAATGGCGATGTCTACATGTGGGGTCGCGGCTCCGTCAAGAACCCACCCGTCCCAACCCTAGGCAATGGCACGCTTGATGGTATGTTTGGGCATGATTGATTGATTGATTGACCAGTCGCAGTGACGCTAACATGTATCTTCTTACCCATCAATCCAGATCAAATGACACCACAAAAGGTGGAGATACTGTCTGAAGTCGTTGTGATATCAATTGGATTCTATCACTCTGCTGCACTCAAGTCCAATGGAGAGTTGCTCACATGGGGCGTTGGCGAGGATGGACAACTTGGACACGGCGACACACTCAATCAACCGGTACCCAAGGTTGTCCAAGCCATGAGCTCACATTGGGTCACACAAGTATGCTGTGGTGAGAAGCACACCATTTGTCTAACTAGTAAGTTGTTGCCTCCTCCACGCACAACTCTATTGATCACTCACTAATACAACAACAACAACAACAACAACAGAGAATGGAAAGGTGTTTACATGGGGAACGAGCGAGTATGGTCAACTTGGACTTGGAGATACACAGAAGAATAGTACACCGATGATGGTCACATCATTGGACAAGTACCAGATCATTCAGATTGCTTGTGGTGCCACTCACAATGCTGTGTTGACTAATCAGCGCGAGGTCATCATCTTTGGAAATGGTGCTGCGATGGGCTCCGCCACAATCATCTCAGTGCCAACAATGATACCCTCACTCAAGAGTTTGAATATCGAGCGTCTGAGTTGTGGCCATTATTCGACCGCCGCTCTGACCGAGTGTGGAGATGTCTACACTTGGGGCACTGGCCAGGAGCTCGGCCACGGCCACACTGGCAACGAGTCGCAGCCCAAGCTGGTCGAGGCACTGCGCTCGCAGTCGGTGCGTCAAATCAGTTGTGGTGGCCGCCACATGGCCTTCCTCACAGACAGCGGCAAGATATATACCGCTGGTAAGGATTCATTTGGACAGCTTGGCCATGCTGCCGGCGACCAAAAGGTGCCCAAGAGGATCGATGCACTGCTCGGCAAGTTCGTAGCCATCAGCTGTGGTGAGAACCACAACACTGCACTGTTTGACACGACGCGCTCATTCCGCGACAAGTTTGGCTGGAAGCTACTCGAGACTCAGCGCACATTTGTCCGCTCTCTCAACATCCTTCGCTCAATCTTCCTCAACCCACTGATGATGCGTGATCGCGACATGCTGCCAGAGTACCTCAAGCATCTGCCATACGTCTTCCTCTCGGAGGAGGAGATCAAGACATTGTTTGGCCAGCTCGAGCGTGTCTACAACGTCAACTCGTCGCTGCTGCATCAGATGAACGCTCGTATGTTTGCCTGGTCTAACCGACGCAAGATCGGAGACATCCTGCTCAATCACTTCAAGTCCACCGACGTGCTGTACAACCAGTACATCGACCACATACCCTCGGCCATCCACATGCTGGACGGCATGCTCAAGAAGACCAGCTCGCCCATTGTCAACTACCTAAAGGAGTGCGAGCGTCTGGCTATGGACCGTCGCAAGGCCGAGACTGACGACGAGCAGAAGGAGTTCAACTTGCGAGCGCTACTGCTCGAGCCCCTGCTTGTCATGTCTCGCTTCCAGAAGAACATCAACGGCATGGTCAAGTACACCAAGAACACACACATCGACTATCAAGGCCTTGTCGACCTGGAGATGATGATTGAGGAGAAACTGGGCAAGGTGCAGACCATCGTCAACCTGGTCAACTCGCCCAACATGCTGGCCAACTACGTGGCGTCCCAGGCCAACATGTCGTCAGCCGAGTCGTCCGACTCCTCTTCATTCCTCAAGGAGTACGATGCCAAGATCGAGTCGCTACAGAACTTCAAGAAGACATGTCTCAAGCTCATCAAGTCGAGCAAGAAGTACTATGAGGTCGAGGTGGACTCGTTCAAGGAGCAGGGTCACTTTACAGAGAATCTGCTGCTGGCCAAGTCCAATCTGGAGACAGTTGTCGAGCCATCACTGGCCTCATCACTCGAGCACTTCTCTGCATCAATCAAGAAGGTCAACTACCTGCGCAGCGAGCTGTCGACACGCACCAACTCTGCCTTTTCGCAGCCACTGACCTCGGTCGTCGACGAGCTCGATGCATTCATTCCTCTCATTGTCGAGATGCGCAAGCGTGTCTTTGACTCTCACGTTGAGTACGATTCGGCCGTGAGCAAGCTATACTCGTTGGCCAAGAACGTGCAATCCAACGACAAGAAGGTTGTTGAGGCCGAGAAGGAGGTCGGTGGCCTGAAGAAGGCCCTGGACAAGACCGCGCACGAGTTTGATGGACTGTTCAAGGCTGGCACTCTGATACAGGCTCGTTCACTCAAGGTGTTCTACGCATGCATGAAGGCCCAGCAAGACTACTTTGAGCGTGGACTTCAGCGCTTCCAAGCTATGAAGCCCTCATTCGACGCGCTCGACAGTCACTTCCGTCAACAGAGCCGTGCCGCATGGTCCAAGTCTGTGTATGATCAGTTGATCGCCACGTTTGCCGAAGGCAAGGGTTCGAGAGACTCGGTAGCCGCGCCCGTTGCGCCCATTGGTGTGGACACTGGATCGTTCGAGGACGTTACAGCGGCAGTCACTACAGTCAAGAGCCAGGCAACTGTGGTCGATCCACACACCGTATTTGCTGAGCTCGAGTCCACTGACTGGCAATTCATTCTGGATCCACCAACAGCCAACGAGTTCACCGATACATTCATCGAGGAGCAGTATAATCAATTGGTATCGCTTCTTGCCTCCCCATCACTCCAGGTGGTGCAGTGCGTCGTGTCACCATGCAGCCAGGAAGAACAGGGACGTATCATCGACTCGATATCCAGGATCTTTGACAGCTTCAACAAGATTCGTCCAATCATCCAGACCGGCATTGAGGTTGAGGTGGCCGCCACCGCCAACTCGTCCACCCTGTTCCGTTCCAACACAACGGCCACCAAGCTGATGACTGCGTTCACCAAGATGAAGGGTATGTCCTATCTCACCAAGGTGATCACGCCACTCGTCAAGGAGGTCATTGCCAACCCCAACGGCTACGAGGTCGACCCGTCCAAGATCAACGAAGGAAGTGAGGAGCTGATGACCAACATGATGAGCTTGATCCACATGTCCGAGAAGTTCACCGATAATATCATCGACTCGTTGCACCAGCTGCCCGTGTCGTTGCGTGAGATATCAAAGTATCTTCAACAGGAGGTCGTCAAGAAGTTCCCAGACAACAAGCACTCGAGTGTTGGAGGCTTCATCTTTTTGCGATTCCTGTGTCCTGCAATCATTGCGCCGTTCACAGCAGGCTTGGTAGATGAAGCACCGGGCCCCGAGGCCTCCCGTGCCCTCGTGCTCATTGGAAAGGTGCTTCAAAACCTTGCCAACGGCATTGAGTTTGGACAGAAGGAGTCATTCATGCTTCCCGTCAACCGTTTCATCATTGGCAACCTCACCCGTCTTTATGAGTACTTTGACAAGTTGACCGATGTACCAGACTACCGCGCGGACTACGTACCATTGTCCTCGCAGGATGAGGTTCAAAAGGACATCAGGAACACACACATTGTCATTGTGAAGAACTTGCCCAAGGTCATCAAACAGTTGGCACTCTACAAGCAAAAGGACATCATTGGTCAACTTGCCAAGACACTTGTATTTTTAGGAGACCCATCAGCGTTGTACAAATAGACATCCATCAACCAATCATTCAATCACATCATCCAATCATCCACCAACCAAACAATCATTCAATCAATCATTCAAAAAATATAATCCAGCCATCAAACATTGGACTGATCAGTCCATGTCCAGCCACCATCCAGAATGTATTCATCCAATCAATCTGATCAAAGGTGTATATTAATAAACCATCCTGTACTCATACCAATCAATCAATCCAAACGAACATGAAGAGAGATGTATAATAGTTAAATAAATAAATAAATAAATATAATGTTATTGATTATTTGAATGTTCAGGTAGGGGTTTGATCCTCAGTTCTTAAGTTTAGGACAAGCATACCAATCCAATGTTGATGTCAAGGACATCAGATGGGTTCTGGTAGATAGATCCATCTGGTCTCATGACCTGGAAGCCCATCCAGACAGAGAGACCAAGATCAGTGTTCTTGCCATTTGCTCCAACTCCAACTTGGGCGGGCATGTTCTTGTCGTCAGTGATGATGATGGTGTAGCCAGTATCAACGCTGCACAGCGAGTTGGTGGTGTTGACACGGTAGAGGGCCCAGGTGCCAACGTCCACTGGTCCAGTTGGGAAGTAGTCAGCGGCTGGGAGCTCCATCTTCATTGAGCGGAAGGTATCCAAATCTGGGTAGAAGTCCATGGTGCAGACCATGGTTGGGGCATCCTTTCCAAGAGGAATGTAGACACCTCCGACCGTGATGCTGAAGTCTGGGTTCAATTGGACGATTCCAGAGTTCTCAGCAAAGTGCCATTGGCTGTAGCCAGCGAATGGGGTCATGTCAGAGGCACTGACAAAGAGGGCTTGCTTGTCGGCAGGGTAGGCAGAGTAGTATCCAAGTGGGCAGTCAGTGCATTTGATGTTCAAGTTGAAGTCAACGACCTGATCGGAAGTGTAGATGACCTTGCCATCCTTGGTGAACTTGAAGTTGTACCAGCCAGACATTCCGTTCACGATGTTCTTTCCGTTGGCACCGATTCCGACTTGCATTGGCATATCCATGTGCTCAGACAACTCGATGTTCATTCCCTCTAGAGGAGCACCGTGAGCCTCAATGGTTGAAGTCTTGAGTCTGTAGTACATCCATGTCTGTGGGTCAACTGGGCCGAATGGGACGTAGGCATCTGGCTTCAACTCCTTGTGGGGTGGGAATGAACCCTTGGACTTCTCGAGAACCATCTTGATCTCCAGGAATGGGGAGGTCTTTCCTGGTGGGATGAGAGTGCCAGAGAGAGCAATGAATTCACCGTCATTCTGGATGATGGCCTCATTCTGGTAGAAGTCCCACTCAATGATACCGCTTGGAATCTTAGAGTCACCAAAGAACATAGCATGACCTCCAGTACCTTGATAGTAAGTTGGATCTATCTTGGCAGCACTAACGTCTAAAAAGTATTATAATATATATATTAGTATGTTAGAGATCTCTTGTATCGCTCGTTCGATCTATGATTCATTACATACCAAAGACATCACAGTTGGGATCAATTTGAGCAGAGATAACTGCCAAAGATACAATCAAAAAAGTGAGTAATACCTTCATTTTTTTTGTTGTTTATGAACAGACAAAAATGGGTAAGAATAAATATTATTAGATAAGTCAACAGATAAATAAATTATTATATGTATATATTTGTTGTAGTTGTATTTGTTGTAGTTGTAATTGACTTTGAAGTCTATTTATATTATTGTTTGGATGTACCATGGTACCTAAAAGAGTAAATATGTATGATATTGTTTACTGGTGGAGCAGAGCTAAACATTTCCAAATCCGACAACTAGAGATCTAAACTATTGTCGGCACCATATCCAGTAGTCTAGACAAGTAAAATTCTCCAACTATTATCATATCATCGTGGTAGTCCACGAATCATTAATTGAATAATCAAGTGTGTGTTTGTGTGTATGTATATATGTGTGTATGAAAGTGGAAGTGTGTGTTTATTTGTGTTTGCATGCCAACTCATGAGTTTATGTATTTGAATGAGTGATACACAGTCTCCATGGTGTTGGTACGAATGAATGGAATGATAGGAGTAAACCCCTATAGATTGTTATTATAATATTGTGAGTGATTGGAAGACTACAACACATAATCTATAAACAACACAATTAATATATAAATAGGAAAAGATTAGAATAAGTGATTGATTTGTAATACTCACTCTTAACTTTAATAGTTATCTTAACTATATTAGTTTATTTAAAATAAACATACTGGTACCTATTCCTTATTGAAAGATAAATAACTATATGTTCGAAGAGAATAAACAATAAATATTAGTTTTGTTTTTTTTATTTATTGTGATTGATGTGAATGAGTGTGTATTGGACCAAAAACTTTGTGGAAGTGATGATTAAAATAAGAATACAGAAGTGGCCAATAATAACAATAAGAGTAATGTGTGGTGAGAGTTAAATCCATTGCTGATTGAGTCGTTTGTGGTCTGTCCGGTAGCAGTTGCCGTTAAGGAGAATGTGGTCGAAGTGGCCGCAGAAATTAGTACCTCCTTTCCATTGATCTCCACTGACAGATCATCCAAATAACTATCCCTGGAGACCACGTTAGTGTTGCTATAGAAGAAGGAAAGTCTGTTAGTCTGTCTGTCTGTCAGAATAAAGACCGAAGCACATACTTTAGCATATAGTTGTTGAATAATGGTATGAGTGCTTCGACATCTTTGCTTGAGAAGTTTGGAACAATTGTGAGCAAGAATCCTGTGCATTTTAAATCATAATGTAAATCTACTTTCCACTATATAAGCCAGGGGAAAATTATCATAATGTTGTGAGTGATTGTCGGTAAATAATTAAATCTATCCGTTGGTAGTTTGTTTGCTTACTTACATATACAACCACTGAATTATAATCATACTTGTCCACTCCAAAGACATAGGAATCCAAGAATGACTGGAGGTAGTAAAAGAAGTCTATGGCATAGTGAGACGTTACATTGATTGATAACCCCTTGGATATAGGAAGAGAGAGACCTGAGTTGTATTATTATTATTATTGGTTAGTATCGGGATTATTTAGTTTGTAGAGGTGAAAGAGAAGTCATACTTGTATTTGTTAAAGTTGCAAATGGTGGCGAATTGGGACGAGGAATAGTTATTGCTCTGGCATTCACACCAGGTGGAACTGAATGATTGACAAAGTCAGTCAAATAATTGTTGGAGTAGACAGGGCGGGACAACTCATAGATATATTTACATTTGACGGTGGAGGTGTAATAAACTTGGCTCAAGAGTTTGTAGTATTGCTCCGTGAGGTGGATGTAGCTATGATCCGCAGCAAAAGTGTATCCCTCTATGTTGTTGTAGACAAGGGTGAGGTCCATATTCGTGAACACTTCAATCAGGTCATATTTTAAAGTGCCATATATGGTCAGTTGGACACATCTAGGAAAGGTAATGTTGGGCCGACAATTGAATGTAAGTTTGACTGATTGATCCATTGTTGCATTGCCATAGATAAGGATCTGAACACCCAATGGTATGTTTAGGTTGGTTTGATTGAATGCGATAGTTGGACCATTGGTATTGTTGAAAGTATAGAGGAAATTCTCACAACCATCTGCCTCCCATCCTCCTATTATACAATTTGGATCGGCCAGGGCAACAGGGAATAATCCCAAGATCGTTAATATTAATAGTATTTGAATATTCATTATTATATCAAAGTAATATGATGAAATGATTAATAATTATGTTGATAGATTGATTGATCAACATTCAAATCTTCATTATTATTGAAGTTATAAATAAATTATACTTCTAGAAACGAACTGAAGCAATCAGTTAAATCACACACCTTTCCACTGGTGATGGAAGTTGAAGAATGAAAGCAATGCCCGATCTCAATATTAATATAATACTATAAATAGAAGTTGAGTACTTTGTTGTTAGTGTTTAATCCATATCTAATTGGGTCTTTGGTGGAATTTTCCAGTTGAGTTTAAAACTGATTAGAACAAGGAGGGCGAATCCAGTCATGATTAAATTCAACAATCTTGGGATTAATACTTTTGCAAAGCCGATGCACCAACTTAAAGAAATAAATAATAAAATAGAAACATATTGCCGATTTGTCATATTATTGAAAGCCTAGGCAGCTTCATTGGAAGATGTTGTGGCAGCTCCAGATGGGGTGCTGGAAACAATGGCAGAGTTGTCCAATAACTTCTTGAGAACACTGATTAGAATGGGATAGTCCAATGGCTTGGAGATGTACTCGTTGCAACCTGCATCTAAGCAGGTGTTCTTGTGACCGGATGTGTTGTCAGCGGTGAGTGCGATGATTGGTATCTTCCTAAAGCCCTGCTCGCTCTCGAACCGACGAATCATCCTGGTACAGGTAATGCCATCCATCACTGGCATGTGAATGTCCATCAGGATAAGGTCGTACATCGAGTGTGATCCTTTGATATGCTCCAATGCTACCTGTCCATTGGTCTTGAGATCGACGCGGAATGAATGCTTCTGAAGCACCGTAGTGGCGATACGAGCATTGAACTGATTGTCCTCCACCAACAAAATACGGATGTTGCTGATCGCAGCGCTTGTACCAGTGCTTGTGCTTGTGCTTGGTGTGCGAATATGTTTGGATGTGCTCATCTGACTCTGTTGCCTCTTGCCATCCATGTACTCTTGTTGATGGACTGATGTGTCAATGGCACTGGCCACTGCATCTCCCTTCTCCATGTCCACTGGCATGGTCTCCGCTGCTGTTTGTTGTTGTTGTTGGGGTACGACAGTCTGTTGCTGTTGCTGCTGTTGATGATCGGACTCCAAAGCAGCTTGCTCGGCAGCAAAGTCTGGATTGATGGAAGTTGGAACTATCTGATGGAGAGGTGTTGTCTCCTCCTTGGCCGGTGTGTATAGCTCAAGAGGCGCGATTACGTGTACCTCGGCTCCCTTGTGCTTGAGCTTGGGTGACTGCATTGGTGAGGTAGAAGCCGACTCTGGTGAGGTGATGCCAGTCACTGTATAGTATTGCTCGCCGCATCCAGAGTTGGTTGGAGTCTCAAACTTGACACAGGGGGACTGGAGCAAGGGAGTAGAGGCGTTGGACGAGGCGTTGGAGTAGATTGTCTTGAATGACGACGATCGGATAGGGGTCAACGGCTGATATGTTAACTTTGGTGCGCTGTTCTGTTTGAGAAGTGTAGGCGGTGTCCTTCTCTGGTATGTCGACGATGAGCCAGAAGAAGTTGTTGGCGTGCAAGTCGATGTCGTAGGAGTTGACAACAAAGGTGAATAATGTGATAGAACAAAGGGAGATGTAGACTTTAGGGAGTTTATAATCGTGAGTAGTTGCTCTTTCTTCAACTGTTTGATTGATCGATTGAGTGAGGGAGTGGGTATGTTAGTTGACGGGAAGGGAATGATGGACGCATCCCTGTGCATACAGTACTTACAGGCTTCATATTAGGTGAAGTCCTTGATTGTCGTAGAGCTTCTTTTGTTTGTTGGTGCACATGAGCACTAACCTGTGTGAGTAGGGACTCTTTGTTGGGTCCTGTTGCTTAGTTTGTCTGATGAGATCAATGTTTAGGTTGGGTATCTGGTTGTGTAGAGCAGGTGTGGCGAGAGTATGTTAGGTCTCCGGTGGACACTAGATTGAGTGAAGAGTAAATGGACAGACATACCATAGAGTCAATGAAGACTATGTTATAATCATTGCCAGACTTGAGAAGTGATAGGCCTTGGGCGAATGTGTGAGCCTTGGTTACTGCCAGTCCTTGTGGCTCCAAGTGCATCTCGATCGCAGAGTTGATGTTGGGATTGTCATCGATCACTAGGACATTGGTGGTGGCGGGCTGATGTGATGCTGGCTTGGTTGGGGTTGTGTGCATCGAAGACTTGGCTTGTATCTCCAGTGGTACATCCAGAGTGAATATTGAACCGCATGCGCCACGTCCATCACCTGGCGCACTCAACTGATTATTCGGGTCGTACTTGAGTGTGCCACCAAGTAGCTTGGACAACTGACTACATATTCCAAGACCGAGGCCGACTCTGAACTCTTCGTAACCTTGCTTAGTGAGTGCATATGGTTCAAACAGAAGGGGGATCGCCTCTGGATCTATTCCAACTCCAGTGTCAATAATGGTGAATGTCAAGTTGATCTCATTCGCTGCATTTCCACCACCATTAGACCTGGTTGTTGAGCTAACTCTGATCACAATCTAGATTGATTGAAGGGGGTGGATTGTTAATTGATTGTCCAGGACACTACCACGCCAAGGACATGGCACATACCTCTCCATTGAATGTTGCCTTTAGTGAGTTGTTGAGTAGCCTTAGGAGGATGTTCTTTAGCTTAGATGGGTCGCCAAGGAGGTTGAGGGGTACACCGGGCTGAAGCAGGTAACAAAGGTCCAAGTCCTTCTTCTCAAAGTAGCTACGAATCGATGGATTGGCAATCACATCCTCCAACAAACACTCTAAGTTAAAGCTGGTGCGTTCAATGTCATTGTTGTTGAGCGTCTGGAGCTCATCAAAGTACAAACACTCCTTTGTGATCAGACTAAGATGTTCAAACGACTCTGACATCTTGACCAAGTATGGCACTTGATGTGATTGGACATCAGCGTCATTGAGGAAGCCCATATTTGAGTTGGCTAGATGGATGAGTATGTGATGTGTTAATGAGTGAGCGAGCGAGTGAGTGTGATGTCTAGTTGTTCACTTACCTGTTGCCAAAGTCTTCTTTATCTGATTGATTGTGTTCTTGAAGAAGACCTTGTCATCGGTGGCCTTCATCTTATGAGCATCCTCTTGTTTGATCAACTGCTTGTTCGATTGCAGTACCTTGTCCACCTTGTTCAACATTTGATTGTAGTGGCGATGATACTCCAAACAATCGTTGAATAAATCGATGGCAATGCCCATCAGTTGTATCAGCAATGTGATGGCACGGATACATCGACGGATGACCAGACGCTCGGCTGCCAGTGGCGCCAACAGCTTGGTCGACAGGTGGAAACAATCAAAGATTGTCATTGTGAAGAAGAATGAAGTGATGACCAGTGATGCCAGTTGGTAGGACGGTCTCTCGTGGTAGTACATCATCAGAATTGTGATCTGCAGGAAGTAGAGCGATGACTTGACCAGGCTCTTGAGAAAGTGCAGGTCTTGGTCAGGCCGCAGAAGGTTCGGATGTATAATGTTGGCCAGTGGCACGATGTGCGAGTAGCACATGAGGAACAGGTAACTACAGGTCAGACACAGGTACAGCTTGGTCGTCCAGCTGCTGCGACCATGTATCGCCACTGATCGAGGTATAAACCTGGACATCGCAGAAGATGTAACCTCAAAGTTGAGGAAGAATGCGTATATGATGAACTCCAATGATGAGCAGAACTGGTGGATGATGTTAGTGAGGTGATTGAATGGTTGAATGGAGATGGATAATGATACATACATTGTTAATGACATCATTGAAGATGTAGTCGGCGGATGAAGTTATCATCCACTTGCTTAGACATGAGTAAATAAAGCCTGATACTGTTGTCCATAGTATAATAGTATCGATGGCATGTGAAGAGTCATGATTGGACTCGTGTGATGTTGATGTTGTTGATGTTGATGATGTTGATGATGTTGATGACCTGCCTGATGACGACTCCTTGTTGTTATTGTCAAGTGAGAGGATGCCAGTCTGACGTTGTATAGTATGTTGAAATAGTGAACGAAGTCGTCGCTGTGAGAATATCAATGCCAGTGCGATGGCCGACAGAATGAACTGTAGCGGTTGGATGAGCAACAGCATTGAGGTCACGACTTTGTCCAGAGTGTCACAGGTGGCGAATGCTGCAGCATCAGTGTCCGAGGAGTATCGCGCATCAATCTGTGTACAGATAAAGAACTTTGAGCCAAGTATAACTAGTTGAAATAATACTGCAAGAGGTATTGAGAGATTGATCGTGAATATGATCGTATCGAAAGTGGACAGGGTCCGCTTTGGAGGGGTCGCTGTCGTTTGGGTGATCAGAAGTGGGGTGGTCGTGGCTTTGGACAAGGGCTGATCGAGGTGGGTGTTGTGTGGCATTGGGGTGCCCTCATTGCTAGGAGATGATGAGTAAACGAATGTGCCTTGTGAATTGACGTTTCGCAAGAGAACATTGTTTTTCAAACTCGAAGACGAGTGTGTCCTGTGATGAACTGTATTATTGCCACCTCCATTATCCAACATGCTACTATTGCTATTGCCAACTTCATATTGATGTTGATGTTGATGTTGTTGTAGTTGTTGATGTAGTTGATGTTGTGAATGTTGATGTTGAAGTTGATGATGATGAGGATAATAATTGTGCTCCCTATTAGTTGAGTTATTGTCCAATGTCATCTTTATCGGTATTGATCAATCTAGATGATTCCAACAACAAATTGTCCACAGGGGTCCGTCCTCTTCACCCAATATTAATGATGATCCGTAATGTCCTGGAATGGTATTGAATAATCTCTATTGATGTTGTCTAATTATAATTATTATTTATATATATGTTTAAGTTTGTTTATGTGTATAATGAATGGATAAAGTAGTTGTAGCAGTAGTTGTTGTTGATGATGAAGAGTAGTAGTAGTAGTAGGTAGCTCAACAACTTGTTTATTGTACTGATAGAGTTGATGTCATGCATTAACATCCAATCACAGTCCATCATCTCACAAAATCAACATCAACAACATCATCAACAGACAAGCATTCAATCAAACCAGGAAGGTGGACGTTAGTGAGAGAGAGTGAATCGTGGGAAAAAGGGTGTGAAGTGCGCGCGGACAAACAGAAGGACAACAACAACAAAGCATGCATGCATGAATGGATGAGCGGTCAGATCCAATTCCAATACCGAGGGACTGGATGACAATCCATGACATACTGAGGGGGGTATAGATGGATGGATGTCTGTTCTCGTGAATACAGTCAACTCTCTACATTAAGTCGGCGTCAATTGATGCTGCTTGCAAGCACATGTGCTGCGCTGTGCGGATGTATAGACAGATAAACAGAGTAGAGACACATCACCAACCACCAACCATCCCCACCACACCCCTACCTTAATCGATTGGATTGGTGGAGACAAATTGTCATTAATTAATATGGATGGTGGTGGTGGGTGTGCCGTTTGATAACACCTTTAAAGGCAATCGACAGGCGTACCCACACACTACCACCATCACCACCACTCTGGCATTCTACTCCGACGCATGTCCGGACAAACACATAAACATACATGTTTCACATCCCTCCAGATCTTTAAATAAGAGAGTGAGTGAATGAGTGTGTCAACCTTAAAAGGGTTGATTGTTTGTTTGATTGTTTGATTGATTGGTTGATTGATTCTGATTGAATGGATGGATGGATGGGATATTGACGTGATGTAGACGGCATTTAAAATTCTCATCCATTCATATATATATATATATAAACATATAAATATAAATAATTATTAATAAATATATAAATTTATGTGTAAATTAACATCGACAAGACAAAAATGATGGTTGGTGGAAGTATTGATTTGACAATTCGACTGTTAAACTGTTAACCTGTGATATCATATTACAAATCCTGACAACATCAATCATGTACACCAGTTGTTACTATTGAAATGGTTGATGTCAATAACAATAACATTAACAAATATCTCTCTCTCCCTCTTCGTCTATCTCTATGATGAGCTGCACTTTCATCAAACAATGAGGGATGAAGAAGTAGAAGAAGATAGGATATTGATGATGTAGCGATGGAGATAGGAATCGGTACCGACTTTATAAATCTATGTTGTAACCAAGGTACCAACAAAAGGGTAGTATTGTGGTGATGATGACGCGTGAACACCTGATTCAAATCGAGATAAGGTGGCATTCACCGAAAGTTTATCCATAAAGAGGGCACAAAAGTCCACCCTATCATGTCATGTGTGAATGACTCGAAACCAAGCATTCACATAATTATGAAGCTTCAGAAAAAGAAAAAATCCGATGGATGGATTGGAAGTGCCAGTGTTTGTTTGTGTTGAACAAGGACGAAACCAGAGTGGCAACAGAAGGCGTCAAAGAAAAGACCAAGCAAAGCAAAGCAACAACACAGAGGACTTCCCAATCCCACCTCCCTGTTGTTGTCATTATATTAAATTGTTACGACCACCTGGTTGGTCTAGTTACTTTATTGTTTCCACATCCACATCCACATTCTCTCTCCCTCACTCTATTCTTTCTTTCAACAACTCCATCAACAACATTGTTTAATTAATATTAATATATAACTTACACCAAACATAAAATAACATATTGAGTGAGCTCACAAGAGGGAAGGACGAGGAAAGTTCTTTCAACAAATTGAAAAAGCAGCGCAATATATACATACATACAGACAAACAGACTCTACCCCTGTTGTGGTCAACAGGAAACAGCAACTGATTGGATAATATAACAGTCGACTTCCACTTCATCCATTACAGGTATGCATCACACAAACAAATTTCAAAGTATACAATGCAACTCAAGCGATGGGAGATCTTTAAAGTGCTTTAGACTGATTGATTGATAGATAGATTGATTAATGTGATGTGTGATTGTGATCGATCATGTGTGTCTCATCAACACAATCAATCAAAACACAACACACGATTCTCTCTACCACGCACCGATCACTATCCATCATCCACCATTCACACCTTTCACCAATTATCCACCCCTTCATCGATCAAGGTAAATGAATGAAAGTGAATGGAGTGGCAGGCACTGCCATCAAACTCAACTCAACTCAACTCAACACAACACAACACAATATAACACATAACACATAAACATCCCTGTAATTTGTTTGTTGAATCCTAATTCACATAAATCATACCTACCTCTCTCATCTCACTCCTCTATCACGCAATCAGTATGTGATAATACACCAACACCGCACCTACACTCCACTCCTCTAAACCATCCATGTTATGCAGCGAATATATTGAATTGAACTCTTCGCTCATACCCACTCTACTTGATTGATTGATTGATTGATTGTGTGTTGACATACTTTACATCATCAACATCAACCATCCTCAACCACTCTCCTCAATTTCATCATCAATCAATCGAACAATCAATCATCCATTATTCAATTCACACTTCATTCATTAATTCATTCATTCATTCATTAATTACATTTTATATATATATATATATATATACAATCATATCAGATCAGAGTAATAATAGTAGTAGTCTTTAATTTAACTCAAAAAGGTGAGGAACACACACTCATCATCATTGGATTGGATTTGATTGATTCTCAATCCGAAACAGTGTTCATTCGTGCGTGAGTGTGGTGGTGTTTGGTTTTGTGATGGCTACCCTCGATCGGAGGGTGTGCCCAAGATCGCGAGTCAGTTGGTTTTCCATTATGATAATTCCATTGCGATCTCCTCGGTGCCACATGTCGTCATCACTGGAGCTACGATCACACCTCACTCACCTCACACCCAGGGTCCAGTCCACCCCCTCGATCGACTTACTAGTAATGTGTTTGAATGAATGTGAACCATTGTTGGTTGGAAACAAAGAGTTGTTGTTATTGTTGCCCTCACATTCATTCATTCATTCATTCATTCGATCACGCATTCACTCATTCATTCATTAACTAACATGATCATATTTATAACAACTATTTAGATTTATATACAAATATATTATAGATTAGAGTAGATAACAAATATAATTAATATATATATATATATATAGTGATACGATATATATATATATATAAATATATAATATAGAGGTATAATTGAATACCGATGAACTCGTATCGTCACTCAACAAACAGTGTGTATGCTCTGAATCCAAGCATAGACATACCAATGTCATCGACAACAACAATACCAACATCAGCATATAACTTTCACAAGGAACCAGCTAGAGTAAAGACGACAACAACAGCAGCAACAATGACGACTACGACGACTACAAATATGGACACCTCATCAGACTTGGACAACAACAAAATGCACGATGATCCAATCACAAACATTGGAAACATCACATGTTCGAACATTCCAAATATAGTCACAGGCAATATCAACAACAGTAGTACATCAAATATAAGCATACAGCTCAATGGATTGAGCATTAAGAAGACACCATCGACGACGATGACGAATAGCTTAAAGTTCTCACAGGTGATTCAACCACCAACGGTGACACCTGCACCTGGCGCAGACGGCAGGGACAGTCCGATAAATAGTAACGACACATCGCCATCGTCATCGTCATTCTTTTTGTCCAACCTCAGCGACACTATGATGGTCAATGGCAGTGGCGGCAACAGCGGCAATGGCGGCATTCCAGTGGACGGCGGCGACAATGGCGGCAGCAATCCAACATCTTTATCAACTTCACCCAGCCAATCAACACTTTCCAATCCCCTGCTGCGACTTTCATCCCTCCCCGAATCCTGCCAGCCCATCGGGCTGTCCAGCCCATTTTCATTCAGCTCGTCGGCCGTCTTCTCCAGCAGCAGCAGTAGTGGCAGCGGCTCCTCCTCCACACTGGCCTCGACATCGTCCAATCCCAACTCGAGCTCTGGCTCCTATTTCTCGTCGTCTTCGTCACCGACTTCCTACCCAAGTTTGCTGATCGATGAGGATCGCGAGCGCATGAAGCAGGAGTACGAGTCGATGAAGAAGCCCGAGGTGCACTCGAGGAAGTCACACAAGAAGCATCATCGTCACTACTCTCACAACGATCTCGACAACCGCAAGCATGACGAGGAGAAGTTCTTCAGTTCTCTGCAACCAAACAACTACTCCAAGAATCGCTATCATGATGTGTTGCCAAATGAGTCGACTCGAGTACGTCTCTCGCCTCTCGAGTATGGCGATGGAGACTATATCAACGCCAACTACATCAATGGCGAGGTGCCAAACTCTTATCGCAACTACATTGCGTGTCAAGCGCCACTCGAGTCCACAATCAAGGACTTTTGGAGAATGGTCTGGGAGGGTATGTTAGCCATCCAAACAATCAATCATGATAATCTTCTTACTAACATGTGTGCACCCTTGATAACAGAGAAATCCTATGTAATAGTATGTCTGACACGACTGGAAGAGGATGGCAAGAAGAAGGCCGATCAGTATTGGCCCGACACTCTGAATGAGCCAATGAACTATGGCTTGTTCTGGGTGCAATTGCACAAGAAGATCATGTTTAAGGAGATTGGTGTCACGTTGTGCCACCTGTATCGCAAGGGCGAAGAGTTCCCTCGCGAGGTAGCCCTGCTGCAGTACACACAGTGGCCGGACAGTGGCGTGCCAACGACCAGCGCACACATCCGCACCCTCTCCGTACTGGTCAACACATTTAGACAGCGCGGCAACTTGAAGAGCTCGAACGGACCAGCCATCGTGCATTGCTCGGCGGGTATTGGCCGCTCGGGAACATTCATCGCCATCAACATCAACATGGCCAAGATCGAGAAGTCGGTCAACAACAACGAGGCGCACATCAACATCTCGATCAAGGAGACGGTGATGGAGATGCGTCGCCAGCGACGCGGCATGGTACAGACGTTCGATCAGTATACGTTCATCTACAAGGTGATCAACGACGTGCTCAATGACATGGGTCGCACCCTGGCCTCACCGGCCAAGCGTCGCTCATGTGAGATGCTTCGTACTCAACAGGTAGTGCCCCGTCTCGATCTGGTCAATCGCGTGGCCAACAACGACCTCAAGTCGTCTTTCACGCCATCACCCGAGACTGCGGCCTCGCTCTCCATCATCACACAAATGACACAGACCCTCAAGTTCCCTCAGTCCACTCACTTTGACACCAACACCAATCCATTCTCCAAGTCCAAGTTCAAGATGCCCTCAGCACTCAGCTTCACCTCTCCAGCAACTGCCTCATCCCTCACCAGTGCCGCAACCTCTGCCTCTGCTTCATGTCCATCGCTTTCCAAAAACCATCATCAACAACAACAACAACAACATACTCAACAAACAATAGCACCAACAGACAACAACAACAGCGCACCAATATTGTACCATCAACGAAGTGTATCGTCAACACTACCAAGTACCAACTTCTCAGCATTATCATCACATCTACTCTTCAAGAATAGTGGCAACAACAGCAATAGCAATAGCAACGGCAACAACAGCAACAATGGCAGTAATGGACCAAACGACTTTGACAGTCTGAATCGTTTCAACAACAGCTTCTTGATATACAACTCCAACACAAACTCCAATCCCGATCCCGACCCAGACACCGATATCGACATTGACGTTGCCACACCCGAAATCGCTGGCGACAAGACTACCAACAACACTGACAACGCATCCTCCACCGCCACCACCAACACCAACACCAACATCATCACTCCACTACCATTGAACAACATTGTTGTTGAGCAAAATGCAGTGGTTGTCAACGACGATGGCAGCAGCAGCAGCAGCAGTACATCGACATCCACAACAACGACAACATCCACGACAACAACATCAACTACACAAGGTTCACCAAGGAACGTATCATCCATCAAATGCTTTTGATGGAACAACTTAATCGTTGCCAACACAACCAAACAACAACAACAACTTATTTATTTATTGATCAACCATCGATGGAGATGTATATTTATATTTATTTATCTCTCTCTCTCTCTCTCTCTCTGTTCTCTTTCTCTTTCTTTAATCGACAAATACATTGTATATTTTTAGACCTTATTATTATTATTATTAACATTAATAAATAATCAACCGATATTTATTTCTTTACTTTATTTTTTTGATATTTCAAAATAAATGATGAAGATCCTTGAATGATCATCAATTCAAATAATAATTTATTGTTTGATTGTGTTTTTGCACCCTTTTGATCAAAACTTACCACCTTACCTCACACACTTCAAGGGCGGCCCATTGTTCATCAATTCATTCCCCACTCACACACATATATCATGTGTTTGTGTCCGATCACTTAACTTCAATTCATTTACAACATACTTTATATTATTACATAGTTTGAGATAGAGATAGGAGATGAATAAATTGAACAAGTTGTTTAGAAAGTCGGTGCAATTGTCACCGACTAATAGTCCAACGATGCAGTCATCAGGCAATCAACAGGTGTCAGCATCGACATCATCACCAAACCTAATGGCAAACACTGGCAACATTGCATCCTCTGCATCAACCTCATTCACATCATACAACAAACTACCTGCGATTGACTTTGAACAGATGTTCTCTGCGATACTAAAGGTAGGTCAACAGCGAGCTAACGCGCGTGCATTCATTCAATCAATCACTTATTCTAACTTCAAACTTAATATTAGGAATCAACTGATACATTAAAGTATTGCCATTTGGTACAGTTTATTAATACTGGAGGAAAGAAGATTGGAAAGTCATGGCAGCCATTCAATAAGAAGCATTCAAATCCAGCATACTTGGTATTGGGCGCAAAGAGTGTGATGATAGTGGATGCCACTACAGTGCCACCCACATTACAGCGTCGTCTGCCTTATTGTGATCTGAAGGAGATGTTGGTCGACAGCTCTGACGTGGGACTGTTCTCACTGCAGCTCACAAAGGAGCAGATGGACAACAATCACAAGCATCCACAGCCGCTGCCCAGCATCGTATACTTTTGCGTTGGTGCCGAGCGACGTGAACTGATCGACAGTGTTGTGGCCACGTTCGAGGAGGCCACCAAGGAGTACTTTGCACTGGAGCACAAGGGTCTGTTCGTCATTAGGAGGACCAACATGCTGGCTGGCGAGGCCAAGGAGCAAAAGGAAGAGCTCAAGTGCGCCACACTCAAGGTGCTCGACGAGATGTCCCTCATGGGATTCACCGCACAGGACTTGTGGGATGGCGATGCTGACCTCAAGCATTGGGTGGCCAAGGTTAGGCCAATGATCAAACTAAGTATGTTGTTATGTTTGTGATTGCCCATCCCAGACTAACACTTCCATTCATTCATTCAATCATTGTAGACAGTGACGAGAGGTTTGTTGTGGAGTTTGTACTTCCAGACTCTGCCTATGACACGGCGGGTGTCTGTAAGAAGGTGTTCAGAGTGCCCAACAACATATCAGCAAGAGAGGTATGTTGATGATTTGATCAATCTCATGCACGCCTTCATGTGACCAATGAATGACTAACACACGACGGAATGATTCCAATCAATCAATCAACAGATCACCAACTTCCTTTGTGCTAAGATACATGTACAAGACCCTACCAACTTCACGATTGTCACGATGAAGGGTCGCGAGATATTGCCAGAGGACTTCCTCGTTGATTATGGTTTGGGATCAATGTTTGATAATTGGCAGTTGTGTCTGGTCGAGCGTGGAAAGATGAAGCGAGCCGGTATGTATGAGCTGGAGGTGCACTATCCCGATGTGCCACAGTACGCCGGCAGGTTCATGCGCAGTATCCTTGTGGATGGCTATCAGCCTGCCGAGGTGGTGGTGCGCGCACTATGCAAGGACATGGAGATCATCAAGCCACATCTGTTCTCAATGTCAGTTGAGGCACCTGGCGCCACAAGCTCATTCATCGTTCCTGACAACGAGCAACTGTCCAAGCACGGACTGGGCGCCAAGTTCCGCAAGTGTAAGATAAAGCTTGTGCCAAAGAAGTTCCCCAAGGCCTCCAGCAACAGACAGCAGAGTATGTATCAAATCAAACAGAGTCCACTCGCTCAATCACTCACTCATTCATACAATCAATCAAACTAGACATCGATGTAACTCTGTCAATATTCAATGATGTGATTGAGGCTGCACATCAACAGGCGTTGGAGCGCAAGGAGCTTCGTAAGCAGGTACTGTGCCAGCAGCTAGTGGACATGATGGTGGATATCGCCTATGAGGAGTGCGTCCGCGCCTCCACTCTGACGATGCGTATGGCATCACTGAGCGCAATCAGCAAGACTGCGATGTATAAGTTCCTGGCACTGAAGGAACAGGAGGATCTCAAGTTCTTCAGCATGCTTGGCCACAAGCACGTGGTGGACGATGCCAAGGACTTGATATACAACCTCACCAATCTCAATGGCCCATCGGCATTCATCGATGTGGACCAGGAGGAGCAGCCATCGCTGCAGATGCGTGTGCCACCTCCACCTCCGCCACCCATTCTCGGCTTTGACAATTTCAAGAAGCGTCTTGAGACTTCGGCCACGCCAACATCAGCGACCAAGGAAGCGATATCCCAGCAACAGCGAGCGACCCGTGTCGGAGGTGGCAATTTGAACGTAGCCAATGCCGTGGACATGAACCAGATTTTGGGAATGAGAGGGTAAGTCATTGATAGCGATTGATTGATTGATTGAACGCACCAGCAGCATCACTAACAACAACATCCATTCATTTCAACCATTCTAGTAAACTGAGGGCAACTGTACAACTAAAGAAGGAGGATGATGGCAAGTTTGATGAGACACAAGAGTTGGTGCTGCGACCGGTAACACAGCGAGAGAAGCCGATTCAAGTGACCAACAGCAAGGAGACCAACGAATTGATGCAGAGACTTCAAAAGAGGAATGCCATTGTACAATCAGCGTTGGCAGATGCAGAGGATCTAGGTGACTTCTAAGTGACCTGCTGCAAGGGCGCGTCAACCATCCAACCAAACCAACAACATCGAACCAAGAATCAATCAACAATCAAGCCAAACCAAACCTACAACAAACCAATTGTTGTTGTTGTTGTTGTAATGTAATGTAATAACAAACAAGTCAGTCACTATACTATACCATATATTCCAGAACATTGTTGATTGATTGATCGACTTGGTCATCAGAGTTTGAAGTTTATCCCATAAATTAAGTTTGACCCAAAGTTATAAAAGAAACCCAATTGGGTTCAACACACACAATTTTCAAATTCAAATCAAGAAGCGAGGGATCATTACAAATAATATAACTGTTTATATTTACAATGTAATGTCAATGACAATAGCAGGCAGGGTCATCATGATCATGATCATTATCAGGAGGATGAGGAAAGAAGGAAGGAAGGAAGGAAGGAGGGAAGGAAGGGAGGAACAGTGATATGATCTGAATCAAATCATGAGAGATAGAGATAGAGATAGATGACATTTATTACTTACTAATCAAACAAACATAATACAATACAATCATGACACATATATAGATGGGTTCGCTTGATGATGACGATGATTTGGATAAGTTGCTGAATGATGATGCACCAATCGACTCTGAGAAGTTGAACTCAATCACTAGCTTCTTGACTGGTGCTCCAAGCCAACAGCAACAACAGCAACAGCAACAACAACAGCAGTATGCCCCACAACAACAACAACAACACATTCACCAACAACAACAACAACAACAACTACAACAACAGAGACCCAACAACATACCAATCAATGGCCTTCAACCAACTCAATCAATTATACCACAACAACAACAACATCAGCCTCAGCAGCAGCAACAACAACAACAGAGGATGGTCAACACGATGACTCAACCACCTGCTGGCACTATGACAATGAAGAATATGCCACAGTCACAGCCTATGCAAGGTCAGGTGTATGTCAATCAACCAGGACAACCGATGAACAAACAACCACCAAATGGTGGTCAGCCTGGCCAACAACAACAACAGGCACAGCCGATGAACATGGTGCCCAAGCAGATGCCAATGAAACAACCACCAATGCAACAACAGATGAAGCCTGGAGCAGCAGTCCCAGTCGGTCAATCAATGATCAACCCGGCAGGCGGCGCAGCGGCAATGAACAAGCCTGTGACGATCAATGTCAACCCCAATCAACCCGCCATGACGTCCACCACCATCGCACCCTCGGCTCCTGGTGGCTACCCGGCCAATATTAACGTTAATGTTAATCGTCCTGTTGGACAACCAATGCAAGCAGTTCAACAGCAGCCTCAGATGATGATGGGTGGCAAGCCAATGGCAGCACAACCCCAGCAACAACAGCAACAGTTTCAGGCTCAGCAACAGCAGCAGCAGCAATCGATGCAGTCCCCAACCGGAATGCCAATGCAACAACAGATGAAACCAATGGCAGGCATGCAACAACCTGGTGTTGTTGGTGTGCAGATGCAGTCTACTCTGCCACAACAACAACAACAACAACAAGTACAACAACAATCACATATGAAACCAATGGCCAACATGCCACAACAACAAACCAATCCAATATCCTCACCTCAACAACATGTCACCAACGTGCCAATGCGATCACCGATGCCGGGACAGGTCGGATCAATGGCAGTCCAGGGCTCACCCATTCCTCAGCCAAACATGACACAACCTCAACAGCCACAACAAATGATGGGCCAAGTAGCACAACAACAACCACAACAGATGAAGCAGCAACAACAACAGCAACCAATCATGGGGGTTGGTGTTGCGCCCCAGCAGCAACAACAACAACAGCAGGCCGGTGGTCAAATGAACCAACAACCAATCTCGATGCAACAGCAACACATTGCTTACAACAAAGCCACTCTGCAGACTCAGGTCCAGAACCATTTCAATGCGTTGGCCCTGGCTTACCTGAATCAGATCCTGTCCAGGGAGCTGCTGATGGAGAACTTGGTGATGTTGTTTGGCAAGGACAACGCCGAGCAGTACAGCCAAAAGATCGATAATGTCGTGCCCGAGAAGATCCCCAAGCTGCCACCCGACTTTAACATTCAAACCGTGCTCGAGAAGACTGCCCACGTGCGCGATCTGACCACCCAATTCAAGAGGGAGCATAGCAGAGCGCTGCAGACTCAGCCAGCGGCACCGACTCAACAGCCACAGGCGCCGCTGCAACAGCAGGCTACTGCACCGACTCAACAGCCACAATCACAGACCCCAGCTCCACAGCAGTCGCCACTTCAACAGGCACCACAGACGCCACAACCACAACCGATACTTATGCAACCACAAGCGCAACAACAGCCACAAGCACAGCCTGCCCCAATGACCCCGGCACAACCAACCAAAGCCAGTCCAGCAGCTACCACTACACCAGCAACACCACAGACCTCAGCTCCGCCCACAGCGGGCCTCACTCCAACCCCACCAGCATCCACCTCTTCCTCCAGCGGTTCGTCGTCCAAGCATTCATCCAAGCACTCGAATGGCTCGTCGTCTTCGTCATCCAAGGATAAGAAGGAGCTAAAGAAGGCCCTCGAGAAGAAGAAGAAGGAGGAGGAGAAAAAGGAGCGAGAGAAGGAGAAGGAGAAGGAGCGACAGGAGCGTGAGAGGGAGAAGCAGGAGAAGGAAAAGGAGAGACTGGAGAAGCAGGAAAAGGAGAAAGAGAACGAAGACGACAAGACCTCAATCAAGGAGCTGAACGATGTGACCAGGATCGCAAACATTGACATGCGCAATGAGACCGACTACTTCCTGCCAGAAGTAAGCGACGAACAAGACAGCAACTACATCGAAGAGGTCGAGCCACTATTCCTTAACGTCCAACCCTTGAGGAAGAAGATATGTACAATAGGTATGTTGTTGTTTGAGTGTGCGAGGGAGCGAGTTGGACACGCAAGGATACTTACTCAAACAATCAATCACGTGTAGCCTCAAAATCTGGAATCAAGGTAGTCGAGGAGGATATTTATAAGTATCTATCATTGGCATCACAAGACTATATTAGGACGGTGATGGAGTTCTTGATTAGGGTGTCAGAACAACGCGTGGAGAAACATAAGGAGGACTTGCCATTCACTATAACAAGCGATCATAAGAAGCGACTGCTGCTCATTGAGAAGAGAGAGCGTGACGAGAAGATCAGGAAGGACAATGAGGAGACGGAGCGACTGCTGCGCGAAGCCAAGCAGCAGGAGAGGGAGATGAAGAAGAAGCAGGACGACAAATCGACGCTGGCACTGCGCGAGAAGTTCTCCAGAGCGCGTCAGGAGGAGGAGGAGAAGCAAAGGACGGCCTCGGCCAACATGACTGCGCTGGCAGCCATTGGTAACATTGGAAAGAAAAAGACACAGTTGCCCAGACTTGGCGGTCCCTCGTTGCTCACACCAATTGGCCTGACATTGATCCAACAGACACAGCTGCAGTCGTACGAGCAATTGATCAAAGAAGGACAGACGTTGACGCCCGAGCAAAACACCCAATACCAACATTTGCTCGACCAACAAGCGAGGTTTGAGCAGATCAAGAGTGGCGCTCTTACATCCCTTCCACCTCCACCTGTATCATTGATGCCAACAACATATACGAACCAATTGACATCATCATCATCAACAACATCATCATTGACATCATCATCATCATCTACCACAGCACCACCAGCCTCTACATCATCAACTTCGTCCAGCAACTCTGGACCAACACCAATGGAAGGAGTTGTAATGTCTGCTAGCCAGCAGGACACAAACATGTCGACTTCAACATCAACGACAACAACTACCAACAACACAGCGACATCCACTACCACCTCCATCTCCGATTCAAGCAATGCCATTCCAACTACCGAGCCAAACTCACTTCTACCTCCAAGCCGTGTGTCATCATTGTTGACCGGATTCCTGCCTCCATCCAGTGTCGAGACCACCAGATCCAGACAAACGAACCGAAAGATCATCAAGAAGGATTGTATATTTGCCTCGAAGCTCATTGGATCACATGTCCTACAGAAGTATGAGCTAAAGAGATTGAAGAAGACGCCTCAGTTCCAATGATCAATCACTCAAAAGCATTATTATCATCACTCTATCTCTCTATGGAATAAACAAACATACACACTGGATGAATAACATCCCTTTGCTAGCATCAGGTGATGATCATGCGAGGGTAAGGGTGAGGACGAGGGCAAGGGTTACAACCCTAGCCAGGGACATTAGTGGGGTCGCCGGCGCCAACACTCCATTTTAATTCAAAGCGAAGCTCATCATTTCATTCATTCATTCATTTTGTTATCACTCACATTCAAACATTGTTGTTGTACTACTAGTAATAGTAAATGAAGTAGTAGGTTGTAGAAGTAGTAATAGATATATAATATATATATATATAGCATTGTCCATCCATGGATTCAACTCAACCATCTGAACAAATTGATGACTCTATCAACAACAACAATAATAATAACAACAACAACAACAATGTAGTGAACAATAAGCCATGGGGTAAACTTGTTAGTTGCCATCCAGACTCAAAGAATATCGACTTGATTGATGAGGAGATCTTCTTTGGTCGTAATCACAAGAAGTGTCAGATCTTCCTGTCTGACCCGACTGTAAGTGGCATCCATTGCAAGGTGTCCTTATCAAGTCCTGCTCTCGGCAACACAGCTGGCCATCACCATCAGCATCATCAACAACACCATCAACAACTACATAATCAACAACAGAGTGAAAAGACACACCCTCGAGGCTCTGACAATGCAGGAGTACGTGGCGGCGTCAAACACAACAGTAGCAGCAGTAGTGGTAGCAGCAACAGCACCAACTCGGCAAAGTCAGCACTGACCAACTCGTCATCATCAGTGCATCCGACAGTGTGGATCACAGACTTTAGCACCAACGGTACCTTCATCAAGGGTGCACTGTTGGGCAAAGAGAAGACCACAATCATGCAGAATGGTGACCTTGTCTCATTCACCTCGCCCAACATGAATAGCAAGCTCTCATTCATATTCCAAGATCTGATGCAATCTGATCAAGATATTGAAGATGTATGTTCACTAAGCTCACTTGCTGGCTCACCCTGATCATTCTCACTAACTCCTCCATCTAACAACACTACAGTCAGAGATCAAGAAGCACTATATCCTTCAGGGTATACTTGGAACGTATGATCAATCAATCAATCATTCAATCTCTGATACATGAGATGAACGTATACACTAACGAACATGATTGAATCAATCAAACAAACAATATAGAGGCAACTTCAGTGTTGTAAAGAGATGTACAAAGCGTGACACTGGAGAGAGTTTCGCTGTCAAGATCATAGACAAGAAGAAGTACTGGCACATATCAAGCACACGCAATCAAACAGAGAGTGAGATCAGTATACTCAAACAGATTAAGCATCCCAACATCATATCAATCATCGAGATCTTTGAGACACAGCAATACATCTACATCGTGTTGGAGTTGGCTACAGGTGGTGAGCTCTTTGACAAGATCAGGCAAAAGGTATGGATACTATCTCACTCGTTAGATCGCTCAATCGATCAATCAAACTGACAATGTCATTCGTCATCATACATAGGGGAGGTTCTCTGAGCCTGAGGCCAAGGGCACATTCAAACAGATACTCAATGCTGTATCATATCTGCATCAGTTGAACATCACTCACAGAGATCTCAAGCCAGAGAACATTCTGTTGGGTGATCAATCCAGCTCAGTGATCAAGATAACAGACTTTGGTCTGGCAAAGATTATTGGCGAGAAGGAGATTGCGACTACACTTTGTGGCACTCCTTTATATGTCGGTATGTAACTCAATCAATCAATCCAATCAAACGATCAATCAGTTACTAACAACCAATCGATCGACTGATGTATATATAGCACCCGAGATCATTAAGAACTGCTTGTATAAAGATGATAAGAGTGACAAGAATATCGGCTATGGCAAAGAGGTTGATGCATGGTCACTTGGATGTATATTATATATATTGTAGGTTTGGACAACATTGGAATGGAACATGGACAATCATACTAACAAATGGTTCCATTATTTGTTGATCACCTTTAGGTTATGTGGACGACCTCCATTCGATGTCGAGAAGAACAGCTTCCAACAAATCAACAATGGAGCATTCTCATTTGAGTTTGCCGTTTGGAAGACTGTATCGGATCAAGCAAAGGACCTGATCACCAAGTTGTTGAATACAGATCCAATCCAAAGAATCCCCGTTAAGGATGCCCTGAATCATGCTTGGTTCAATGTAAGTATGAATCAATGATTGATTGATTGATTGAATCATTACCAAATGACTAATGTGCACTTTTATTACAGGATGATCTTTATCGAGCGACTACAATTAATCAATCACCAGCAAAGCAGCCTCAACCAATACACCTTCCAGTCATCAAGTCTCAGAACTCTGCTGTATCCCTCAACTTTTCATTGTCCAAACCAGCACCTCAACAACAACAACCACAACAACAATCACCTCAACAAGCGCCATTGATGCTGCAATTCGAATCAACGCCTATCAAGGCTAAATCAAAAAGTCCATCCAAACGATCAAGTAAACAATCATCATCAACAACAACATCGATAACACTTTCAGAAACAATGCCAACACCAATCAAGAAACATCATCAATATGAAGAGCCAGAGGCAATCGAGCTGAGCGAAGAAGAGAATGACTCGACTACATCTTCGACCTCCACTTCGACCACATCCACGACCACAAATAACAAACGCAAAGAATCAAACGAGGCGACAAATGGCAAATCAAAGTCGACGAGGACAAAGAAGCCTAGAAGCTAGAATACAACATATTATATAATTCCAATTCCAATTTATTATTTAATCATTCACGACGATCACTCATTCATTTGCGCCATCAAGTTCAGGTCTAGATTCTTGGATGTCCAGACAGAGATGTTCCAGCTTGGATGGTTGAGAACATTGATCAACTTGTGATGTAGGCTCACCAGCTTGAATGACCTGTTGTTGTTGTTGTTGTTGAGCCGACTGGTGAAATCGCCTGTATGCTCTTTGCATTGAATGATTGATTATTATGAATCCAATAGGACTGGCAATTATTCCACAGAATATAACAGCATCCTCCGCAATGAAGAAGCCTACTATGAACATTATTATTGTAATTAAGATAAGGAAGCCTCCAAAGCATCCCCATAGCAGGTTGGATCTTGTAAAATATGAGAAAAATGATGATGTCAACAGATGATTAACATGTTGATGTTCATTATTATTATCTGGATGCTGATTGATATTGATATTTAAGTTGGTACTAGAGTTGGTTGTGTTTGCCAAGTCAACTTGTTGGAACATTGGATGAGATTGTAGAATTATATGGAAAGGTAATGGAGTCTGTCTACAAATATTAACACTTTGGAATATTTGGTCATCATCTTCCAATCCATCCAAAGGTATCTCCATAACTTCGTTCTTATCTTTAAATAAATTATTATTAATGTCACATTTATCTATATCAATATTCTTTAAAGGTACTACAATGAACTTGGAAGATATTACACTTTCGTCTGGAATACATTCATCAAGTGGCTCCATATCTATTTATTATTTCTAAATAATATTATTAATATATTATTAAAGGATCTTATCAAACTAGAATGAAAGGATGATTGAATGAACACCAATAAGTTATGATTGGTAATGTCAATCACATGAGGCAGACATTTGTGCGATTCGTAACTCGTAACCATCACCACCAATCTCAATAACAACGTTCACTGATCAAAGAAAAGATGAAGGTGGTTGTACCCCAGTCTGACACTTATGATTGATTGATTGACCAAGCATACACACACACCACTTTATTGCAATCATCAATGTAGAGGTACGGGTATTGTATATACCATGTCGACACGATCGTGTTGATTGATTCATTCCACTCATATGTTTCCAATCGACCGCACAATCAAAGATTGATTGTATTCAACCAAAGCATTCTTCCAAAGTATGATTGATTGATTGATTGATTGATTGTGTTGCTCGTCACACACTAGAGAGAGTGGACAGACACTATGCTGTTGCAATTAGACTGCCTTTCTCACAGTTAATGATGTGACACAAGATCCAAAGGAATGTTGACGTGCTCCTAGGTGTTGTAAAGTGTTGTTGAGAGTTTAGAGTTCAGGGAAGGCAATGAATCTGGTCTTGCGGTCCCAAATGATATTGTTCTGGTACTTGAATGTCTTCACTCTGTGTAGAGGGATAGTTCCAATCTCGTACTTGCTGAAGATCACCTCCACCAATCCAAGAATTCTGTCCTCATAAATAATGGAAAACTCATCAATGTCTACATCCGTGCAGTCCCACTATTGATTGATTGAATTAGCAATGTGTCATAATGATGAATAACTACAACTACAACAACATACCTTTATCCTATTGTATATCTCTATTGAAGAGGGTAGTCTTGGCTTCTTCTCAAGATCAAGGATCTCATGTTCTGACTTTGGTGCCTTCTCGCGTATCCTTCTTTCCTTTGATCTCCTGTTGTCCTCATCATCCGATGAGTATGAGTCATCATATATCTCTACAAAGTCTTCGTCATCCACTGGTCTCAGATGGTTTAGTGGATTGGATGGTAATTTAGTTGGTGATGATGGTGCCATGACTTATATATTATTCTATCTACAATTATACAATTATTATTTAATGTTCTTTATATAAATTATTTGTTTTTTTGGTTTTAGTTATCTGTTATGATCCAACAAGCAGTTGTGTTTATATATATTCATTAAAGTTGGAAGATGTACAGATAATTGAGTTCATTCCATCTCACTTCAATGTTTGAAGTTGAAGAAAAAGGAAAGAATGGGGATTTGTCTTGTGTGTGGTCAATCCATTCCGTTTCATTTCTTTTGGCAAAGAGGTCAATACCAGGCATCAACAAAGACAGAGTCCTTGTTCTTGATTGATGGATGAACATCGATAATAGCTTGGAACTTCTCTTTGTTGTACTTGTAACCTTCCGCTCTTGGATTGATGTATAGGGTGGTGATCCGATGGTTCTCTGCAAGCAATTGACACAGACGGTCGCAATACACAACAGTTGTCAGAGTGAGCGTTGTCTCACTGCCAATGTGTGGGATAAAGTCATAGTCACTCTGATCATAGGGTGTCACTTGGAGATGCTTGACCATGTTCAATGATTCATAAATATTGTTGACTGGAGGTCTATAATGGCCTTCACACCTGATTGACAGTGATTGTAATGGTCGTGTGATTGGCACCATGTTCTGCATCTGTATCTCACCTTCAATCTCGATCGATGCATCTTGTACCAGGTATTTGACCAGCTCTTGAGGCTCACCTGCCAACATCTCTGGCAGGACCAGGCACTTGAGTGTTGTTGCCTTCTCAAGGTAGTGTTTCAGCTCGGTATAGAAGAGTAGGTGTTCACCAAAGTCGCTGGCGTCATTGCACATTCTCAATGATAGTCGTTGGAGTGAAGGTGCAAAGTGTAGGATGCTCTCAAAGAAGAGGCGAGGCGCACTGTACATGTGAGTAGTGAAAGTATACTCACCTGCAACCGAATCTGCAAGTGTGAGTGATCGCAAGGAGGTAAGCGTAGAGTTGAGAAAGCTGCGGCAAATGATGCTGTAAGGGTGGCTTGGATGGTTGAGTGCTGCGAGGTATTGATTATCCATATGCTCAAAGTAATCGACAATTGAATCTACATCCATCTCAAAGTGCAGAGAGAGTGACTCTAGATGTGGATAATCGTTTGAGAGTCTTATAAGAGGCGCCAGTATCTTTGATGGAGAGTATTCATCTTCGTCGTTATCTTCTCCATAGCTGATGAAGATCATGAGCTCAAGATGCCTGAGGGTTGAAGGCAACTTGGAGTTGATCACCTCGGGGAAATTGATATCGCCAGAGTAGGACTCTAGCTGATTGAGTAAGTTTTGATATGTTATTCTGTGAGCTTCCAAAGGAAATAGACTGCCATCTTTCCAAGATCTCGTGAATCGCAGACTGATAATTGGGAATGCAAACGGTATCAACCTGGAGCCAGTCTCACATCTCTCGAGTAGAGAATCAATATCACTGGTGCGATCGATGGTCATACGACATATAGACGACTTTACAATTCGATGGAATTGCCAACAAACTAGATTGAGTGATAGGAATTGTCTAATGAGGTCTCTACTGTAATCACGCTCATCATCGTTTTCCTTATAATGATATTGCATGTAATCTGGATTTCTATTGTGATATATATTGATCAATTGTTGATTCTCTCTCCACAGTTGAAAGATAATCGTTTGGAAGCAGTTGAAGTTGAGTACCATATAATGTGATTGATTGAATAATGGTTGTCTATTTACCTGATTTGTTTATTTTAACATTTGTTTTCTTACTCCATACTTTCGATTTTATTAAATTGATATGTGTCATTAATTCATTATTTATTTATTTGATTAGTTTGTGTTATTTGTGATCGATAATAGGTTGCAGATGAACAAATATTTATATATATATTTATTTAGATGGAGGAAGACATAGAGATGTTTAAAACAGAGTCGGCCAAACATTGTCAACAAACACAGAGTCCTTGTTCTTGATTGATGGATGAACATCGATAATAGCTTGGAACTTCTCTTTGTTGTTCTTGTCACCTTTTCCTTCCGCTCTTGGATTGATGTATAGGGTGGTGATCCGATGGTTCTCTGCAAGCAATTGACACAGACGGTCGCAATGCACAACAGTTGTCAGAGTGAGCGTTGTCTCACTGCCAATGTGTGGGATAAAGTCAAGGTCACTCCTGGAGGGTGTCACTTGGAGATGCTTGACCATGTTAAGTGATTCGTAAATCTCCAATATATCATCGACTGGATCGACACTATCTTCAAACCTGATCGACAGTGATAGTAATGGACGTGTGATTGGCGCCATGTATTCCATTAGTATCTCACCTTCAATCTCGATCGATGCATCTTGTACCAGGTATTTGACTAACTCTTGAGGCTCACCTGCCATAGATGTTGCCAACACTGCAGGCAGGACCAGGCACTTGAGAGTTGTTGTCCTCTCAAGGTAGTGTTTCAACTCGGTATAGAAGAGTATGTGCTCACCAAAGTCGCTGGCATCATTGCACATTCTCAATGATAGTCGTTGGAGTGACGGTGCAAAGTGGAGGATGCTGTCAAAGAGGAGGCGAGGCGCTCGGTACATATGTGTAGTGAATGTTAACTGGCCTGGAACGGAATCTGCGAGTGTGAGTGATCGCAAGCTGGTGAGCGTTGAGTTGAGCAAGCTGCGGCAAATGATACTGTAAGGGTGGCTTGGATAGTTGAGAGCTGCGAGGTACAGCGTGTCCTTGTCCTCATAATAATCACCAATCGATTCTGCTTCCAGTTCAAAGTGCAAAGAGAGTGACTCTAGGTGTGGATAATCGTTTGAGAGCCGTATGAAAGGCGCCAGTATCCTGGACGGAGAGTTGTCGCCTTCGTCATCTGTACAGTGGATCTTGAGCTCAAGTTGCTTGAGGGTTGAGGGCAGATTTGAGTTAAACACCTCGGGGAAATCGATATAGCCACTGTACGACTCTAGCTGATTGAGTACATCTTGGAATGTTTTGTTGTGAACTTCCAAAGGACTTTGGCTGTAGTCGTTGGTCCAGCAGTCTATGGTTAATCGCAAGCCGACAAGTGGGAGGGAAAAGGGTGTCTCCCTGGAGCCAGCCTCACATTTCTCGAGTAGAGAATTTATATCATTAGAACGACCAATGATCAAGCGACATACAATCGACTTGACAATACCGTGGAATTGCCAACAAACTAGATTGAGTGATAGGAATTGTTTGTTGAGGTCTATAAGGTACTTCCTTTGCCTGGGCTCACTACGATAGCTAATGTATCCATATCTAAGTTTGAAGGAATTGATCAATTGTTGATTCTCTCTCCACAATTGTAATATAATCGTTTGGAAGCAGTTATAATTGAGTAACATATTATTATGTGATTGTATGATGGTCCGCCTAATTTGAAAGTGATTAGAATGAATGGTCCACCACCTGATTTGTTATTCAACATTCGTTTTCCCCAGTGAGCAAATTGACATCTGTCAAATCATTCATTTCAGTTGATGGTTTATATGCTAACAGATGAATCTCTTCATTTATTAATACAACAATACTACACTGTCCATTATTGTCGGGCTTGCCAGGGACACAGATCAAGTACAAGTGATCACTTGCGAACAAATACCGATGCACCTTTCAGTCGTTTGTACTGGAAGTTGAGCAGAGTGTCCCATCGGAAGGTGACAATGTCGAATTGATACAGGTTTGAAAAGCTCTCCTTTGTGGTCGGATTCGTACCTCCTACAAGATAGACATGGTGCGATCCATCAAAGAAGCAAGCATTGGTCAGGATCATTGCCGTTGGCATCACGATATCCAGTGTGTCCCATTTGTTGTGCTCGATTGAATATCTCTCTATCCTGTTGAGACACTTGTTCTGTTGTGATGAGAAGCCGCCAAACACATAGATGTATCCATTCTCAGAGTCAATCGCCGCGCCAGCACTGTAGGCGCCTGTCTGAAGTGGCGCCATCTCTTGCCAGCTGTCCGTCTCGACGTCGTAGCGGTCCACCGAGCAGACGGACTCGCCCGACATGTTGCAGCCACCAATTGCGTATATCTTGTTTGAGTGTTGGTCGTAGACGGCCGCCTGCTTCCACAGACTCTTCATGGTGGCCAGTTTGTTGAACTGTTTGGTAACCAGGTTGAAACGTAGTAGTGCTGTTGATCGTGGGAAGCCACTCAGCAGGTAGATGAAGTTGTTGTTGTCGTAGACCGACGCATGCAGGTAGCGACCGCCGCCCGGTATCTCTGTCTCGATGGTCTCCCAACGGTCCTCGTTGATGTCGTAGCGTGTGATCTTGGTTGGCGCCAGACTGCCGCCAAAGTTATATATAGAGTTCCTGCCATCGTAGGTGGACGTGAAGTCATTGTCCATCTGATGCAACGGACACATTGGCAGCCACTGGTCCTCCTGGAAGTCGTACTTCTCCACGGCGTACTTGTCAAACTCGTGGAGACTGCCTCCGATCGAGTATATCGACCATTGTCTAGGCAGCTGAGCATTGAGCTCTTGATATTCGGCTTGTTGTGATGTTGTAAATTTAAGTTGTCCAAACACTGGCAGTGGTTGTTTCTTCTTGTCAATGCCGCCAGAGTGTCTCATGAAGCAGCTGGAGCTACCAAGACTTGTACTCTCGCTACAGGTACTTCCACTACTGCTGCCGCTGCTGCTACCTTTGCTGCCTCCTTCGCCTCCACTGCTCTTCATCGGACTTCCGTTGAGAGTACATTTTGGTGGCTTGTCTTGTGTTGGTGTGGCACTGTCCTCAACGACATCTGGCGATTGGAAGGTCTCGACCTCCTCATCAACAGGCACACGAGGAGCTTTGCTACTTGGTCGGCTGTTGCTGTTGTTGACAACAATGGGCGCCACGCCCTGGAACTCCCCGGTCCATATCCAACTAATGACATCTATTGACTCTTTGAGCAGGGCCATGTGATCCAACTTGAGGTACTTGCCATGACTATCGGCATTGTCTCCAGTGAAGCACAATGATGACGTGGACTTGCTGATCTTTATCGATGGCACCGATGAGAGGGTGGCTGACGATGACTGTATAAGCTGGCTGGAGGACAGCGATGGTGATAGGCCGATGGCCTTTGGTGATGTCTGAGGCTGATGTTGTTTCTGTTTGATTCGTCTGTCAAGGTCCTCTATCATCTGTTGAGCCCTGTCCCTATTCTTCTCTAGCATCTGTTTGTGTGACTCTAGCTCCACAGCCAATTGAGTGAGCATTTCCATCTTGCGATCATTCAAACTATTGATCAATGCATCAAAGTCCTGCATTATGGACCTCTTTGTTTCAACGAATGATTGATCGCACAACTCCAATGTCTTTTCACTAATCTCTTTGAAGGATTCCAATTGAAGCTTGGTCCTTTCTAAATGTGATTCACTCATTGTTTGTTGTTGTTATGGTTGTATAAATAAATATAACTATCTAACTATATATATAAATATATAACTATATATTTTGTGACTGACTATCCTAAAGATAATGTTTTGTACTTGGTATTAACATTGAATTGTTCAATGTGATGTAATAATATATGTTTGTTAATTGTGATGATGAATATGATTGTTGGATGGGTGCTGCTGAATGTCTTTGAGATAAGTCACGGGCTTGTTCTTCCCAAACCCAGCGGAACTGGCGTGATGATCCAAATGGGCGAGTGTGGTTTGCGTGTCGTTGGGATATTTGTGAGTGCGTGGGTGTGTGCCAATGACCTTCTTCTTTTGTGAGGTTCAAGTTGAAACCAATCTATTCCTTTGAATATTAATGGTCTGTCTACTAAGTTGCGATGTTTATGTCTTTGTTTGATTGGTTGGAACGGAGCTGGCTGCTGGCTACCTGGCTGGTCCACCACAACTGCAGTAGTTGCAGGTAGAGAGTGTGAGTGAGTGAGTGATTGAGTGATAATCAATGATGATGATGATGATGATGAGGCAACAGTTTGATTGTGAATAGAATAGGAAGTGATATGATTAAGTATTAGTAGTTGTAGTTGTAGTAATAGATAGAGATAGAGAAGATAGAGATAGAGAGGTTTGGATAGATAGAGAGAATTGTACAACTATTAAGTGTTTGGACGAAATAATGCTATGTTGTGGTTGTGTGTGTGGGTATGTGTGTCGTTATTTAGTCAGTTCTATTCAGACTCATCCACATCCACATCTCACCACCACCTACAACTACAACATCAACAACACAGCACACCAAACAAATAATTAACACTCACACACATAATATGAGGAGGTGGATGGAGATAACAAGCACCAGCAGCACATCCTTCCATACATCCGTGCTCTTTATTCTGCAGATCGATCATTCATTCATTCATTCATTCACACCACCCTCCCTCTTCTTCTCAACTCATTGTCAACACTCAGTGGTTCCTGATTTGTACTTGTATCACTTTATAAAGTGATAAACCGTGTTTACGTTTATTTGTTTGATGTTTACCAGGCAGGCTTCACCTTCCTTGCTACTACCAACACAAACTGATTGATTGACTGATTGATTGACTGATTGGTACAACAAAAGAGTTTGATTGGTTATTTATATAAATATTGTACAAATAATTAAACTTGGTTATCTACATTGGACGTGTAGGCTACTACTAACTTCCTGGCTGGCTGACTGGTCGACTGGCTGGCTGACTCATCCAAATGTACTACGATATGTAGACACGTTGAACTCGCTCAATTGGCTGAACACAGATTGGACATGATTGAAGGAACTGGGAGCAATAAATACAGATGGCATAATGGCCACACCATAACAACACTGTGTCGGCAGGACGCTCCCAACACACCTTGCAGTATCTCTCATCGCCTCGTGACGATGTCGAAATCACAGAGTGCAAGTTGCTATTCTCTCTTCGATGTAACTGATGATGCGCTGGTTGTTGTTGTTGTTGAGTAGTCTGTGTTGTCGTAGTCGTCGTCGTCGTCATCTGTTGTATCTGTCTATTATTATTATTATTTACATATTGATTGTTGTTGTTGTTTACAATGTTATTATTACTACTACTATGATATGATAATGCACTACTACTATTCCTATAAATACTACTACTGTTGTTGATGTTGATATTACTATTACTACTATTATGGTTGTTGCCATTGTTGTTATGTTCGCTCAGGTAGTCGGTTGAACGATTGGGTTTGAGCATGCTGGCCGATGATGTGGGCTGATTGGAGACAGAGTCGCGATCTTGAATGCCATTGTCAATGCCAGATATGGGTGCCAGTGGATTGAACACAGAGTCTGTGCTGGACCATGACGAGGCCAGACTGTCTGTAGTCGTGGCGTTGTTTGCGTTGGCTGTGTTGGTGGTCGCCACTACATTGTTATTGGTGATGTTGTTGTTGGCAGGTGGTGGATTGGCGGGTGGCGCCATGACCAGAGGCATGGTGGAATGGATGTTGGCAATGCTGGGTGTGGGCGTGGGCAGCACCTGCTTGGTGACCTTGTTTGACTTGCAGAACGCCTCGTTCAGTATGGCCACGGTGGTGGTGTGGCCGCCTGCCTTGGCAATGTAGACGGCCGTTCGGCCATTGATGTCGCGCTTGTTGACATCGGCGCCAGCGTTGATCAGGAAGCGGACCATCGTGTCGTCACCCTCGCTTGCTGCCCACATCAGGCCAGTCATCTTCATCTTGTCCGTAAAGTTAACGTCGAGTGCGCATGCACTACTGCTGCTGCTGCTGCTGCCTGCTCCTCCGGCCTGCTCGCTGCCCACACTCCAGCCATAGTCGCCAAACAGAATCTCGACAAACTTGGCGTCGCCATTCTTGACGGCGACGGCCAGGGGCGTGTCGCCCGAGACCGCCATCACATTGGGGTTGGCGCCAGAGCGCATCAGCATCGAGACCATCTCCTCGTCGCTGTTGAGCACCGCGTTGAGGATGGGTGTGACGCCAGTGTTGGTGGGCAGGTTGGGGTTGGCGCCCACCGATATCAGCTCCTGTACGAGCTGTTTACGGCCGAGACTAACTGCCCTGTTTATCAGAGTGCATCCATTCTGGTCCCTTATATCATTGATATCTATCTTTTTTAACTTCCTAAGGGCCTTCCTAAAGTTTGCATCTTTGCCCTTCAATGATTCGAATGCTCTTTCCTTGCATTTACTCTCTGATGTACCCATCTTGCTTTGATTGATTGTATCTGTGTATCTGTGTGTCTGTTTATGTGTTAGGATATTACTACTTGGTATAGAATACATGTGACCTACAATTTACAACAACTAATAAGTTGTGTTTGGGAAAGAAGTATTGTTACAAATGCTAACTTGTTTGATTGATTGATTGATTGACGACTGAATATGTGTGTCAACGATATTTAAACATATAATAATGCTAGCATATGTTTGTGTGTGTTTGTTTGATTAATAGTGCTACACGTGTAGAATAATGTTGTGATAAATAATAAGATGGGGCCTGGTTTGTTTGTTTGTTTGTTTGAGTGTTTGCTTGTTTGTGTGTTTGACTTGATTGATTTGATTGATTGATTGATGGTTGTTTTGTGACCCAACCAAACACGAACCACAACCATACCCCTTTCTGACCATTCCATTCTCAATCACTATTAATTTCGTCATCAAGCAAAGATATTAGTGTTAATCATTTATGTCTCTCTTATTAAATCCAATTATATAATTTAAATAAATTATAATCTAATCATAACAAATATATATACAATACTTTATTAATAACTTAAAACAAGAATACTGTATTAAGAATGACTTCTCTATCTCTATCCTTCTCCAGCTCCTTTGTTTTTTGAAACTTCGACAAGACACAAGTTTCAAAACAAACGCGTTCAAACTTTGCCCCTTTTTGTTTATGACTTGTGTGATTCAACGACTCAGTTCAGAACATCATCAACTTCACTTCACTTCATTGTCATCATATATATTTTTATACTAATATATATAACATATAATGATTTGTTCAAGTACGTATCATACAGGGCTTATCACATCACATAAATAGACTCAATCGATCAATCAATCAACGATCAATCAATGAACGATTTGGACCCAGCTCATTCACCCACAATGACAACAACAATGACAATGACAATGAACTAACACCTTTATATAATATTATAATCATTGTAGTATCAGGAGAGGTACCAGAACAACCAGTTGTCTCTGTAAAGACTGGAAATGTTTATGAACGTAGATTGATTGAGAAGTTCATCGATGCTAATGGAAAGGAGCCAACGACTGGCGAGCCTTTGACAGTGGCTGATTTGGTGACGATAAAGAGCCCCGGCTCAAGAGCTGCCGGCGGTGTGGGCGGCGGCCCCCTGCGACCACGCACCAGCACAGCAACCAGCATCCCATCAATGCTACAGATGTTCCAGAACGAGTGGGATGCTCTCATGCTCGAGACCTTCACATTGAAGCAACAGTTTGAGACCGTCAGACAAGAGTTGGCTCACTCTCTCTATCAATACGATGCTTCATGTCGTGTCATTGCCCGTCTCATCAAGGAGAGGGATCAGGCCAGAAGGTTCGTACCATCGATTGGATCTATAAGGAGTTAGAGCTCGCGCGTACGTGCAAGTCGTCTAACACAATGTCACGTGTCTTCGCGACGTCCATTCACACTCACATACAGTGCCCTTGCGAACGTGCGACTAAGATCATCGGCAGAGAACAATCAATCATCGGATACCTCAATGCAGGTTGACTCTGAACTGAGTGAGGATGTAAAGGGAAAGATCATAGAGAAGTCCAAAGAGTAAGATCACCCCTTTGTATGATCACGGAATGATTCCATGTCCAGCGACTAACATCATCATCATCATCATCATCACACACATTCACAGACTGACACAACAGAGGAGACAGAGAGCGAAACAGGCAGCCATCAAGACTGAGCAGTATGAGACGATGACTACATTGCTCTCGACCAACCCTCATAAATCAAGCGCAGAATTGACTTGTCTGGACTACCACCCTAACCAATCTTGGATCGTCACGGGAGGCGCCGACAATGACGCCACCATCTATGACATGGACAACTCCAAGGTCGTGGCCACATTCAAGGGCCACACCAAGCGTATTAACCGCGCACTCTTCCACCCCACTGAGGACCTCGTGGCCACCGCCAGTGCCGACAAGACTGTGCGCGTGTGGAAGTCGACAGGCGGCGCAGCCGTCAACGTGATCAAGAAGCACAGCGACGAAGTCACTGGAATCTCACTGCATCCGCTCGGCAACTACTTGGCCACGAGCTCCCTCGACGCCACCTGGGCTCTGCACGACATTCACACTGGCGCCACACTAATGACTGTGGACGCCAACGATGGCAACGATGGCTACCGCGCCATCAGCTTCCACCCAGACGGCATCATCATCGGATTGGGTTCGGTGGATCGCAAGCTGACCATTTGGGACGTGACATCCAAGAGTTGCCAGATCACGCTGGAGGGCCACACGGCACCCGTCACTGCGTTGGCATTCTCAGAGAATGGCTTCCACATGGCCACGTGCGACGACAAGACAGTGAGGATCTGGGATCTCCGCCAGTCACAGAAGCCACAACAGTGCTGCGTCAAGACGATCGACTTCCCAGGCGGCCAGGTCAAGTCGCTGGCGTGGGACCCCTCTGGCAATCTGCTGGCCATCGCCGGCAATGGCATATCAATCTATGCCAACAACAAGAAGAAGGACTTTATCCAGGTCAAGACGATCAATGATGACAACATCTACACCGATCTCAAGTGGTCAAGCAACTCGAATAACCTCGTCACCACATCGATGGATTCAACATTGAAGCTATGGGGCAATCAATAAGATACATGACCTCTCCTAAAGTCTGATCATCATCGTCATTATCAACAGTTGTCCATCTAATCAAACAATCAAACAATCAAACAACAGAACCTGCAGCTGCATTGTATCTATCCAACACTATTATCTTTCTTATCAACATTCAATCGATCAAGTGATCGATGTGAGTTGGAATCAAATAAACAACTACAATCATTATCACAAAGTATTCCACCAGGCCTGGATGGATCAAATGGAAGGAATGTCAAAAAAAACAAAAAAGAACAGACACACGACATTTTTGAATGAAAAAGTGTGTTCAACCGAATTCCCCAACTGGGGGTGAGAGTGAGCAAACAATGTTTGATCTGATGGTTTGTTTGGTCGTGTTGATGACGGGATGGGGTATCATTATGTTATATATATTGTTTACTAATATAATCAAATATCTTTATTTATTTAATTATAACATTATTATTATTATGTATAGTTAGTTATTATTTCAATCAATCAATTAATCAAGGACTAGTCACACACTCAATCAATCAATCACACTCAATCACAACAAATCAATCAATTAGGCCTTGTGCCAATACATATATAGCAACAAGATGTCAATAGTTATAACATCTGGTGGTGGCACAAGTAGCGATGATAGATTGGATGACACCAGTGATGTACCTGTAATCATTGTACTGGATGGAAATGGGAAAGCCAGATCTAATCAACATCAGAAACATCGTGGTGGATACAGTAAATACAGTATGGATGATTATGATTATGACAATGATGATGAAGTGGACGATGATGGATATGCAGGCGATCACGATGATGACGTCCATCTGATAAAAGGAAGACTTAGACTACAATCAGCAACCACACATCATGGAGATGGCGATCACGATAATGATGATGATGATGAGTATGATGAAGAGGACCAGTTCTACGACAGGTCGAGCGTGGACACAATGCCAACACGTGGAATAACAAGCAGGATAAAGAGTGTCGATAGAGGAATGCACAAGATATTCTCATATCACGATATCCCCTCTGCAGGCGGGGTCTCTGCCATGGACGATGCGATGAGTGACCATCACTTGGTGCTTCGAAGGAGCTTTGGTCGTGATGATGGCGAGCCTGGTGGTGGACTGCTGGTCGTATCCACACGCTCACGATCCGGTAGTCAGGAGGAGGTGTTTGAGGACGTTGTCTTGGAACAGGATGCTCAAGAGGTGGACGGCGCCAACAAACCCGTGTCGCCATCACCATTCAAACAGTTGATCACACAAAAGTTGCGTTCACTATCCACTCACATCGACATCAATGAGAAGTACATGACATTCCCGGTGGGCGCCGGTGGCGGTGTCGGTGGCGGTCGTCTCGTGCACAGCCAATCACAACAACAACAATTGAACAAATCAAACTCATCGCTGCCCAATGGTGGCGGTAACAGTGGCAATGGTCACAAGATCTCATCACCATCAACAACAGCGCACTCATACTCAATCAATCATACTACATCCTTTGTATCAATGCCCAACCTTATGCAACCACAACAACAACAACTACCAAAGTCACAGTCACAATCACAATCATTACTGCAACATAGCACAGACACGACACCATCGCTCACGCCTCGACTGGGCGCGGTAGTGGTGCACTCCACTTCTGCGACGCCTACCCATACTCCATTCTCAACGCCAAGCAAACATGCCAATGGCGGCAGCATCAATCATCACGATCACAACAACATACACACACCTGGCGCCATACTGTTGAGCACGCCCGGAGTCCTGCCCATCGCCCATCACCACTCCCTGCTGCTCGAGCCCCAGCAGCACCTAGCCTCGTCGATCACGCGCCCGATCCTCTCGTCCGAGACCAACAAGATCAGCAACAAGCTCATCGTCCTCCTGGCTCTCTCCATCTTCTTCAGCGTGTCCAACCTATACTACATCCAGCCGCTGCTCAACATCGTCGCCGAGGAGTTCCACGTCGGCTACTCAGTGGTGGCGCTCACCACCATGGCTGTGCAGGCCGGCTACGCGGTCGGCCTGCTCTTCATCTCGACGCTGGGAGACATCATATCAAAGAAGCGACTCATTCTCATTCTATCGGCAAGCAGCTGTCTCAGTCTGGTGGGCGTGGCGCTCTCCTTCCACATCGTCCAACTGATCATCTTCCAGTTTGTTGTTGGCTGCTCCACGATAATACCACACATTGCGATACCACTGGCCATTGACCTGTCCAACTCGACAGAGCGCACTGGTATCCTCAGCATCCTAATGTCGTCACTCTTTGTCGGACTACTTGGCGCACGAGTACTCAGTGGCATCATCACAGAATTCCTCGATTGGCGAGGTGTATACTATTTTGCCTCCATTGTAATGTTCATAATATCTATCCTACTCTTCCTGCTTCTACCATATACACCAAGTATGTACATTACACCTTGTTGGCCTTGGGTGGCCTTGGCCTAGGCCTTGAGTCCACATAAATGCCGAACACTAACTAACTCACTCACCCATCAATCAATCACTCACTGGAACTGTCCCAATCATTCAATTACTCAATCACTGGAACTGTCCCAATCTCTCAATTACTCAATCAATCACTCGATCAATCAATCAAAAAGGGAGCCAGAACCCAATACCTTACAAACGATTGCTTTCATCAATATTTAGATTGTTCAAGACTGAGCCAACACTGATACAGACGAGCTTTATTGGCAGCGCTGTGTTTGCCACATTTTCCATATTGTGGACAACGTTGTCGTTCAGATTGAACGAACAGCCATTTCACTATAGCAGTGGATTCATTGGATTGTTTGGCCTGATTGGCATGGCGGGTGCCGTCACAGCGCCATTCGCCAATCGTCTCACCGACTGCTTCCCCAACATCATGATCGTCCTCTCACTCGTGGTCTCTGTCGTTGGCTACACCATACTACTTCTATTCGACAATCATCTGTTGGCCATCATTGCCGGTATATTCATTCTAGACTTGGGCGTTCAATCATGTCACATCACGAATCAATCAAGGAATCATCAGTTGGCCACCAACAACAATCGTGGCGCTGGCGAACATTCACTTGGCAGCAGCAACAGTAGTAATGGGTCCTACACATTCACGCCAAGGACACATATCAACGCGGCTTACATGGCGTCATACTTTGTCGGTGGCGCAGTTGGCAGTGGATTGTGTGGCGTCGTCTATGAGTACGCCGGATGGAAAGGTTCCTCCATACTAGCCATGGTATTCCTGGGATTGGCCATGGCAGGACATCTCTCACTCTACAAACTGCACCACAACAACATTGCTGTTGATGTCGATAACAACGAATCAATCAATGTAATGCAAGAGATAATATAAGTGGTTTATAAACCAAAACCCGAATCCATGAGGGTGGATTCGGGGATAACATGTCCACCCAATCAACCGTTGTGTGTGTGAAATGATGATGTGTGTGAGAAGTCAATCGATCACACTCGTCTTTGACTTTTCATTCATTCTTCCCACACACGTAACGTTTTCTAACATTTTTATTTATTTGTTTGCACAACAACTGTAACTTTCTGCCTTTCATCAACATTCTTTGACACAAATACGAACTTGTTGTTCATTCATCAAAGTAAATCTTTAGATTCTTACGAACATATAATAGAATATACAGGCAATCAATCAATCAGTCAATCCAATCAAGTAGGTTTCAACATCTAGTGTCAACCTTCAATACATCAACATTGCTCGCACTACCATTCTCTCTATCTCTTCCTTCCCCCATTTTTCTTGACCTTGTGTCACACCCTTCGATTCAAACAACAACAACAGCGTCCTTCACACCTCTCAATCGCACCCTCTCCCCACCTTCACTCTATCACTCCACTCATTCAATCAAAGCTTCAACTCATTTCAACATTCATTCATTCAACATTCATACACATAATCAATTACAAATAATATAATATATATATTTACTCTTTTACGACAGATAATTCAACATCAACAACAAGAATTAGAACATCATCAATATCATCATCAACAATCAAATTGATAATTGTTTAATTTTATAACTTATAATTACTTTAAGAGATAAAACAAAGCATATTATACCATTAATGTTGTTGCTTAAAGACATCACAACAAAGTCATTGCTGTTCAACAATATCAACAACAAACATCATCACCAACAAGTACACATACCTATGTGTCCAACATCAACTTGAATGATCCTTTAGTGTTGTAACTATCTTTCCCTCTCTGTCTCATTCTCTCTAAATCTATTGGAGTGCAGATCTCAAAGCCACAAAGAAGAAGAAGAAGAAGAAATATATACTTACCTTATACCTCTCAATCATTAGTTATAACAACAAAAAACAAACAAACAAACAAATATTATACAATTACAAAGTATCAACATTATTCAATATCAAACATATCAAAACCTACTACTATCTATTCATTATACATATAATCTCAATCGATAAGATTTAGATTATTGTTAATTATCAGATAATACCCAAAGTTATTAGCGATCACGTCTAGCTCAGCCATTTCAGCAGCCACGACGACGATCACATCAGAAGAGTTCAGTCCTTCTCAACAACGTTTTATGCGTACAACAACAACCACCAACCATTCCAATCATTCTACCTTCTTCTTTATAAAGAAACCTCTGCCGAGCATTATATCACACATATTAAGTAACAATGGCGCAAGTTAATATACCTCGCACTGTCACCGACAAATTCTATCGCTACAAGATGCAAGTCCTCCAGACCAAGGTGGAGGGCAAAGGAAACGGAATCAAGACTGTAGTTTTGAACCTTCCAGCAGTTGCACGTGATCTAGATCGTGCTCCAGAGTGTAAGTTTGATTGATCAACAACAATCATCACTCAATCAATCACACTTACACTATCCAACATTCATTATCATTATCATTAGACATTACCAAGTTCTTTGAGATTGAGTTGGGCTCACAGACCAACATTGAGAGTGGCAAATACAGTGTCAATGGAGATCATACCACTGAGACATTGGCCAGAGTGTTGGACACATTCATTACAAGATATGTCCTCTGCGGACATTGCAAGAACCCAGAGACAAAGTTCATTATCAAGACCAAGAACATGGATCTAAAGTGCGCCGCTTGTGGAAACAAGACCGCCTTGGATCTAAAGTCCAAGATGAGTGGCTTCATCCAGAAGAACCCACCAAAGGCATCAAAGTCCTCAAGAAGCAAGACTACCGCTGACGAGGCAACCTCAAAGCCATCGTCCAAGGATTTCAAGAAGCAGAAGGAGGAAGAGGAGGACGACGAGGAGTGGTCCGTTGACGTCTCGGAGAAGTCTGTTGAGGAGAGAAAGTTGAAGGCCATCGGCCAATCGACTGCCGTTGTCATGGCCATGATGGACATTGGTGACGTCGATGAGACCGACCCAGTGGCCTACATGACTGCAATGCTCGTGTCGGAGCAGGAGTTCATCAACAACCTGGACACCATCAAGGAGAAGTTCTCTCTTCCAAGAAGCTATGATGTCTCAAGAATCGCCATTGAGGCCATCGGAAACAAGTCGGCTGCCAACATCATCAACGCCATCAAGAACAGAAAGGCATTGTTGAGGACCATCGTCAAGAAGAAGGATGGACAATATGGAGCAATTCTTGGCATTGAGCAGATGTGCGGCAAAGACGAGACTCTGCTCAAGAGCCTTGTGTCCTTGTTCAAGATCCTCTATGACGATGATATCATCAGCGAGGAGGCCTTCCTCAAGTGGGATGACAAGACCAAGGTCAAGGATGTCAAGAAGGCTGCTGCGCCCTTCATTCAGTGGTTGAGAACTGCTGATGAGGAGGAAGAGGAAGAGGATGAGGAAGAGGAGGAAGAGGAGGAAGAGGAGGAAGCCGAAGAGGAGGAAGGTGAAGGCGAGGAAGAGGAGGAGGAAGAGGATGAGTAGATTAGATTGATCCATCTTTGCCATCAAAGTTGCCATCATCTGGCCTATTACCATCAGTGTTATTGTGTTCAAATAAAGAAGTAGTATTGCCAAGACAATACCAATCATCATCTACATCTTTCAATCCAAGTTGTTCCTTACATCATTTTATCAACAATCAACGAGACAATTGAACAGATAATATCTTCAATATGATCGACTTTAAGAGATTAATGCAAGAAGAGAAGGAGAAGGCCAGGACAACATCTGCAGCCAAAGTAGTTCAAAAGAAAGACAACAATAACCAAGATATCTACCGTTCACAACATGACAAACAGAGTACTGGTTCTCCAGGTCCTGACTATAAAGTGTATTATAATATCGATGATGACCAGTTCGATTTGGAATCAAACTGTATGATTGCAAGAGAGAACAAGGTGAAGGGAGGCAGTGTGGATGGTATCTACTACGTCGAAGAGTATATCAACAAAGATGAGGAACAAGCCATTCTAGACAATGTCTATTGTGATGACTACAAACAGCAATGGGTAGAGTTGAAGAAAAGACGACTCCAGAACTGGGGAGGCAACCCATCTTCAACAGGCATGTTACAGGAACCAATGCCAACTTGGTTGGATGATATCTGTATGTATACAACCATCCCTCAAGTTGGAGCAGATATCCTAACATAACAGTAACTAAAGGCAACAGAGTGTTCCAATCCAAGTGTCTCCCTGTCAAGCCCAATCATGTATTACTCAACGAGTACTCATACGACCAAGGCATCATGCCACATAAGGATGGTCCTCTATTCTATAACTGTGTAACCATACTCAGTCTTGGAAGCACTTGTAAGTTGCACTAATCCCCTGGATGAGTGTATGATCATACTTTGGACTAACTTGTAATCACTCAATCCAATCTAAGGTCTAATCGACTTCTACAAACAATTGAATGAGGATCCGGTTCAGTCTCTATTGTTGCAGCCACGATCACTACTGATATTCACAGGGGAGGCCTACAAGACCTACTTCCATGGAATCAAAGAGTCATTTACAGATGTATGTTGTAGCTAGCAAGCATTGGATGAAGCGACTAACGTTTATATTTGAACCTCTGTTGTTGTGTAGGTTATCACTGAGAAAGTCGTGAACAGAGGATCCATAGCCATCGGTACAGAGTTAGAGAGAGAGGTTCGTGTATCACTGACCATCAGGATTGTACCAAGAATAAAGTGACATTGACATTGACATTGGCATTGTATGTAGTATATCGATCATATGATCGATCACATGAATGATTGATTGAGGTATCCATTGAGAGCAGTAGTTCATTCAACATGGGAATGAGTTCAGTGTCCTTGTAGCCATCAACAGCATGTCATAGAATGAATTCAAAGATCTCCTCAGGTCATCTGGATTGTTCGATGCGTACAGTCTACATTGAAGTAGGTATGAGTATGCTGTTTACATCACACCGCATCGACAAACTTACATTCTAAACTTTGAGTCCTCTACAGAGTACTTCCTATATGTATTCAAATTGATCTCCTTGTCAACCTCTAGAGCATTCATAACGAATGTAGCGTATTGAGTTGTCTTGTAATCAAACTCTGCCTCACTGTATTGTTTGTTGTTAATGTTAGTAAGGTTGTTGTTGATGTTGAGTCCTGATTTAGATACTTACTATTTATACTTTAGATGTTTATGATCAACTACTCTCTTTGCTCTTGTCTCCTCATCACTGTAGTCGTCATCCTCCATCAATGGTTCATTGTCGTCCATGGTCGTTATTGTGTATCTTTGAAAGATGAAAGTGTTGGTTCAAAGACGAATGAATGTTGAAGTTGTGTAATTTAGTGAACATCAAATCAATCAGGATTATGAATGAGTGAGATTGGTGATCACATTAAAAGTGATTAGTTTATTCCATGGCATCGTCATGCTCCTCATTGTCCTCTTCCATATCGTCTCCTGCATCACCATCAGCATTGGCATCATCATCGGCATCATCATCTGCTGCATCATCGAACGACTCGTCATCATCATAGTAATAATAGTAAGCCTCGCTTTGACCAGCAAAGCTGTTGAATGGGAATGAGTTGACGGCATTCTCCTCATCAGTCCACCATGATAGACCAAAGTTGTCCAGATCCTCCACCTTCTCAACCAATGAAGGCCAGTCACTGCTATTGTATCCATCAAAGTACTCGTTGTAGTTGTTGTCCACGTACCTCTCGTACTTCTTGCGAGTGATGTCAGGACCATATGGCAGTGTGCCCTTCTTGGTCCTCTTGGTTAGCTTCTGCATTACCTCCTCGCTGGCCTTGGCCGACAACAGTAGGGCGATTCCATTGGCTTTGTCCGAAGGCACAAGGGTCTTGGCGCGCTCCAGCACCTGAGGAGTGGGCAGATAGGCAACACCAAAGCCACGGTTCAAGTACTTGATCAGACGTCTCTGGTAGATGTGCTGGCCTCGGATGTTGTGGCCATACTGTGTGGCAAAGTTGTAGCGGTAGTTGATCGCGTTCAAACCGCGCGAGGTAGTCCATACCCGCTCGCCATCAAAGGCGAAGCAGGAGCCTTCAATGTCCACACCCAATAATACCTCCTGGATGTTCTGATGAGCGACGACATTGACTTGAATGTGGCGGTATGGGTAGTGTCTGGAGAATGTGATCTCTGTGGTACTGGTCACGATGCTGTACTCGTCCATCTTGTCAAACAATGATAGCAAACGGGTGACCTTCTCCCTGACCTCTTCCTCATTTTGGAAGCCATAGAAGCAGATGTCAATGTCCGAGGACTCAAAGCCAACGGTCTCGCCCGTAAGCGAAGAGGCCATGCCTCCTCCAATGACCACCATGTTCTTCCAGTCGTCCTTGGTAAAGTTTGCGAAGCGGTTTGATGTGAACTCGGCAAAGTTCTTGAGGAAGGTATCCATGTCGACGATGGATGGCGTGCCCACCGGCTTCTTGCGGTCCTCAGCCAGAGGGAACAGGACCAAAGACTCGGGAAGTGGCTTAATAGTGAACAGGTTCTGATTGGCATAGACATCAAACAAGAGTTTGTCGTCATATGGAATCTTGAAGATGTTCTGTGGGATGGAGTACATAAGACTCCTAAAGAAGAACTGATGGCGAATGAACATGGACTCGAGGAGTGATTGGACTGGGAACAGATCGTCCATTGTCTCCTGATTGTGGAGTGGCTTGAGCTTGATCATCAAGAACTCTGCCACCTCATTGCCAACGGGTAACTGGTCCACAAGACAGTGATGACAGAACTCACGCAAGACATCCAAAGGCATCTGAGTGATCTTGGAAAAGAATTCATCGCGATCCCTACGGTTATGGAGTAGTTTGTGTGAGTGATTGAGTGAGTGTGAAGTATGTTTGTGGACATAGCTTACAGCAAGAACAACTCCTTGAGCAAGGAGTAACAGAGTGTCTTGAGGGGTGGTATACTGTGTCTGAGTGGTAGCATCGAGGTGTAGATGCCATAGAAGCCATCCTTTGGCTCGAATGAGGCATTGGCCTCAAACTCCACATTGGTGAGCTCCTTGTACATATGACGGAAAGTTGCAATACCGTCCTCCATGTTGTAACACTTGGTTGACACCTTCTCAAAGTCCCTCTCGCCATCTGTATGTTTGAGAACGAGTGTTAGTAATCAATGAACTATGGATTGGATCCATCCATCTCAATATACATACAAATATGTGTCTCCTTGATGACTGATGACTCTGGCTTCTGACTGTACACCATCAAGTATACTACCTCAACTCGATCATTGTCAATATAACGAGCAAGAGTGGCTTCGTATGTTCTCTTGTCATCCTTGTGAGGAACAAGATGGTGAGAATGGTATGGTCTTGGATACTGTTGTGCAGCAGGCTATTGAAGTGAATAAAGGAAGGAAGAGTCAGTATCTCCTTCAATCAATCAATCAATGAATTGACAACATACATTGTTCCTGAGGAACTTGCGGAACAACTTGAACACCTCACCATGTCGGTCGTACTGCATTTGCTCACGGATGGCCAGTGGAAGAGTGTACATGTAACGAGTGAATGCTGCGAGGATGAGGTCGTGGTTTCCAACGGCAGAGACGATGGACACCTGATTGTAATTGGGCACTTCGGTATAGTACAACGCCTTGTTGTTGCGTTGGGGGAAGTAGACGATTGGCGAGAGATGGATCTGTTTGGACTCGAACTCGTTGAACTGACCAGCCTCGCAGATCTCCTTGGCAAAAGCAGGATAGTCGCGCACACGACGTGAGGGCTCAGAGTCCACCCATACTCTAGCACGTTGACGACGTTCCAATGTGGCCTTCATGGCATCAACCTGATGTTGACGAATTGGAAACTCCACAATCACATCTCCAGCAAAGCATCTATTTGTCGTCAAGTCCACTTGAGGATCGAGATGTCCAGTAGGTGGATGTGTTGCCAGTACCTTTGAGTACTGTTCATTCAAGTAGCTCATCGTTGTTTATTGGTTGACTGATTGATTGATGAGTAGTTATTGTTGTATGAGCGAGATGAGATGAATGTTTGTTTGACGAGTGGCACTCTGATTGAACAGACATGGTTGGCACGTCAACAGTCTATCATTCATTGTCAAATCACACCCATTCTTGTAAATTCTTATTTGTTTCACAATGAAGTATCTCTTTGGCAAAGCCAACAATGTGTTAAAATTCAAATGAATGAAGCTCACTCACTTGTTTCCCACTTTCCTGACCACAGGCAACTGGTTGAATACTCCCAAGCATTCCATGGTTTAATCATTCATTATTAATCCACCATTCAATCACTATTATTATTATTAACTACTACTATACTATTAGCATAAGCATTACATATACACATATACATTACACCATTAATGCCTCGTCATCACTATTGAAACTTGAGAATTGGATCTAACTCGACTATCCAACTCGGAAATGAATCAACTACTCCAACTCCACCAACTACAAACAACAATGCATTTAAAGTAAAGTTGACTGTCAATGGATTGCCATTCATTACCAATCAAACCTTCAATGCTTTGAACATTCAAAACTACAACTTGAACCTACCCTTGACCTCAATCAACTTCCACTTCCACTCCGCTCCGCACCCTCCCTTCCTCTCCTATCCATTTCCTACATGGGCCAACTAAACAACAACTTGGTACCTCTATTGAGTACCAACAACATTAACAAAGACCTTAACAACAATGCAAGAGGGTCCAGTTTAAACAAATCAACAGGATCAATCGCCACTGTTAATACGACTACAACTCCAACAACAGCAATGTCAAACACTTCATCATCAACAACAACAACAATTACATTATCTACAACAACAACACCATCTACAACCGACAATCTAATTCCATCAATGCCATCCAGGCCAACATTAAGACGTCGAAACTCAACCGGATCAATCCTGTCCACACCGAATTGGTTAAATGAACTTGTTCCGTGGAATGAATGCAAAGACCAACTGAATCCAAAGACGAGGTCTACCATCACTCAACCCACTACCACTACACAACTACTATCAGAGCCAGACAAATCCTCTGACTCACTTGTTACTACCTCCGAGCAACCAAAGCAAGCTGTGGTCCACAAAAGTGAGGAAGACCACTGTTTGCTAAACTGGCTCACCGAATTCAACATGCTAGAAGAGTCGACCGAGAGGGCTGATGCTGTTGTAGCGAAGCGTCAGCCTAGAATAACCCATCGCACACTGGAACAATTCCTCAAGACCATGGACACCACACCAGAAGTTATCGATGAGGAAGGCCAACAAACCAACATGGTGTTGACACCTACTCAACAATGTTCCGAGACCCATAATACCAAACTCCCCACCAATGCCTCGCGCATGGTCATCAAGCCAACATGGTACGTCTATGGCAACGCCCTCAACACTGAAAAGTTTGAGGACTGCCTGTACGATCAGTCAGCCGGTGGCATCATTGTAGATCACTTTGAGCCATTGGTCAACGAGCCAGACTTGTTCCAACTGTCTAGTGGCGGTCGTAGAATCCTGGAAACTCCAAACGCAGGCGGCAACTCGGTTTGGTCCGAGGTATTGTCCTACGAGGTGCTTCACCAGGTGTTTGGCGCCGAACTCAAGAACACAGAGACCGAGATCCAATACGTCCCAGGCTCAAAGATTACCGACTACTCAGTGATGTTTGACGACCATCACATTGGTGTGAGCGTGGTCAGAATCATCAACTTCTTTGACCTCATGGGCAAGAAGTACAAGGCAGTGTTCACTCCAGAGTACGCCAAGCAACTCCTTTATAAGAAGTTGTTTGGTGTGTTGGCCTCTTCAGAGGCTGTCATTGACAAATGGGAGAAGCAGATTCTCCACATTTGGACCACATCCTCTTCCACAGCCGACATTATCGTTCAAGAGTACTGGAAGATTCCCAAGAGGTTGAGGGCCAATACTCTGGTATACGTTACCCACGCCACCAACTCTGAATGGTTGTTCTGATCTGATCGATCATAACAGTATCAATTTCCAGACTCTGTACATTACATTATTCACTCTGGCGTCACAATATTGCCATCTTTTTGAAATTCAATCAATTAAACTTTATTTGGAACTATTCCAATCAATCAAGGATTAAAATATCATGTTTATTGTTGAATGAACATTGAACATGTTGTTGTTGATATCGAGTAAATCTGATAGGGATGAGGTAGTGACTTCGTAGCCGCCATGGATCATTATGAATGTGTTTGGATTGATCCTTAGCATCTCGACACACTGGAAGGTGTAGTAGAATTGGAAGTGATTGGTTACGAATGACTTGAGTATCTGGAGCGATCCAGAGATAAGCTGTTTGGCTGTAAGGGTCTTTGATGGCACCGGTTCAGACACGCGGATCATTCGAATTGATTGTTGGATTGGTTTCAAGTTGACCAATTGGGCATGATCAATGATTGAGTTTAGTATCACCTCGAGACTTTGATTGACAAAGGCACATGAAGTGTACTGTGCCCCAATTGCGCCTTTGAGTGACATCATCTCCAAAGTGCAGGGCAGTGCACCATCATTGATTGTGCCTGAGAAACAGGTACCAAATTCCAATCGCTTGAGTTTGTTTGGTAAGGTATCCACTGCGATAACTTGATTGAATTCATCGCCAAATACCAAGCGAGTGATGGTCGATGGTAGCACGTTGGACTCCAAAGGATGGTTGAAGTCTTGCCCAAGAGTCAGCTGTGTGATAGAAGGAGGTAGCATGCCTGGTACGAATGGTTGATTGAACCTGGCACCAAATGTAATGCTTTGGATTGATGATGGAAGGACGCCCGGTGTCAACAACTGATTGAACTTGGCCTTTCTTGTGAATGTCAAACTGGTTAGAGAGGCAGGTAATGCGCCAACATCTATTGGGCTGTCAAACTCTGTGCAAAAGAAGATATCTTTGAGAGTTGGAGGGAAAACTCCTGCAGCCAAGGGTTGATTGAAGTTGTCGCTGAGCGACAAAGAGACAAGAGAGTTTGGTGTCGATGTGATTGGATCGTTGAAGTCACCCAGTATGTTGAGTTTTGTTATCGATGATGGCAAGCTTTGAATTGGGAAGTGAGTCCCCTTCGCCACCCGGAGGTTGGTAAGCTGGGGCAAGGGAAACATCGTTGGCGGACAATGGAATAGTGCCAAACTTCGCAGTGATGCAGGGATGGCCTTGGACTCGAGAACATTATAAATTCTTGAGGTGAACTGTAACTTGTTGAGTAATGGAGGGAGCACACCAACGCGGATATAATGGGTGTATGAGTATCCGATTGAGAGCTCGAGCAGGGACGATGGAAGCACGTCGGGCTCAAAAGGTTGGTTAAAGCATCCAGTCAGAGAGAGAATCTTGAGTGATTGGGGTAGATATCCTTTATCGATAACATTGTTGAATGTGTATCCAAGGTGTAGTTCGGTGAGCGACGGTGGTAGATCGATCGGCTGGACACTTGATCTGATGCTGAGATAGGTCAATGATGATGGGAGTGAATAGATCGGGTGATTGTACAACTCATTTCTCAGTCGCAATGAGAGCAATCCTTTGGGCAGGGAGAGTGGTGGCAGTAGGGTATTATAGCCTCGACCCAGGCTAATGTTGGTAAGTCCACTTGGTAGTATACTAGGTAGTTGTTGATTGAACATCTCTGTTGATAGTACTGTTAGTGATGATGGTAGTACACCAGGTGTTAATGGATGATTATAATTGTTTCCAAGTTCTAGTGACTGTAGTCCCTCTGGCAGACAACCAGGTGTCAGCTTCACGCACTCTGCCTCAGTTGGACGATACATAAAGTTTGTCACATATGATGGGACTGGCAAGCCTATGTTACCTATTGTTTGATTGATTGTTTGAAGATGTGAGTTAGAGTAAGGGTAAGGATAGATGGTCAATGGTAATGAACATACTACATGAATGTTTGATGGTCAAGGGTTTGTCACCATTGATCGGATCTTCAATCTTGAAGCGACCACAACGACAGAGTAGTAGAGAGTGTCTATGTCTAAACAGTCTTGTACAAGTCAACAGAAGACTTACTCTACTGACTTGTGGCAAGTATGATACCAACTCCTTAAGTAACAACAATGACAAGTTGTCCATGTTTGATTGTTTGGATGATTGATTGATTCATTGATTGGTTGTGATCAAAAGATGGAAAGTGAATGGATGGTGTGGTGGACCAAGGCCCAGGACCACAACTTGGAAGAGATAAAGATATGATATAATTATGATATTTATTTAGACGATAATGTTTCAATTTAAAGGGTAACTGGACATACAGCCACAGGAGATACCCTACTTTTTACTCCTCTCTGAAGTTGGTGAAAGCAGTCTTGATCTCCTCCATGAGTGAGTTGTAGTGAGCATTCAAAGCAGCCTCTCCATCGGTTGGGTCCTGGAACTTCATAGAGGTGATCTTGAAAATGATGTCCTGCATCTCGTTTCTGATCTGATTCCAGGTGACCTTGTGGTCGGGGGTGGACATCTCGACGGCCTTCTGGGCGAGGTTGTAGAAGGTCATCATGATACGGAGCATCCAGATGGTCTTGTAGAATGGGCAGCACTTGTCGTATGGTGTGAAACCGTTCTGCTGCAAGAAGTCATCACGGATGATCTTGGCGACCTCCAGGGTGATCTTCTCAGACTCGCCGAGCGAGTCCTTACCGACGAGCTGCACGATCTCAGAGAGATCCTCCTCGAGCTGCAGAATCTCCTTGGCCTTGGTTCTGAGTGGCACGAACTCGGCGTCGAGAGTCTCGTAATGAGAGTCGAGGGCGTTCATGTATTTGGAGAAAGAGATCAGCCAGTTGATCGATGGGAAATGCTTACGCTGGGCCAGCTTCTTGTCGAGACCCCAGAACACCTGGACGATACCAAGGGTGGCAGAGGTGACCGGATCGGCGAAATCTCCACCTGGTGGTGACACGGCACCGACGATCGAAACGGAACCGATACGCGATGGGTGACCAATGCACTGGACACGACCGGCACGCTCGTAGAAAGAGGCCAGACGGGCACCAAGGTAGGCGGGGTAACCGGAATCGGCAGGCATCTCAGCCAGACGACCGGAAATCTCACGAAGAGCCTCAGCCCAACGCGAGGTCGAGTCAGCCATCATAGCCACGTTGTAGCCCATATCACGGAAGTACTCGGCGAGGGTGATACCGGTGTAGATGGAGGCCTCACGGGCAGCCACGGGCATGTTGGAGGTGTTGGCTACCAGACAGGTACGCTGCATGATTGGCTCCTCCTTGTCACCGATCTTGGTGTGCAACTCTGGGAACTCCATGAGCACCTCAGCCATTTCGTTACCTCTCTCACCACAACCGACGTAGATAATGGCGTCAGAGTTGGAGAACTTGGACAGTGACTGGGAAATCACAGTCTTTCCACAACCGAAAGCGCCTGGAATAGCACAGGTACCTCCTTGGACACATCTATTAGAGATAAAGAGATAAAGAGTGAATAAGGTAATAACATGTTAATATTTGATTGATTGATTGAACGAGATGAAGTGGATTATAATACATACGGGAACAAGGCATCCAAGACACGCTGACCAGTCAAGAGTGGGTAGTTACATGGCATCTTCTCGATGGATGGACGTGCAGAACGCACTGGCCAATGGTGGACCATTGTGAGCTTCTTGAGCTGACCCTGGAACTCGATGGTGAGGAGTGGCTGGTCGAGAGTGTACTCGCCGGCTGGGGTGACCTCGACGACCTTACCCATGTCCTTTGGTGGCACCATGATCCAGTGAACGATGAGGTTGTTCTCAACGACCTTTCCAAAGATATCACCACCTGTAACCAAATCGCCGACCTTAATGCCGTGAGCTGGCTCGTATGGCCACTTCTTAGTTCTGTCCAACGATGGAGTGTTGATACCACGTGGAATGTAAATGCCCTTTGTAATCTCTGCAATAGCCTGTTATATATTGATATGTGATTGAATTGATTGAGTTGATTGAGTTGATCGATTGATTGAATGAGTGAGTGGATGTTTGATTGATTGTTTGATTGTTTGTTGATCATATGACATACGTTCAATGGTCTCTGAATACCGTCAAAGATGTTGTTCATGATACCTGGACCCAACTCGACAGTGAGTGGCTTGCGGGTTCTGAGCACTGGGTCACCGACGGTGAGACCGGCAGTCTCCTCGTACACCTGAATGGTGGCAGTGTCGTCCTCCAATCTAATAATCTCACCGACCAGCTCTGTCTTTCCTACACGAACCTGTTTATATTTCATTCATTCATATTCATTCATTCATCGATTGATTTGATTGTGATACTGAATGTAAGTCACCTGGTGATTGAATGATTGAATGAATGAATGAATGATGCTTACCAGCTCGTACATAGCAGCACCAGACATCTTGTTGGCAATGACGACTGGACCAGAGACGGACTGGACGAAACCATAGTCAGTGTCGGCCTCAGTGGAGGCGAACGATGGCAGACCGTTAATAGTTTGTTCAACCATGTTTGTGATGATATATTATTGAGAGTGTAGATAGAAAGAAAGAATGATATATGAATATGAAGAAGAAGAGTATGTCTTAATGATTGATGATCTTGATGTGTGTGAGTGCGTGGAGTGAGTGGAGTGAGGTCGATGCGCAGACTGACTGAGTGACTGAGGCTGAGTGACAGGTGGAGGACTGGGGAGAGAGAGTGTGTGTTGTTGAAGAATCCTAAATATTAATATTAATAAAATAAATAAAAAGAAGAGGCAATGAAAAAATCAAATTGGTCACTCGATTAATGCATGAGACACTATTTATCATCAGCCAACAATTAAAAAAAAATAGAGTCTGACCCCAGTGATGAATGAAAAAATCTCGAACGAAAGGTACATTCGGCCTGGTCACCACTTCACCCCACCACACATCCCCAAACGTACACAATGTTTGACATCTCTGGTTGATTGTTCGTCTACTTATCTCTTTATACATTCCTCTGAGAGAGAGAGAGAGAAAGAGAGAGAGAGAGATAGATACATGATATTGTACTTGATAACCTGGGATGAAAACAATGATTGATTGATTGACCCTGGTAAACAATAACATTGTGTTGATGTCAATGAACATTGAAGGCTTTTATTCATTCGTTAAGTCAGAAACAAACACTTATTTTTGTCACATTTCGAAAGTGAACGAAAGAATGAATCAAGTCGGCAAGATGGTCACACTACCTTTGACTTTGCTTTAAAGATACAGATACAGATACAATATGGATGAAAGTGCAATTGATAGGATGGTGGAGGAGTCAATGAGAGACTTACAGACAAAGATTGATAAGATGGATGAGAAGGATCAGTTCCATAACTCAATCAATGTGTTTAAAGAGGAGAGAGATAAGTTGAGGACTGTATTCGATGAGTTCTATACATCACCTTCAAAGTCATTATTCTTGGCATGGTGGAGGACTACCGTGGAGGATATTAGAAGAGGTATGAATGGACTGGCTTGATGGATGGTGGATGAATGAATGCCTAACAATATGTTTGTGTACGATAGCATTGATATTGACATCGATAGAGGAACTGAAAGAGGTACCTGAATACACAAACTTGGCCGACTCAATATGTCCAGAACTGATAGACTTTGAGGAGTTGATAAAGGGAAGGAATGATAATGACCAGTTGACCATACTATTCCACAACCTGGCCGTATGTATATGGACATGGACATGATTGTGGATCGATTACTAATTATGATGAACGGAATGAATGATAGGCATCAAGAGAGAATGACAGCAATGTGTTCAAGGGACAAAGCGAAATCACAAATGTATATAGTAACACCTTGAAGGATCCAAAGTTTGCCATTGACTTCTTGTTGGTAATGAGGTATGTTGATAATGGTACCATCCACCACGCCAACCAACTCACAATCACTTCCACAAACCAACCAACCTAATAGGAGTTACTTATTATTATCATTCATTGTTAACATTATATTGGTGTTTGAGACTGAAGCAGAGGCAGCATTAAGTGAGTTGCAATAATAATAATAACAACCTTATTACAACCATGGTTACACAACAAAGAGGACTACGTCGATGTAGCAACCTGGCGAGTAGTCAGGTATTATTCAATCATTCATTCAATCAATGACCAACAGCAACAACAACAACAACATTTATGTCGACGAGTTTAGTTTGATATAGTGCTATGCTGCTCATATTGTACCTAATCAAGTAAAGATAGATATTTACTTTAATTTAATATGAATGGAGCGCGTGTGTTGTTTAGTTTGAGATTTCAATCATATGATCTACTTCGCGACTCATATTCTGTCTGGTCGTGTCGACTCCCAATCAATCACACCTTCCTCATTATCCAGCTCGTGCCCCCAATGGCAAGTTCCTTTGCCAATTTGAATGTGTTGTTGCTGTGTGTGGTGTGGGGGTCAACCTTGGGAAGCACTAGTTTGTTTCTCCCCTCCTTGGAAGCAACACCAACAGCCCCATCCCAAGTTTGGGCTTTATTGGCAGTAATCTCTCGAATGAATGTTGTAATGTAATTGGTTGAGTCAGTGACTGAGTATGTGGTACCACTACTTGAACAACTATCTATTAAAGTGAAGGTGCTTCATCTAGAAGAAACTAATTCATCATCCATCATCATATTCATTCAAATTCATTCCATTCCATTTCACTACTTACATGTACCAATTATAACAATATATAATCCAAACTAAACAATATAATATAATAATAATATATCTAAATATCCAACAATGTCATTAAATATTACAACCAGAATTTCATCCAGACTGTTGTGTAACAGTAGCCAATCATATAATGTAAGTTGGACTGGAACATTGATTCAATTGCTTCAAGTTTGAATTGTTACTGACTATCAATGTCCCCTTGGTACAGGCAAGATATCTGTGTTCAATCAATGATCCATCACCATTTATAAAGAAGGGCCAGTCGTCCAACAAGTCAGAGATCAAGGATAATAATGATAATGTACAGATAAAGGATTCATTCAGATCACAGACAAAGGAAACACCATCCCGTCAGAGCAGTAAGGTTGCTCACTTTTCAACATTCGACTTTGGTCCCAAGGTAAAGACCGCCTCAAACAACAACAACCTTGTTGTGGATGATGCCTAGACTGCTATGCTTGATGTGGACATGCAACAGTATCCATTCATTCAATCATCATTCATTGTTATATAGTCCAACAATAAATATATGTAAAGAAGTTTATTAACAGGATAATATGATATGGATGGTGTCGGTCTAAGTACTTAGATTGGAAAGAGTATGGTAATATAAATATGGTATAAATATGGTGATGTTGTTGAAGGATGGACAACGCTTTAGTTCGAGCCGCGAAGCCAACCTCTAGTAGTATTGTATGATTGATTGTTGTTTGTTGTTGTTTGATGATGAATATGTTGAGACGATTGTTCTAGAATACGTGTATTAATGACCTGGGAGTATACTGCAAGTCATAGTCGATGAAGTATACGATGGACATCACTGTGAAGAGACCAACTGCCGAGAAGAAGTGCCATACGTCGTGAGTATCAAAGTAGTCGAATAGAACGCATGGTTTGTTCAACTTCATCGACTCGTCGAATGAAAGGAACTTGTTGGTGACTGCAATCTCAAAGAAGTAGAATCCAAATCCCTGTTATGTTTGTATGATTGTTTGGTAACTTGGTTAGTCAATGATATTGCCATTGATTGAATGATGGACGTCATCCATCCATGATATGACACATACCCAGCATAAGATCATTATCATGAATATGATCCATATCATCGGGTGAATCCTCTCATTATACTTGATCTTCATCGCAATATAATAGAAGAGGTATATCAAGAAGTTGAGAACTATAACACCTCTGTTGTGTGATTGATAGATAGATGGTTAGTACATGGAGAGCGAGATGGGAAGGTGATGGATACGTACAGTATGAGGTTGGAGAAGTTATTGGATAGATTGTTGACTATTCCTAATGCTGCAGAGGTTATAACCAATGCCCAGTTCAATACCAATGCAATAAGAATTGAGAAGAACCTTGGCTTGTCATCGATGGTTCTTGGATGTCTCAATTGCAATAGATATATCCAAAGAGCATTGACTGATGGGTTTAGCTGCAGTCGCTTATGTGATAGCAAGTAACCTGATCCAGCTATTGAGACATAGGCGAATATCAAGAAGAACACTGTCCAGAAGCTATAGTGATGATGATAATGGTTAGATCGACGATCTGATGTCATACATTGGAACCAAATGACAATACATACATATATACATTGATTGAGGTCAGTGACAGGAAGTCAAGGAAGATGAAGATGGCAAAGAAAGCATATGCTCTGAATGCCCCTGTTGTGAATGTAGCGTGTCTCTTCTGATGTATTGTGAAGAATAGCAGCCCTGATCCAATCAACATATATGTTGTATCTGTTGTTGTTATTATAGAGATAGATGTTAGGTGATGGACCTGAAATGTGGAATGGACTGGATACATACCAAATTGGAAATTGAGCTTGGATGGACAGATGTGATAGAGAGCGGATGAGAATCCCTCACAGAGTACGCTGATGCCAAGACAATAGAACAATGACATGTCAGTGTGCAGACCATGTACACCGTCCTCCTTGGGTTGTGTAAAGTGTAATATCAGCAGGAATGCTCCTCCCGCCACTATATACGCTGCATTACTAATGACTAAGGTTTTCCGATTGTTTGATGTATTAGTAATGTTGTTGTTGGATTCATATCCCATTCAAACATACCATTGTTAAATGCTCGTAGACCAAGGAACTCATGTGCACACTTAAAGTTGAAGTAACATTGAGCCTTGTCTTGATATTGGAAGAAGACGAATTGAATCGATGGTAGGAAGTAGAATACTGAAATGATCAACAACAACTTCCAAAACTATACAATGTTGTGATGGTTTGATTGAATGATTAGTATTGGGCAAAAGTCCAGAATACCTGGACAGGCATCCAAACAAACAACCATGGTCCAAGTAGGTAGATACTTACGTATTTCATATATACAGGTTGACTCCGTAGCTGTCGTCTAATCTCTGAATGCTGCATCAACGCCTCGACCGTCGTCGGCAGGTTCTCGTCCATCAACGAATCATTTTCGTCTCCGACATCTATTTCCATCATACTGTGACCTTGCTGCCTTCCTGCTGCGCCTTTTACTTTGGTTACTTTGTTATTTGTTCTTGTTGTTGGTTGTTGCCTCTGATTGTTGTTGAGATACTACTACTACTACTACTACTGCTACAACTACTACTACTTGTTTGCTTCTCTCTCTCTACTCCTAACTACTACGACAACGACTAATAGTGCTGCTGCTGAGTCAACACTTTCCTCAATTTGTTGTTGTTGGTGTTCTTCTTGTTGTTGTTGTTGTTGTTGAGGGTGGTTGAGAAGGAGGTAGGTGTGGCAACGTGGGTGAACGAAAGAATGAGTAAGACGTGTTCACTCCTCTTGAGACTGTGTGAGAGTGAGTGTTGTTGTGTATGTGTTAATATGTGTATGTATGAATGAATATTATTATTTATTGTATTGAATGAATTGGGAAATAGGATTTAGAGGAGTACATCATTAAATCCAAACCCAGGGATTATAGTAATAAAATAATAATTAAATTAGTGGGGTTTACAATTGAGGGAAGATTATGCCCCATTAGGGGTGAACCACTTGCGATCGTCAGACACTAATGACATCTGTTTGTTGTTTTTTACTGTCGCTAGAAGGTGTCAAACATTAACTATTAACAAAAATAGAAGGTCCGAGTGATGTGGAATTGTACCAGATTAACTCCACTTTGGTGTAAGTAATACTCGTGTATTGAGAGACGTTGCAGATGTTATGTGTACATCAAAAAAGACCGAGTCCATTAGACATAAGGTACCTTTCATTTATTGGTTGGTTGGTTGTGATGGGCTGCAGACCAAGTCAAATGACAGGTTTCACCAAAGTGAATGAATGGATGTTGGGTATGGTTGGTAGGTAGGAAGGGATGGGTAGAGGGTTGAGGATAGGGATATGATGATTTGTACATGTTGGTAGGTTGCTGAGGTGGCGGGTGTGATGGGTGAGGAGGACAGAGAAGAGGAGAGAGGAGAGAGGAAAGAAAGATGCGCCGGGATGGCGGGTGGGACGTGGGCCGATCAATGGTTGAGGATGAGAGGCGGGGAGATTGAGAGCAGACCTATCTCAGCGCCCTGTTGCATCCCGTCCAGGTCGGACGATGAGGAAAAGGCCTGGTTCAAGGTGATTGGGTTGTGGGTGCGCGTTGGTGGCGTAATCGGATCGTTGCAGCCTGGTGAATGCGTGTAGATTGGGATGCTGAAGTCGATGATCGATGATATCTGAGAGTCGCCGCCACTGCCAGCATAGTTCTCTATAAGGCTAAAGTCGTCATTCAGGTTTAACCTTGCTTCGCTTGCAGCGTTGCTATCTATACTATTGTTGTTATGATTGTAGTTAAGTCTATGTGTTGCTGCCTTACTGCTAATGTTGCTGCTGCTACTGCTATTATTGTTGTTGTTATTATTGTTGTTATTATTGTTATCAGAGTATCTGCTGGCAGTAGACTTTGTATAAGCACCAACATTGAAGTAATCTGTTGAGTGATTGTTGGTGATGAAGGCGTCGCTAAAGTCCTCTCCTAGAAATGAATGTAGGATGATGGTCTGGATCTCCTGTCCGGCCTCCTCGAACTGGCTGTTTGAGAAGTGCGTATTGTTTGTTGTCTTCCAAGGCTTGGGTGCCACGATCTTCTTATCGTTGTCGTATATCGATGGGAACGATTCATTGTGCAACACGCGTCCAAAGCTGTCGAGCATGATGCCTCTATCGCCCATGAAGGTGCGAGGTGAGAATGTTCGCTGTGGCATGGCTATCTTATTCATTATGTTTGATTATTTGTTTGATTGATTGTTTGTTTGGAAGTTGATTGCTATTCTTTTTGTATGTATGTATATGTATGTATATGTGTAGGTTTGTTTAAAGTATGTTACAACAATATATTTGTTCACAAGTGAATGGTGGATAAATGGTGTATTATGTACATATGATTGTTGAGGTGTATGTATGTATAAATAAGAATAATAATATATATATAATAATAATGAGTATATATATAAATATATATGTAGTCGAAACTAAATATATAGTTTACAAGCTGCTCTGGAGCTGATGTTTTGTTGTTTGTTCTTGGTGCTCAGACTGTTGGTTGGAGCACAAAGGGTTGTTCAAGTATGTTGGCCGGGTCTATATACTTGTTTAAAGATATCTCGTACTTTGTTAAGGATACTAGATAGTGATCAAAGTTGGGTAGAGGGTAGTGTATTTGTTGTGGTTGTTGTATGTTGGTGAAGATTGTTACAGGTGATATGATGATATCTGAGAGTGTAAGGTAGAGAGATTAGTATATGTATAAATAACTATATTACAATGTATTGAGATAGACTATATGTACAGATAACAACAAACAAATAATAATAATAATAGTAATGACAACAAAACAAAAGACGACGGTGGGCACTGATGATGGTGATGGTAATAAGATGTAAGCGTAGATGAGTGTAAATGATGGAGATGTGGACGGGACACTATCTGATCGGGTGTTTGTTTGCCGCTTGTTGATTGCTACTGCTATTGTTGTTGTATGACTACTGCGCTCTCCTTCTTCTTCTGTTGCTACTGCTTTCTTCCCGCTGCTGCTATTGTATTGTAAAATGGTTTGCGCTTCTACTAGAGTGTGTTGCTACTGCTGTTGTTGCTGCTGTTGCAAGCTTGCTTACTGGAAATTGCAATCAATCACTCCGATAAGATGTGTGATAGGGATAAGGATATAAATAAAGCAAGTTGGTGCGATAGTGTTAATTGATTAACAACAACAAAATGGTTGGTTGGTTGCTTGCTAGATTGATTGATTGCGGCAATGTGAGAGAGAGAGAGAGAGAGAGAAAGAGATGGGAATGGACTGGACTGGGAGGAGGAGGTGTGATGGGATGGGATGAGACGAGCGGCACTACCAACTGAATGTGATTCACTGCTGCTGACTGACTTTGCGCATGTGAATGTATGTATATATGTGTGTGTGATTGTTTGTTTGTTTGTGTATGTGTGTATGTAAGCGTTGCGGCAAAGTTGAAAACAAGGGTATGCGATTGGTTGGTCCAAACACACACCAACACATTCATTCATTCATTAATTCACACACACTATAACAACAACCATCCATCCATCTTGACAAACAGATATGTTGTTAAAGATGATGTGTGTTAATGAATGAGAGGGAGTGTGTTTGTGGTCTTTGGTGATATGGATGAAGGTGTGGCATCTATAAATATATCGAGATACGCACGCATCACACATATCTTGATATGGTTCTCAAGATTGATTGTTTGATTGATTGACTGAATGAATGAATGAATGAAATGGTGAGATAGATAGATACATACACAATAAATAAATAATAATAATAATAATAATGTGTATGTGTATGTACAGATAAAAGGGGGTTGTTTCAGTATGACTGGAAGTCATTCATCGTAACCTATTTGTCATGTGGTATTGTTACCTCCTGTCTGCTCTGCAGAGCTAACCAGGCTTATCCAATCCACTCCATCCATCCTCCCTTCTTTCCACCACACACCATCTTAGAAATGTGAAAATAATTGACTTTGAGCCTAACGTTCTCATTCAACACCACACACTCTCATACACACACTTTCTTTCTCATTCACACGCGTATGGGAACAGTCGACCCGATATGGGGATGAGTCAGATCTGGCGCGTTGGATGAGTGATGCCAAGGTGTGATGGTAGTTTGATGAATGGTGGTTGATGGTGAGATGGATTTATGGATTGAGTGAGGCGAGGTGATTGAGATTGATCAATGGTCGTCATGACCGGGCCGGCTTGGCTGATAGTTGACGGATCAATGCGGCAGTGGCGCCAAGAGAGACAGAACGTTGAGATGAAATGAGGATCGTAAGGGTCGCGCCTCGAAGCAAAACATACACAATAAAATTGATCGTTGCAAGTAGACAGGCATAGATAGTGTCGAGTCGATTGCTGATAATGATAATGATAATGAGACAATGTTATAGACAAAATAATAAATACTTGGTGAGGACCTCGGTGACTGTGGGCAACCAATGGATGGATAACGAAGGGAATGATTGCGCAAAGTTGAAGTTGAACTTGGCTGATGAATGGAAGTTAAATGTGTCTTTGCAAACTATGAAGGTGTCTTTTTGCTTTCTGATGTTATGTCGCTTAATTATAACTTAATGATTGATTGATTGATTGACTGATAGTTTGCAATATGCAATGAAGGTAATGGAGGATGTGTGCACACTGGATGGAGGTTGGAGAAAGCGATGGATCTCTCCATGGAGCTCACCAGGTCAGTCAGGAAGACAGACTGGTGATTATATTGACACAAACAATAACAATGTATTTGTGTATGTGTGTGTGATGTGGCGAACCGAACGAACACACTACACAAGACCCACAAAGAGATAATCATGATCATTGATTGAGGTCTATTTGTGTGTGTGTGTGTGTATGGGTATGACCTGGTCTTCAGGCATCAGCAACTTACATAAGAACACTTGCAATGATCTCTGCTTGCTACAACCTGCTACTTGTTATTGCTGCTACTGATACTGTTCGATTAATGTTGATGATTGTTATAAATAAATAATGAAAGACCAAGTGTGGACACATAAACTGAGTCAATTGTATTGATGGTATTGCTTTCGCCAGGAGGATGAGCGGAGGATGCGGATGCTTATTCACCCAAAACACACGCACAATAACAAATCTGAACTTTGCTCTCACACAGAAGACGAAGTTTGGTTGAGTGTAGCTCGTCATGGACCCAACAGAGCCATCAGTAACAGCCGACAAGATCTTGGGTAGTTTTTGAATCTTTATGGTTGGGCACTCCCTCACATCAAAGGTGGCGTTTTCTCTATCTCGGGAGTCGGTGGTCTATGACCCATTTGTGTGTGAATGAATGGGATCAATGCGCACGTTTTCTTATGTAAATGATTGATTGACAACGCTCTCAGTGCATACCCTTTGATACCATCTTGGGTACCTACCTCTATTCTAACTTTGAACTTACACAAGTCATTAAGCAACACTCAACTATAGTTATAGTTACCTGTATTTAATTTAATTTAATAATACCATTTTACATCACAATGACATCTGACTGATTGGTCAATTGAATATTCGAACTTTGAGCCTCATTATCCTTATGCGGACAACAGCGAACAAACATTAGTGTCTGTCCAAACTTGACCAATCCACAAACAATTCCCCCTTTGGCAATGAAGTGTGGATAACCCACAACCAAGTTTTGGAATGGAAGGATGAACTGGCCCATATTGGTTATTCAATTAGTACAAGTTCCATTCAATATATCAATTGTATAGATAACTATTTAGATATATAGAGTACACATAATAGATAATTAATAATAATGTCATCACAATTAAAACAACATCCAAAGCAACATGTTGTATTTACAACTTCAAATGGAGCACCTGTGGATAATGATATTAATATATTGACCGCTGGAAATCCTGGACCTTCATTGGTACAGGACTTTCATACAATGGACAAGTTGGCACATTTCAATAGAGAGCGTATACCTGAACGTGTGGTTCATGCCAAGGGTGCAGGCGCACATGGATACTTTGAAGTGACCAATGCCGACCTACCCAAATGGTGTCGTGCCAAGTTGTTCAATTCAGTTGGTAAGAGAACACCTGTATTCGCACGATTCTCAACTGTTGGAGGTGAGAAGGGTTCAGCCGACTCTGCACGTGATCCCCGTGGATTTGCCGTCAAGTTCTACACCGAAGAAGGTAACTGGGACATGGTGGGAAACAACACTCCTATATTCTTCATTCGCGAGCCTCAGAAGTTCCCAGACTTTATCCACACCCAGTAAGTTGATCAAAATACTCCATCAACAAATCAATCAATCAATCAAATACAACTCAACCAAACTCATTGGAACTATCCCATCTCCAGATCATACACTTACCAATCACTCCTTCCAATTAAGGAAACGCAACCCTCAAACCAACTTGAAGGACCCTGATGCATTCTGGGACTTCATGGGATTGACCCCAGAGAGTGTACATCAGTTCACTATCTTGTTCTCTGATCGTGGCACTCCAAAGGACTTTAGACATATGGATGGCTTCTCATCGCACACTCTCAAGTTTGTGAATGATAAGTACGAACCATACTTTGTCAAGCTTCACTTCAAGACAGAGTCTGGCATCCAGAATCATACCAATGCCGAAGCCATATCACTAGCTGGCACAGACCCCGACGCGGCCACCAAGGATCTGTTCCAGGCCATTGAGCGAGGCGACCATCCAGCATGGAAGGTGTGCATCCAACTCATGAAGTATGACGAGGCCTTCAATTATCGTTTCGATCCATTTGATGTGACCAAGGTATTGTCGCACAAGGACTACCCCTTGATTCCTATCGGCAGGATGGTGCTTGATCGCAATCCAGAGAACTACTTTGCTGAGGTTGAGCAGGCGGCATTCTCGCCGTCCCATATGGTGCCCGGCATTGAGCCATCACTCGACAAGATGTTACAGTGGCGTCTGTTGTCCTACCCTGACGCTCATCGCTACAGACTTGGCACCAACTATCAACAGATACCAATCAACTGTCCAATGCATGTGAACAACTACCAACGCGATGGACCCATGTGTGTGGAGGCCAATGGAGGCAAGTCGACCAATTACTATCCCAACTCGGTCAATGGTACACCTGCAGTGGACCCAAGCGCGCACATTCACGAGTACAAAGTGATGGGCGAGGTGGCCAAACATCAGTACAAGCATCCAAACAATGACTATGTTCAGGCTGGTGACTTGTATAGATTGATGGATTCCGGAGCCAAGACACGTCTGGTCGAGAACATCGTTGGACACATGAGTGGCGTAACCAGAGATGACATCAAAATCAGGGCCATTCGATGTTTCTACCTGGCCGACAAGGAATATGGCACAAGGATCTGTGAGGGACTGAAGTTAGATGGTAAGTAGTGATTGATTGATTGATTGATTGAGTGAGTATGTGGCTTCTGGCTGACACCCATCACGTGATCATAGTGAACAAAGTTATCCAAACACTGCCAAAGTGATCAAGGATGATTGGAAACAATACCGATTGTCTGTTAGCAGGTCCTAGGACCTCAATGTAAGATCATCCCGGGACCTGGATATTTGCATTGATGTGGATGGGCAGTGTCTCGTGAATCAAACAAGTTGTACAAAGAAAGACAACGATCTAATCATCATCGTAGAATATAAATTGATATTATCCCTTTTAAAGATAGTTAGATCATGATGCGTACGTCCTTTCAGTGTAAAGGTTTGCATCACACACGATTGTGTGCAAATCACGTTGTTGTGAATTGATGATGAAAGCCACAATCAAGCCCACCCCCCCACACACTCATACATCATTACACCACTTTGATCAAAGTGTATCATCATTCAGAGTTAATTAATAATAAAGTGAGTTAGTGTGTGATTGAGGACGTTGATTGATTGTTAGTGGTTTGTGGGAGACTCATAGCCAGGAACATAGGAAGGTGAGTCAAGGTCCAGAGAGATGAGGGTCTATCATTCATTCCAATTCTATCATTAATCATACACATACAGATAGACTCTGATTATCCAGACTTAGTGGACTATATATATACCTTTTAACAAAATGGGAAACAAACAAACAACTGCTGCTGGAGCCAAGACATCATCCTCCAAGTCATCACAGAAACGCAAGGATAACAAGAAGTTTAGTATGTGTCCTAGATTGAATGATGAATGATTGATTGGATTAATGAGACTAATATCACTGTTTGTCAATCCAGAGTTTGATCAGAATGAGGTGAAGAAGTTACAAGAGACAACAAACTGTAGGTGATGATATCGATGATGGATGGATGGACGGAAGGGACAGGAACTAACTTTAACTATGTGCCAGTCGATAAGGTCGAGGTGAAGAAGTTGTACGAGGTGTTTTTGGAGCTGAGCGATGGCGGAAAGAAGCCATTGAACAGAGATCAATTTAGACAGGGACTGGTCAAGCTACAGCAGGCCGGTCTTAAGAACCTGGACAACACACCATTCCCAGACAGACTGTTCGACCTACTCGACATAAACAAGGACAACACCGTAGACCTGCAGGAGTTTGTCGGTGGTCTCTCAATGCTATGCAAGGGCACAGTCGAAGAGAAGTTGGAGTGTATGTGTTTATTTGATTGATTGATCGATCACATGGAAGTGGATATCATCTGACCCATCCTCCCACCCACCCATCACCTTTGGAACAATTCCAATCACCCAACCAATCAATCAATCAATCAATCAATCCAGTGTCATTTAAGGCATATGACTTGGATGGAAATGGCTATATTTCAAAGAGCGAGTTGTCGTTGATGTTTAAGCAGGCTTGGATTTCAGGCTTCAAGGCACTCTCGTACCAGGCCAACGATGATCTCAACCCGGATGACTTGCAGAACTTCTCTGAAGACATGGCACAGATATTTGCAGAGGGTGCCTTCTCATCGCTCGACACCAACGGTGATGGCAAGCTGTCCTTCCAGGAGTTCAAGCAGTTCGCCATGTCCAATCCAAAGATCACCGCCACGCTCAATGGCACCAAGAAGGATGTCCCCATCACCTTTGGCTAACTCAGTCAGTTGTCTGCCGAATGATGAATGAATGAATGAATGAGGCACGAGGCAGTGTGCCAGAGGAGCTCCATCACATATTGTATCCATAAACTTGAAGTTTAGTTTAAACTTTAGACGTTGGTTGGCGGCTGCCTGCGCAGGCAGACAGGTCAGGTAGTAGCATATATAGGGTAGTATTTTATTATTATTATTATTATTATTGGAGTTAAGGTAGTATTACATCACCCAACATGAACAGCATTGACGTTGGACATTCGTTGATATCAATGGCGAGTTCTCGCTCTGTTTGGTCGTTGCTGGCTGCTCCTTCTTGGGTGTCGTTTTGGTTTGAGTAGATGGCAAGCTGGCCTGAGTTTGAGGCTGTTCTTGTTGTTTGATTGATGGAGTTGTAGCTGGTGTTGCTGGTGATGTTGTAGATATTGTTGTTGTTGATGATGTTGTTGATTGTTCAACAACAGGTGAAACAGTGGTAGTTGGTTTGATTGACTCTGTGTGAACATCCTCACTGGCGATGACTGCTGCTGGTGCAGCGGGCTCTGGGGATTGGACATCAACGTGGACAGAGACTGACTCGCGCTGCTCGACAACGATGGTGGTGGTGGGAGCATCAACCTTGCCTGGTTGCTGCTCAATGATGACTGGTAACTCCTCCAGCTTGGTGTCTGCGGCTGGCTGGAAGACAGCCTCAAACTTAACAGGCTCCTCAGCAACGATCGCGATTGGTGTTGGCTCGGTCACGGCCACAGCAGCCTCAACCTTGACTGGCTCCTCGGCCACGGCAATGACCTCGACTGGAGTTGGAGTTGGAGTTGGTGTTGATGTTGATGGCTCCTCGATGACGGCGACTTCCTCAACCTTGACTGGCTCATCAACAGCAGTGGTGGCGGGTGTCTCTGGAACGATCTGAGCTGCTTCTTCGGTAGTTGTGGAATGTACAAGTTGCTCGACATCTGGTGTGGCGACAACGACGACGGCTGGTTCCTCCTTTGGAGTCTCCTCAACAACAGCAACAGCTGGTTGGACAGGCTCAGCAACAGCAATTGGCACACTTTGCTCCTCCTGAGCATCGGTCTGCTGTGCTGGCTCCTCAACCTTGACCTCCTCGACTGGTGGTTGCTCTTGCACAACAGTAACAACTGCTGGTACAGTCTGCTCCTCATCACTATCCTCGTCGTCCTCTTCTTCATCCTCATCCTCATCCTCTTCGCTGATCAATTGCTCCTCTGGTGTTGGATGGATAATGACATCATCCTCCTCGCCATCATAGTCCACCTCGAGGTCGCCCTCGCCGTACTGCTCGGGGTCGTAGTCGTCGCCATAGTCGATCTCTTCATCGTCTTCGTCATAGTCGTCATAGTCGTCTTCGTCCTCATCGTCGTAGCCATAGTCGTATTCCTCGTCCTCGTCGTCGCTCTCCTTCTCGTAAGTGTGGTACGATATCTTGCTAATGTTGAACGATACGTTCTTCTTGCCAGAGACGCTGCTGGACGGCAGGCTAGATGGGGACAGTGTCTGGTGCGAGACGATCAGGTCGTCCTCGTCCTCATCCTCCTCCTCGTCGTCATCAGAGTGATCGACGTCCTCGTCATAGTCGTCCTCATCGTTGTGAGGTGGCTGCTCGCCATCGCGCTCCTCCATATCCTCGTCCTCGTCATAGTCTTCGTCGTCTTGGTCGTCACCCTCCTCTGGCTGGTGATCGGCGATGGTCACCTTCTTGGCTTGATTGTCGGTGCCGTTACTGGCGCCACCCTTGCCAAAGGTGTCGTTGGCCGATGCGTAGTCAGACTCCTCCTCGAACTGCTGCTGGTCGCGCGTGTCGAACGAGCCTGTGGACATGATCTTCTTGGCGTCGGCGATGAGGCCACCACCTGGCGAGCCGGGCACGGGGCTCGCCAGTGTGGGGGCGGGCTGGTTGACAAACTGGCGCAGTGCGGGGTACTCCAACACGGGGTTGGGGCCGTAGAGGCTGTTGCGCATCGTCTTTAGGGATTGTGTGATCAGCTTGAACGATGGACGATCGTTTGGATTGAACTTGCAGCACTCTTGCATCAACTCAACGAATGGTATGGGGCAGTCAGCTACGACCTGCGCCATCATTATATCACTGTTGACACCAAAGTCTTGGTTCCTCATGTTTGGCGTTGGCTTTGTCCTTGTGATCAGCTCAAACAGCAGCATTCCAAATGAGAATACATCACATCTCTCATCATAGTCTTGTCCTGTGATCATCTCTGGTGCCTATAAGGTGATTGATTGTGATTGATTGGATTAGTGTATGATCACGTGATGATGCGTGGACATGTGATCACATACCATCCAGTTGTCAGTTCCACAGATGGTCATTGACTTGTTATTCTCATCATCGACTATTCTTGCGAATCCAAAGTCGCACACCTTGACCTTCCATTGAGTATCGATCTATGTTTGAGTGAACGACGACAAGGGTTAGGGGTCAGGGTCGAGGGGGCAAGGGAAGGGCGAGGGTCACATGACACTTACAAGTAGATTGGATGACTTTAGATCACGATGAACGATGTTCTTGCTGTGCAGGTAGGACATGGCAAGGGTGACATCGTAGGCGATGTTGATGCGGAGTAGCCAGGGTAGGTCGACCTGTCTGTTCTTGAGATACCACTGTAGGTCACCGCCTGGCACCAGCTCAGTGACAATGTAGAGGATGCCATCGTTCTCGGCGACGCCGACAAACTGTATGACGTTGGGATGTCTGAACAACTTGATAGTCTCGATCTCTCGTATCAAGAACTTCTCCAAATCCTTCCTGTTGGGGTCATCCGGTGCGATGTGAATCTTTTTGATGGCCACCGGTGTCTGGAGGTACTCTCCCTTGTACACCTTTCCAAAACCACCGCTTCCAATCTCTCTTCCAATCTCCAAGTCTTCGAAATCAATGGTCCATGCCATCTCAAACGAAGGAATTGAAGTATCTACACTCATTCTCTATATATATCTCTCTGTCTTTGTGTCTTTATGTATAATGATGTTGATTGATTGAATGATTGATCAGATCTTGTTCCTGTGCGAGTGATGTACTGTTACTATTACTATTACTATTATCTCAAGTATGAATGAATGAATGAATGAATGTTTGTATAACTATTGTTATGTTTGAGACACACAACACTATCAATGGAATGGACACCACCTCCTTTGCTTGACTCTCAAAGTTTGTTTCTTTGATAAGTTAATGTGTGTATCTTGGTGTGTGTGTGTGTGTGTTTGGATTGGATTGTTATTGTGGTGGTTAGGTCGATGATTATTAGAGTAAGGGGTTGTGTTGTGTGTGTGTTTCTGATGAAGACCCTGCAAAAAGGTTTTGGTTTGATAAAAAAAATTCAAAAAGTTGATCATTTTTGCCAGTTAATCATTTTCCATACAAACATCCAACTCATCAACTAAGACCAAAACGAGAGAACAATGGGGGGTGTCATTATCCATTGATTCATTACTTCGGCAAGCTATGACAAATGTGTGATGACAATGAAGATATTATTTGATTGATTGATGGGATTGTGGAAGGTTGTAAGTCATGTCCCCTGGGGGATAAAGGACACACTCTTAGACTTTTGATGATGATTCACTCAATCTTAATTTATATCTCATTCTCACTCACTCACTTACTCATCACTCTATTCAATCAAACATATAAACATAAACATATTCCAATCCAATGTCAGTGATAGCAGTTTGCAAGAGTCCAGTACATAACATGTCAAAGGATGTTTGTACAGAGATTGTGTTGATCGAAGGATTGGGCATTGATGGTGATGCTCATAATGGTGTCTACGTTCAACATTTGAGTAGAGTCAAAACCAATCCAACAGCACCCAATCTGCGCCAGGTTCATCTGATTCACGCAGAGCTGCATGACAACCTCAAGACAATGAACTTCACACGTGGCGTCAATCCAGGAGAGATGGGCGAGAACATCACAACACGTGGCATCGATCTCCATGCCCTGCCCACAGGCACCAAGCTGCATCTTGGCAATGATGGCGCGGTGGTCCAGCTGACAGGCCTGCGCAATCCATGTCGTCAACTTGAAGGCCTTCAACAGGACCTCCAAAAGGCATGTCTCGAGACTGATCAAGACGGCAAGATCACCAAGCGTAAAGGAGGTGTGATGAGTATTGTGCTCAAGGGTGGTGTCGTTCGCCCGAATGATCAGATCACAGTTGTGTTGCCAGAGGAGCCACATCAACCATTGGTATGTGTATAGAATAGATTAAATTAAATTAGTTTGTAGACAGGCCACATGTATTGCTTGTGTCCAATAAACATGTTGACTTGGATTGATTGTCCAAGGCATCCTTTATAACGAGTTACAGTCTTGGAATTTCAATGTCTCTCCACAGTAGTTGGTCGTGACCCATCTTTGAATGATATCCATCGACATGAAGTTGGTCAATGTGCTATTCGTTTGTTGTAGACCATCAAAGATGAAGTACTCGAGTGGGGACCATGCGTAGGGGAAGTCCCACTGCTGGCCCGAAGCCACAGCCGATGTGGGCATGCCGCCAACATAGTCCATGGCCATTGGGAACATGGTCTTGACGAGCGAGTCGACCAGCTGCTCGGTGAAGTACTGGGGTAGGTCGTTTAGAGCAGTGTACATTTGTTGGAAGAGGATGCAACCTGAATGGTGATGCTGCCTCATGACTCGGGATGGGACTCTTGAGGATTGTAGTAATCGTCCTCTTCGTACTCATAAGTGAATGACTCCAATTCGAGCGCGTAGGGATTCAAAGTGACTTCGAAGCGATACTGTCCATTCCAGAAATCCTCTTGAATGTCTTCGCTGTTGCTCTCCGTGCGATCTTGCTCCGATGTCCTGGTGAAGTAGGTCAGTGACATCACTGGCTTGGAGCCAGTCACAATAAGGGAGGTGGTCATGCTAGGGCGGCCGTCAGAGTTGTCGTTGTCAGGGAAGCAGGGCTTGCCGTAGTATTTGCCGAGAGGAGAACAGACCAGGACATTCTCCTCAAACGTGATCCTCTTGGGTTCACATGTAAGTGTCCCGATTGATTCGAGTAGTGAAAACTGAATGTCTGCCGGCACGTTAAAGGCCATCTGTAGTTCCTGCAGGTGAGGAACGCGTATCAAGTTGCCCAGGCTGCCAATGAGTTCAAAAGCCGCCTCTAGTCGGAGAATGCGGAGCGATGTCATACGGTTGAGGAGGAGATGAAGATGGCGAGTAATGATGTCGGCATGATCCAACTTTGCTTGGTGGAATGCGAGTGTGAGCGATGTCAGACGGGACGAAGAGTCTCGGAGGGCAATGAGCTGTCTGTATAGGTTGGAGTCGCTCCTCGAAGACAGACTCAGGGTGTGGATAGAGTTGAATACAACAGTCTCGTTCATGCTGATCTTGAGAGTGTGGAGGTTGCTCTTTGATCCAATGACGTCGAGATAGGATCGATCACGAATGAAGCCAAGTGAGAGCGATCGCAAAGAGCTGTTGTCGCGCAAGAAGCGAAAGAACGCCGGCTTGTAGTCGTTTCGGTCGCTCCGGTTGGCAAGGAACAAGTCTAACCGTTGCAAGACCTTGTTCTGCGAGAGATGGCTAAAGAATGCGTCCGGGTCCTCGATGAAGAAGCGGTCCTTGTATGTGTTCCCATATGGAGCTTGGTCGCTCCCAAGTACAAGAGAGGTGAGGCGTTGGACAATGGTTGAGTGGTTGAGAATGTGTCCAGTCGGTCCACAAACGCGCAGTGCCAGATCGGTGAGTTTCTGCAACTTGCCAGAGCAGGAGAAGGAGGAGCCACTGTCCTGCAAAGAAGGCGAAGCCATTCTGTTTTGAGCGTCCACCATAGTTGCCAATGACAGCGATTGTAGCTTGTTGGAGAGAGTATGATTGAGGAGGTACTCTATCACCTGAGCATCGTTGCCAGGATCCAGTCCAGTGATATGAAGATGCAGTAGTGAGGGGAAGTGCGCCAGAGCGACATCCGAGAAGAACCAGTCGTACATGTTGTATCCCTCGTAGTCGAGGAACTCGATGTTCTCGATCGATCGGACCATGTTGACGGGTGTGACGAACTTGTGCTCGCGACCAAACAGCTCGTTCAACAACTTGTAATCCATCCTCAGGCGCGTAGGATGCTTGATGACGCAGTGCGGCGACAGAAAGTGCTTGACGACGTCATGGGCAACGAATCTCTCGTCTTTGATCCTGGTCGGGTAGTTTGTGTGCCAGCAGATGGTATGTTGAGATGGCAGCAAAGAAGCTCCTGCTCACCAGAGCCAGCTGTAGTTTCCATCTGCGCGTAGAGCCAGAGGAAGGACAATATGCGGTTGAGGATATGTTGTTGGAGCTCTTGGGTCATGCTTCGTGGTCTTTCTCCAACATATCATTGATTGATTGAATGAGTGATTGAGTGATTAAGTGATCAAGTTGTGATGATGCACATCATACAGACTCTGGATATGTTGTACACACAATCTGATCGATGATAAACTTCTAAGTTGGATCATCCCTCAACCCAAAGTGTGTTGACTTCAAATTGTCCAAGTCAACATACCCGCACAGACATACCCTCTCCAGGCATATAATTTTACAAGATGATTGATTAGATTAAATTAAATTAGTTGGTAAACTGGCCACATGTATTGCTTGTGTCCAATAAACATGTTGACTTGGATTGAATGTCCAAGCCATCCTTTATAACGAGTTACAGTCTTGGAATTTCAATGTCTCTCCAAAGTTGTTTAAAAGATAGAGAGCAACTCCGTTCGTCCAGCCAAATCCATCTTGTACTACATCTATATATATTTGATTGATTGAGCGTGTCAGTAAATGGTGATTGGAATGATTCCAGATTAATAATAATAATTATTATACATACATTCTCCACCACCACCTGGCTCACCAACTTGGGTAACATCATACTTCTCGTACATCATACCACCTTGGCTGACAAGGGTATTCTTCCAGCCGCAATAGTTGGTCGTGACCCATCGTTGAATGATATCCATCGACATGAAGTTGGCCAATGTGCTATTCGTTTGTTGTAGACCATCAAAGATGAAGTACTCGAGTGGGGACCATGCGTAGGGGAAGTCCCACTGCTGGCCCGAAGCCACAGCCGATGTGGGCATGCCGCCAACATAATCCATGGCCATTGGGAACATGGTCTTGACGAGCGAGTCGACCAGCTGCTCGGTGAAGTACTGGGGCAGGTCGTTTTGAATGCCACTCCACAAGGGCATCCAATTGGTGATGTAGTACTGCTGGTTCTGCTTCATCGTGTCCAGGTGGAAGTCGTACCATTGATAGTCCTGCTCGCACCAAAACACGTCCATCAGCGCGCTCAGTCTGATCGCCGCTTGATTGAGATAGTAGGCCTGCATCGATACATTGCCCACCATGCGATGGAACTCGGCCAACCTCTTCTCATTGGCGTAGAGCATTGTGTTGAGGTCGACGGGTACAATCTCGATCGTCTGTATCGTCGTAAGGTTGATGCTGCCAGGTTCGAACCACTTTGATGAGAAGTCCATGCCAGACTCTGCGGCCGAAGCCAGCGATGAGTAGAAGAACGTTTGGCGCTCGATTGATGGGAGCGTCTGGGCGTTGGTATAGTCCTCGGCGTATGACTCAGGGCGAGGTGTCGACGTCGTGACATTGTACATGTTGAGCAAGTAAGTCTTGCCTGGTGTGACGAGGGAGTTGACCAGCACTGATTGATTGACCATCCAGAATTGGTACTCTTGGTCCAGCAATGGCAGCAGCTGCTCGAGAAGTGCGTTGTCCTCGGTGGCGGCGTAGTACTCGCTGACCATCTGTGTGAGCAGGGGCGGCTGCGATCGGTCGAGGAAGTAGAGACGTCCACCATTGGGCACAAAGCCAAAGCGTTGGAAGAGCGATGCAAAGTTGAGCAACATGCCGCGGGCAGTCGAGGCCATGTCAGACACGAGCAGTCCCTGGATCATCCAGAAGCTGTCCCAGTAGTAGTACTCATGGAAGCGAGAGCCAGCAATGATGAATGGGTTGGGCACGGGGATCGACGAATGGCACTCCTCGCACAGGCCCGTGAGATTAAAGTGACGCGACAGATTGAGCCACATTGTGTGCACGGCCAGGCCAAACTCGCGGAGCTCGGGACTGTGCACGCGCTCGACGAATGGCGGCTCTGGCAGCCAGTCGGTCGGCACGCTCCTCTGCACCTCGTAACCGGCGGGCAAGAAGTTGTTGGCCAGGAAGGACATGATCTCGGCGTTGGATGGCTGGCCATCGTGTGAGGCGTTGACCATCAGGTTGAAGTTGTTCAGGATGATCTGGGTTGGGTAGCGCATGGGCATGTCGACGAAAGTCTTTGAGTCATTAAACACACGAGACAACTGTACCGTATGCAACACCTCACCAACACAATATATTGGATGTTGGCATGCTGGCTGTGCTGTTGTCAACACCATCATCAATGTTGCCAATAGTACCAAGATTGGAAACACCATGGTGGAGTTGAGTGATGCCATGATTCGTTCGTTCGATTGTTTGTTTGTTTGTTTGTTTGGTGTTCTTTGGGACTTGTTCTAGGAAGTAGTAGTAGTACTTGGAATTGGTAGTTATACAATTGTAATGTTTGTATCTCTTTGTTATCTAGTGTGTGTGTGTGTCTGTGAGTGTTGCCTCGATCTAGATGTGTGTTGTCTCGTTTGTTAGTGTGTGTGTGATAACTAAAGAGAGAGACAGAGACAACAACAGAACAATCCCAAGACAATGCGCGAATTGTCGCTCCACCTTAATCATTTGATGGACTAGATTTTATTTGATTTGCTTCATTGATTCAGATCTTTGCAGTAACAAATATCCTTCACCCCACCCCACTCCCTAAACGATCACTTCGGTTGGGTAGTTCCCAATGAATGAAAGGACCAACCAGGTCAAGACATTATCATCACAACTGATCTATCCTGGGATAAAATGGATATTTCTTGTCTTCTTGCATCACCAATCAATCAATCACTAATTCAATCAAGATTGGAATTATTCCATTCCTCGTCTTCATTATAATTACGAACCTTGCATTATTTAAACAAATGAATGAATGAATGAATGAATGGTGATATGACCATGTCCATATTGTCATCCAATGCCATCACGATGACTTGATGTGTCCTCTTTCTTGACCTGAGCGAAATTAGAGTGTGGCTTGTGGCTAGGTATGTCTGTGCAGGTTCCAATGGCAATGGAAAGATATCCAAAGTGAGGAGCCTGTCTGTCTTGGCAACCATATTGATGAATTTCTCCTCTTTCTTGGTGCCAGATATATGGAGCTTCAATTGCATTAGTGCAGTGTTTTTGGCCAGTGAACCAAAGAGAGTGTCAATCAACTCATCTTTGGACTTATTGTCTAGACTTGACAGTCCACCTGAAGTGATATCCAGTGAGTAGCTTGTGATTGTTTTGTTGCTGTCAATCAATCTGATGAGCTGCTCCAAGTGACAGATCCGGAGATGCTTGAGCTTCAGGGCGGTGATCGTGGAGTTGGTGCCGAGTGCCTCGAATAGCTCGGTTGAGACCATGAAGTTGTTGACCCCCAGCCGCCTGACAGTCGAGTTGTTGCCCACAGCGAATGCGTTGCCAAAGATCACCTTGAACTGTTGGAGCTCAGGAAGATTTGCCTGTTCATCCATCGACATTTTGTGGAGGTTGAGTGTCGTGATAGTCTTGTTGTTTGCTATCAGATGGGCAAAGTCCAACATCTTGTTGTTACCCTTTGAGTCTTGTTGGACACGAGAGTTATATGCTAAAGTGTGGAGCAGCTCCCTCTTGAGCAGATGACAGAGAAGATCGAAACGGCAATCGGTCTCGTAGCATCCAAACCTGAAGGAGGTGAGTGTTGGCCGCCTGACGATCTTCTTGATCAGCTTGTTGGCCACCTTTGGTTGACCGATAAAGTCTTGGAAGGTGAGGTAGATCTTGAACTCTGTGATACTTGGGTTGTTGTCAATGGCTCTAGCCAGTGGAATGATCTGGTCCCTTGTGAATCGCGAGGGGATCTCGATGGCCAATGAGTTCAGGCCGGCACAAGAACAGCTGCCAACAAATCTAGTGACAAAGGGCAGAAATACTTGGTCGGCTCTGAATGCAAGTGATTGGAGAGAGGAGGTACACACATTGGCTTCCAACTGTTCTGCCGAGTGCTCCTTCATGTGCAGCGCCACTCTCTTACGGAACCTGTCGAGTGAGTTGTTGTTGTTGGTTGCATCGATTTGAGTCTCATCATTATCTTGGTCGTCGTCATCTGAGTCGATGCATGGCAGCTCATTGCCTGGGACAATGTCAACTAGAACATTGGCAAAGGAGGAATGGTGCATCTGAGTGGTGCAAATGTCAATGATTGCCGATAAGCGACGATTCTCTGGACCTTTGATGGTGGCGGTCATCGTGATCAGATCGTTTGGACGCAGTGCATGTTTGGCAGCCTGGAACCAAGTCCTTGAGACCAATGCCAATCCAAACAACATCGAGGGTACGTCTTTCTAGTCGGCCAAGCAGCATTCCCTGATGATACGGGCTAACAAATACTTCTCTAACATGAGACAGTCACTTAAAGCTGAGTACACATAGGTGTTCTTTGGACTTGTTCTAGGAAGTAGTAGTACTTGGAATTGCTAGCAATACAATTGTATCTCTTTGTTATTCTACATGTGTGTGTGTTGTAACTAATGGAAGGATGAGTTCTTGGAGGGAACTTTGATAAGGTGTGAAACAGACAAACAAATATTATTTAAAGAGATAATAGATATATATATACATATATGTATATTAATACATTTAATGAATAGTGATGATCAACCTGTACAACTTTTGCACAATATTGTACTGATGAGAGTCATTAGAGAAGCATGGAGGATGGCAACAACTGTTGGAGACGACTTGTATTGGCCAGACTTGAAGTGGGCACGGTCCCTCTGTTTGATCAACAAACGTTCGCATGCATTGCTCAGAGACACACAGCTCGTCCTACAAGTCGACGACGCATACAACAGGTTGTTTAGCTACCTTGAACATGGCACACACTCGTCACAGTGGTCGCTGCTTGCTACTTACATCACACGATTGGACACTGCCAGTAGTTTCCCCCAACCTTTGCTCAGTCACCCGAGCTTCAAGCAGATGTGCAATCAAGGCACACTCACGAGCTGCAAGGTGGACTCACCCTGGGTTCCCGCCTATCTTTCCCATCACTGTGGCTGCCAATCGCTTACCGACCTCGACGTCAGCTATGTCTCGCCTCCCGGGCCCAATGAAATGTCGATGTTCAATGAGTATACATTGGCTGACCTTGCTGTTAACACTCACATTCGTCGACTCTCCATTTACATTGGACCAAAGGTGGACTATGCTATGGTCGACCTTCCAGGCATTATCAGTAGCGTCTCATTCCAGTCCCTCACATCACTCTCTGTCTACATCCCATGTCAATACGGATGTGTTGATGATACCAAGTTCATTGCTTCATTGCGAATGCTGGAGTCGTTGAGAGAACTCCAATTGGATAGTGTCGAATACCAAAGTGTTCATTGGCGGCCATGCATCCACGAGGAGATGCAAATACATTTCTCGGAAGATTATTGTCCAGTGCACATTATTCAAGAGTGCATCATGGGCATGCCTCAGCTCAACACATTTGGATACAAGTTCCTCTATTTACATCACTCAATGTCATTCCACAAGTATCTCTTCAGTCGCCATTGTACTATCGACCATCTCAGCTTCGTCAGCTCGATTGAATTTCCACTCGAGCAGCTTGCCGACCCAGAGTATCAACGTCCGCTCAAATCGCTGGATATAAGCTTCACAGTATCAGAGGACATTGACACTAATAATACAATATATAATGGTCACTGTCATCACTATCATCACCACCTCACTGTCACTCTCAATCATGTTGAACACATCACCTTTCATATTCCTCTGGCCGACGACCTGGTTGAAACCATTGCGGCAGCTTGTGAGATAAATGAAATGGATGGAGGACCCTTCCTCTATGGAGTCAATTATCAAGAGGAGGTACTGTTACTCATCACAAGAGTGATCAAAGACAACCACCAAACACCGTTCATTTCAATTCGAATGGACACTCCAAGACAACAAGTTTTAGTTGGCAAGAGCAAAGTCACCTATCCAAAGAAACAGACCATTGATCAATTGATATCATCTTTGAACAGCAACAAAACACTGACACTATTCTCCATTCCTTATCTCTGGAAACAACATATGGATCCTTCCACGTTGAATCCATTGATCCATTGCATTAACAACCATCCAACCATTAAAAACAAATACCAACTTGTTTGATTAATGATCATCCATTCGTTTATTCATTCATTCTCTTGCACCATCATCAATCAATGTGTTAGGAATTAAACGGATCTGATCATTCTAGGAACGTGAAGCAGACGACAACATGTACTCTCTTTTCCCCCAACATATTCAATCCCTCTCAATGATCATTGACCAGACTTGGGACTCTGTTCAGCAGCCTCACTTTCTCACCTCTTGTGTCCCAGGCACGCTTATCCAACTGCCACTGTACACACAGCAACCTACTCATTGGGATACACGAAACTATGACTACATCGACGATGACCAAAGTTTCTATGAGGAGCGAGATGATGATAACACTCAAGATGAAGCCGTCGAGCCTCAACATCTCCATCTACAACAACGCACCATTGGCAGCAATGAGTTGCTGGCATTTCAAGACTATCTTGTCCATTTTCAGCTCCAGAGACCACCCAATCAAAGAGTGTCGACACTGAGGCATCTGGAAATCACTGGCAACACTGATTGGATCCCGAATGTGTGTCTGCTCGTGAACAGCTGGTTCTGCTCCTTGCTCGAACGACTGGATTTGACACTTCACGGCCACATTCGAGAGGAGATCATAGCGCCACTTGAGCTGGCACTCAACAACAACCTGGCCATCGACCAGGTCATGCTCATCTTTGAGGATGATGGGGATATCTGCTTCCCCGACCTGCTTGTCGTCTGGTCAAGCGTGTTGCCCGTCGGCCAACTCTCAAGAAATTGCACTTCCAGAATTCCCAAAGCCACTCCCGCATGGACCTTCTCTGCGATCTACTGAGACGACAACAACTGGACACTCTGCACTATTCTGCACACTTTGTTTACTGCGAGGATAACGACTGGAAGAATTACGATAGATTCATAGAGTCGATGAAAGATATGGCACCATTGCTCACTGGTAACAAGTGCCTCAAATCACTTCAGCTTAATCTAGATCTCGATCAGGCAAGGAGCCGAAAGATGTCACTGGACCTGGACATGGGAAAGTTCATGCGCACATTTGGATTGGCATTTGGGCATCCTCAAAACACGATCAACACGTTGAACCTGCACGGCAGTTGGATGTCGACCGAGATCCTCCAGTCGTTGATCAACAATCAGTGCATCACCAACCTATCTCTGGATAGTGTTGTGATCAGTCATGACAATCTGTCAATGCTTTGCACTTTGATCAGGACCAACAAAGCCATCAGGGTGTTAGGGTTGAGCCTGTCACGACCCTCAAAGAGGGCTCGTCCACTGACTCTTCAACAAGCTCCACGACTAAACGACCAAGATCTAGATGTTGAGATCAGTAACCTTGTTGAAACATTGAGCAACAACATGGTCCTTCGACACCTTGCAATCAAGTACTCCAGCATTGAAAGAACAGGGTTTAATATACTGGATCACTTTGACACCCTGATTCAAAGGCTCACAAGTAGCGACCGGTTGTATACACTGGAGATAAAACCATTGACTAGAGACCGGGCGCAAGCCTACCTAAACAGTAGCCACAACCTCAACTATATCAGATTCGACCGACATTTAACAATATATCGCCACATTCAATCAATCATGTTGATTCCAGTGTGAATTATGGACTTAAATCAAAGTGTTCATTCAAATCATTCATTTTTATTACATTACAAACAGATACATTGTCATACAAATAATCATTGATTCTTTATTGCATGATCAATCTTTAATGATTAAGCACAATGTAATCTTATGAATGTGAATTCAAACCATGACAGTCTTATCACAACAACTTTATAACAAGATACTACACTTGTTGTGGCGCTCAAAGGCAGGCCCACCGTTTAATGGCAGGCCCAACTCTCAAAGCAAGGCCCAACGCTGGTTGCTCTCACTCAATCTTGTATCCTCTACATTCCACGAATGCATTCTCTCGCTCAATGACTCGTTCGTGATCCACACGCATCACATCGTAGATGACATGGCGCCCCATCTAGTCTCCGCCTATGCCCCCTTTCCAATGCCACTACGACGACTAGTCCTCAACTACAGCCCGGATCGCTCAAGCGAGAAAAATAACATCCCAGCACTGCTCGCTCTGGTCGATGGCCTGGCCGAGTGTACTTGTTATATCGACCATGCGCCAATTGTCTGCAAGATGCTCCCATCCACTCTCAGGTATCTCAATGTAACAGTCGATCGCGAGAGAGAAGCAGAAGAATACCCAAACGAAGACTACCTCAAGGTTCTTCAAACGATCGCAAGTCACCACCATGCCCTCGAACATCTTGTTATCAATCTAGAGGTTGACTACCACAGCGATAGGTACAGGTCCGAGAACGACGATTGGACTGGCAGCAACAACATCGTTGGAGACAACTTCTTTGAGTTCTGCAACCACCTGTTTGGTGCGGCCAGCTTTGCCTCACTTACAACGTTCAAACTGAAGAGCTGCGGAGACGACCTTCAGCTATCTCAAAACATGATGAACTATCCTGGCTACTTCTTCTCGCGTCTCCATCATGCGGCGCCAAACTTAGAGTCGCTGACATTATCTTTGGCTACCGAGAGCCAATCCAACTTGAAGGCTCTGCTCAACGGACTTGTTTGGTTCATGCAGCAGACTCCTACACTTGTCAAGATCATGCTTCTTCGACTAGACTCTAGCTTGAACCAACCGAATCTCATTACATACCTTCTGCAAACCTCCAATGTCAAACAGTTCAACATTCCAATTCTCATTGGATCGCTCATTGAGATCAAACGACACTTCCGATATTTATCACTGACACTAGATAGTGCCAAACCTGACTTGGACGATGTCCGGACCATCAACGCATTACAATCACTTCGATTGGTAGACCACATCAAGTTGATTGGACTTGGCCTGGACAACCTGGACCTGACACGCACAGTATTGTCCTATATTGGACCTCCAACAAGAGCTCTCACCTTGTCGGGCTACCTTCTCATTCAAGATATCGTCAGCTTGCTGCGAGAATGCAGACTGAACGAGATACACCTTGATCTTGGTATTCAAGAAGTAGAGTACATCCAACCACTTCAGCAACAGTTCCCAGAGAAGATATTATGCGTAAGGAGAAGATGGTCTAAGAGACCGGACCGAGAATGGATGTCGCTTGCAAAATGACTTGGGAACAAGATGATGTATCGGCCTATAGGGAGTTGAGACAATGGTGTTGAAGGCACAATCACCTTTGACTACGCCTGTACTGTCACCATTCACCTCGACGGCCGATGCAACATCAACCAAACACCCAGAGATGTGGTTCACAATAACAACAACATTAAACTACCTTCATGTTCATTGCCAATCAATTAATCAATCTATCAATCAATCAATTATTTATTATATGCACATCGTGTTATCCAAATGATTGTCCCAAATGTAGAGATTATGATCATTCAATAAACCATCGGAGAGTTGGTAGCCAATTCAATGGAGGAACCACCTTGCAGGTGTAAAGTCATCTTCTAGATCACAATTTGATCTGATTGGATCAGGTGTTTAATTTAAACTAAAAATAATTAAAATAATTTAAATTCATATTAATTACAATTTAAATTGGTCAAATCCTGTCCATGAACATTCATTTAATTTGTTGAATGGCTGTTTGTTCTCTGCCGCTTGACATCCTGGACATCATCATCTTGGATCATACGATCACGCCTAATTAACTTAATCCATTTGCTGCTATGTTGTTTGACGGTCTGGTCGGGAAGTCCGTCGACGAGGTAGTTCAAACAGCGAACGCATCGTAATTTGTTGTAAGAGTGTGCCTCCCAAAGCAGGTAATCCTTGACCATCACAAGATCGATCGTCGTCTCCGTCTGGAGAGCATGGTAGCGGCCCAATGACGGGGGATCGGCAGGACGTGTTACGATCGTACGGGCAAAGAACTCCAAGAGGTCGACTCGGTCAAACTCCATACATTCAATCGCATACGACACCAACTTCTCTCGGCTGGTCTCGAGAACGTGAGGCCATCTTGAAACAATGCTCATGATCAATTGGTCGTTGCAATTCTGGCAGGCGGTGAACAACAAATCTTCAAGGTCCTCATTGGTTGGGCTCTGAAGGGCGACAATCGATTGCAGCAAGGCATCGTCGCGCCCTGCCGCCCAACTCCAAGTCTCGACAAATATGGCGCCACATCCAATGATATGCTGGCACAGTTCCGGATGGTCATAGATGAACGACATATGGAGTAGCCCAGACATGATCTGAGGGTCGGACCGGATGGTGCCAAAGATCTTCCTGGATGAGCTGAACATCTGTGCCACTGTGTCTGTCATTCCAAGCGCACATGCAGAGTACAACAGTGCCTCTATGTTTTTCTTTTTGAAGCCAATGGTGAGAGAAAGGAGATGGCCGACTACTGCGCGATCAACATCACTTATCTCGTGCTGTGGAGTGAATTTCATGTCCTTCAAGGCACTCTTGGAGAAGGATTGGATGTGACGGACCTCCAACTCTCTGGTGTACCCTTTGAGACAGTCAAAGAGTTCAGATCGTTTGGCTCGATCCAATTCATACTGCAACATTGATTGAACGGCGATGCATGTGTCTATGTTATGGCGACTCAAGGCAGAGTTGATACTTATAGTGTCCAACTCTTCATCTGGATGATTGGACAGAAATTGTGGAAAGGCTGTGAGGAATGCACGAATCAACTCTGGTGCAGCGGTCGAAGCAACATGGACGAGCATGTCCAAGCTGTCCATGCTGAACAAGTGGTGCTGATCAATGTACTCAAAGATGGCCACTGTCTTTGGATAAACCGGTACTGATGGCGCGGCCGAGCTCTGCTCATGATGGGGCGATCCAGTGTCTTTTGTAATCTCGCGTGAAAGTGTCACCATTTCAAGAGTACCATAGGTGCACACCGTTGCCAGCCCAAGATCATTGGTGTCCAATGAGAGGAAATATCGTAGAAACTCTTGAAGATGCGACTGCTGGCAAAACCTGTCGATGTTCATGAAAAGTCCCTTCCTGATGAAGGAGATCAGTGGTGGTCGTGCATCCACGCTTGATAGCAATCCAAAGACGATAATGTAGATGGCGCCAACGTCGTTGAGGACCTGTCTGAATGTGGCCAGTTGCGAGTCTGCGCGGGGAACAGACATGCCATAGAGTGCGAGCACTTCAATGAGGAAGTTGAGTGAATGATCAAGTGTGATTGATGCGCCGGGCTGCCAGTCAGAGCCATAGAGTATATCGAGCCGTGTCTCAGAGTCCGACTCCGAGCCAGACATCGACGCTGGACGAAAGACAACCTCACAATGTTGTTGAAACAGCTGGCTGTCAAATGGGATATGCTTGACGGCGAGTTGCGCCAGACTAACATCTTGGCAACGCATGACGATCGCGAACGGCTGATGCACGAGTTGCTGAATGGTGAAGCGTGACCCTGGCTTGCGCTGTTGATTCAGATCAGTGATGTACGTGATCAGCTGCTTGATGACGTGTGCCGTGTCTGACAACTGCCTGTCATTAACATTGGCGGCCATCTTGATAGATGGTGGATCTGTGCTGCCATCTTTTATCCTGCGCTCCATATTGTCCATCGTCTCATGTGGCAATAGGTACTCAAAAAGAGCACGGTGACCATGGATATATGCTATGAACAGGTAGTCTTCATAGGGGTTATATTCGTAGGGATCATAGCAGTAACCCTCCATTATCTTCTTCTGTGGGTAGTTGTGAGACTGCGCCTCGAGGACCTGGAAGACATCCAATCGGCCACTGGCGGCAGCGCTGTGCAGCAGGCCATGATGGTGATAGAGCATGAGGTATCGGTTCCGGTCATAGACATGCTTGAATAAGGCGAAGGGCATCGTCTGGATCAGTGTCCCCAGGCCTTCAAACGTCCAATTGACTGGCGCGGCCTCACCATAGAGCAGTCTCTCTATCAGCACATAATAGTGCCGTGTGGACATTAGCCATTGAGCAAAGTCTAGCTGCTTGTACTTGGTGAAATCATGCGGGGCCTTGCACCTTGGCCGGCCCACCAAGACGATCGTTCTGAACAGGTAGCGAATGCGCAACACTCGCATGATCGCCCTGTCGTGTCTTTCTTTCTCTGCGCCCATGCATGAGCTGGACTGACAGCTGCACGTGGGCAGGTACTGTGCGAGGAGATGTCTAATGTCTGCCATATTGTATTTGATGTGATGTCACCAAGTTGAGGCGTCAATCTCAACAAATGATGTGATTATCTTGTAAAGGTATCCTTGAACTATATCATTATACACATATTTAAATATCTCCATAATGTACACAAGAGAAGGATGAATACATGAATGTTCAAAAGTCAAAGAGTGAAGGGTGTGAAACCAAAATGAAGTTCTTGCTTTTATTTCATTTTGTTTGTTGTTTTCGCTCTCGAACATAATTACGAAGTTTGAGAGAGACTTGTGAACATTATTAATTTAGACGAGTCATTGTTCATACAGATAATCAATCAAATACAACATATATTTATATAAATTAGAATCATAGAATACACACATCTAGTATTCTATCTATTTTGTTTGATTAATTTGATTGGTTAATTGATAGAGTCAAGACTACAAATACATAAAGAGTGAGATAGATAGATAGTAACAACAACAAACAACAACAAACAACAATAACAAAGGACATTTGAGAAGATATATTATATATAAGACACACCCCAGCTAGCGATGAACCTCAGCAATGTCCATCTACCATCGATACCAAAGTACTTTAGTGATCGGTGCGATTCAGACGATAAGACAGTGATAAAGGACGAGGCGTTCTATCAGGGTCTGTTGGATCAATGCATGATGTTGATAATAGGCGCCCCGTCGACAGTGGGCGTCGAGACCTTCTTCAACGAGCTACGCGACCAAGGTCTGCTCAAGTTCGGCACATGCGACGTCACCTGGAACTATGGTGACACTGCCTACAAGTGCAAGACCTGTCAACTAGACCCAACAACTGCCATGTGCATTGGTTGTTTCAATGCAGGTGATCACAAAGGACATGACTGTATGTGTATTCAATCAAACATTCATTGATCAATCATGTGATACTAACTTGCGAGCGTGACCAATCAATCAATCAATCATCTTTAGATGCACTACAGAGTGTAGGTGGAGGCTTCTGTGATTGTGGAGACCCAACAGCCTTCAAGACATCAGGGTATGTAGCAAGAAGGGTACACTCGGATACACGCGCACCTCACTCACACGATACACCTTTCCATCCACACCTCTAGCTTCTGCTCCAAGCACAAGGAACTGTCAGAGATTATTGATATCACAAAGTACCCAGAGCGCTTCATCTTGGCGCTGTGCTACGTGATCCAGTTCATATTGGATCGCACGTATAAGTTCTTTGAGGAGAATCGCGAGAAGGAGAACGAGCTGTTTATGGACTGGCTTCTCAAGCTGTCGCAGCGCGGCGACATTGTCAAGATCATCGTCATCAAATACATAGCCAACACCGATATTGGCCAGATCACAGCGCTTCTGCCACCCTCCCCCTTCAACCCGCCACTGCTCCAGCAATTCCTCGACCCGACCAAACACAACACGGTCAGCAGCGAGCTGAAGCAGAGCTTTGTCAACTTTTGTATATTCCTGCGCGGCAGCATCGAGTTCAACAGGACGTTGATTCGCACGGTGGTGCCCACGTACAAGCAGTGCATCATTGACGCGCACCGCCACATGCTGCTGCAGTCCTACACGGTGTTCTCGTCGTCGTCCGTCAGCGACCTGGCTGYGCTCGAGACCAACTCGTGCTTCATCGTCATGGACACGATCAAAGACTTCTTTAAGCGCTACTTCATTCACCGCGCGCCCTGGATGAAGCGCAGCTACAAGGTGATCAAGGCCAAGGACGAGATCGACCCGCCGCACTTTAGCTATATCATTCACTTCCCCAGCATCCCCAAGAGCCAGATCTCGCGTCTGCGCACCGACATTGGCTTCATCTTGTCGAACCACGCCATCGCGCGCAGCGTCGTCCAGAACGACGCGCTCGTGGCGCTGTGGTTCCGAATGATCTCGCTCGTGCAGGGAATGAACCCCAACCTGCAGAACCGCCCCACGTCCGTGCAGGAGTGGGTGCCATCGTTCACCTTTGACCTGTCGTTCTGCAACACGCTCTTCTCTCTCGTCGACGCCGTCGATCGCAACAGGACATCGATCGAGCGCTTCCTGTTCCAGGCATCACACACGCTTGGCCAATGGATCCTTGGCTGGATAGCCGTACATCAACAGAAGCTCGAGCAAAAGGGCACGATCAATCAGGTCATTCAAGAGTCTAGCAAGACTGATGGCTTCACCTATCACTTGATCTTGCACCGCGCCATTGCCGCCATTCTCTATGTGGGCATTAGCGAGTGTGGCCAGGAACTCACCGCCGCGGGCAAGCTCACTGGTACATTCTCTCGCATCGTCGGCGAGAACAGCCCCATCTCAATCATTGACTATGCCAAGTGCACGCTCTACCACCCACTTAAGCTGTTTGCATCGTTGGGAGAGATCAGGGCTGGCCTGTGGCGTTCACATGGTCGCGAGGAGGACATGTTCCTTCAGACGTCCATGTACCAGAGTCTGTACTACCAGCGATTCTACGACCTGGACATTCTGATGGTGCAGATCGGATCAGTGCTGTTGGGACCAAACCTATTCATGGAGCAGGCGCTGACTGAGTACAACCTGCAGGACTGGTTCAAGTTTGAGTCGCCCCTCAGCGCCTCGGGCAAGGATGTTCCAGTCACCCCAGCCAAGTCACTCAGACAGAGTCAAGGTGGCGTCAAGACAGTCACAGCCACACCATCCAAGCCACCAAAGGATGAGACAATCGATGACAACAACAACAACAATAACAACAACAACAACAATAGCAAGGAGATGAAGGAGAAGGAGAACAAAGAGAAGAAGGAGAAGAAAGAGAAGAAGAAGCAGGCAGATGAGTTCAACAAGAGGAAGATATTGGCTGAGGACTTTATTCAGTTCCTCATCATGGTGTCCACCAACAAGACCATGTCTGGAATGACCACACAGGAGATCATTCGCAAAGAGCTGGTACATCGTCTGTGTCTTGGCGATGCCACTCACTCACAGCTGACCAGGACCATCAAGAGGACCCTTGCCACCCATCCAGACTTTGACAAGATACTCAACGACATCGCAATCTTCCAGAACCCACAAAAGGTAAGTCCCGAGTGATCACTCAATCAATCATTCACTCAATCACTAACACAACCCTTCCAGACTGAGCAAGGAAAGTACCAACTCAAAGAAGCATGCTGGGCTGAGTTTGATCCATACTTTGCACATTACAACACGCAGGACTTGCAGTCGGCCGAGGAGAGATTGACAGACTTTAACAACAAGACCAAGTCAAACATTGCCCGTGGCACATACATCACTTACAAGACATTGCCCTGCATGGAGGACCTCGACACTCTGCTCTGCTCAAAGACTGTGCACCAAATACTGCTCACAATCCTCCAGAACCATCTGGTCAGCTCGCAGCGCACCACCGAGACGCTGTTCAGCCATGCCCTGCACGCACTCGAGCTGTGCATCATGCAGACTCAGACCATGATGTCCAGGACCAACGAGGCCGCTGCCGGTTCGACATCCACAACATCGACATCATCGACCACAAAGAAGATGTCCACACCCCAAAAGGCGCCACCCAAGAGCACCCCTGCACTGGCCACTGACATCGACTTCCCCTCGCCCAACAACATCTTTACCAACGCCACGCACGAAGTTAACATGGAGACAAAGAAGCTGAGCATGATCATCGTGCTCGTCAAGCTGAGCTCGCAGCAGGGACTCAATGCCGAGCACAAGCAGCAGATCCAGAACATCCTGAACATTCTCATGGAGAATGACAACAACTGCAAGCAAGTCGTCGAGAACTACTGGCAAGCGATTAGGGCCAAGAAGGCCATCTCCACTCCAGGCAAGCGCGAGGATCCCGAGGAGGAGAAGAAGAGGATGGCAAAGGCTCGCCAGGCCGCCATCCTGGCACAGATGAAGACACAGCAGGCAGCCTTCAAGTTTGACGACGATGACGACTATGAGGACGAGGACGATCAGGGCGCACAAGGCAGCTCGTCGCAGAAGGATAAGAAAACTTCTGAGAAGGTCGACCCCAACCTGTTGATTGTCGATGGACAGGTACAGACACACACCTGCGCGCTCTGTCGCGAGGCAGGCTCACTCAAGCGTCCGATGGGACGTGTGGCATTCATTCAGCGCTCGTCCATCCTTATGCTCTCCAAGCTGACGCCCGAGGAGAGGAACAAGCGAATGACCGACGCGATCCAACGCGAACTGGCCAAGTCAAACAAGGGCGGCGACAAGGAGAACAACGGCCCCGAGGAACACATTGCCAACCAGAACAACATCCACAACGCGCTCAACGATCTGCTGGGCCAGAACGAGATGGACGAGGACGACCTCGAGGACGTCGAGATGAGGAGCGACGACGAGGACGACAGCGACGATGAGGTCTCTGGCGCCATCTCCTACCTCAACAAGATATCCAACTTTGGAGACTATGGCGACAACATGTTTGACGACATGGACGACGAGTCAGAGATGGAGATGGACGACGAGTACTACGACCAGGAGGGCGACGAGGAAGAGGACGACGACGAGACCGACGATGACGACGATGACGATGATGAGGAAGGAGACGACCACCACGACGACATGGGCATGGATGACGGACTGCATGGCATCCACTCCAAGGGTGGCATGGACTATGATGACGGATACTTCTCGTCCATGGACGATGACGATTACTCAGACGATGACGACGAGGTCATCTACGACTTTACCAACGACGAGGAAATGGACCGTCCAATACAGACCAGCACCAGCACAACGTCCACCAGTGGCATCAACCTAGTCGACACTGTCCTCAATCTCAATACCCATCCAGCGCCAGCCGCCCCAGGTGGTGCCAATCCTAACCCCATCAATGAGGACTTCCTTCGTCTTGTCCAGGACGTGCGCCAACATTTGGTCAACCAAGGTGTGGTTGATAATGGACGCGGCGAAAGATCCATTGGTGTAAGAATCACCCCAGATGGAAGAATAAGCTTCGCCGAGCACGGCCATGGTCATGCTCACGGTCATGGTCACACACACGGACATAGTGGTGGCGGCGGTGGTGGCGGTGACGACGGAGGCGACGACCACGGTGGCGATGGCGACGATGACGACGAAGAACTTGTCGATGTCAACGATCTGTTTGACGATCCAGAGAACTTCTACGGCGACAATGACGACATGGACGATCTGGTCACCCAGTACGAGGAGCAGATGGACGCAGTGCGCGGCAACCCATGGTCGGACAAGTTCAGCACTCAGGAGCTCTTCAGGAACACTGAGGAGTCAGTCAACCTGCACATGTCCTTCTGTGGCCATCAGATCCACGAGGACTGCTTCACCGAGTACTCATGGTCACAGCTCAAGAACCAGAACTATGAGAGCGAGGAGCTTGTCGATCCCCAGCGTGGTGAGTTCCAGTGTGTCCTATGCCGCAGACTTGGTAACGCCCTGGTGCCCGTCATTCCTGACTCGGGATTCTCGGCCCCCGCCGACTCGGCAACCCCCGTGCCCGCGCCACAGAACACTGACGATGCCTACCGCACGTTCTTGACGCAGCTCCAATCACAGCTCACTACTGAGCAATCGTCCAAGACACTCGACTCCTTGAAGCCTGTCAGACAGGCCATCGACCAGTTTGCATCGCGAATCTACTCGGTCGAGCATCAGATCAGCTTCATCCACTCAGAGTCCAATGAGAAGGTGCTCCCATTCATCGCCTCCTCAATCGCATCGACAATCGCCGACACCGAACTGGCAATTAGAGTGAGCGAAGATGACAATACATCATTCTCCTTATCGATTGCCAAGCCAAGACAGCTACCTCTGTTTGGCATGTCCGAGTCGAATCGTGTCGACATCAGATCGTTGTTCCGTGCCTCAGTCGCGCACGTCAAGACCCACACACCTCAGCAATGGGAGGGATGCGTGCTCTGGAACTCAATCAGTGGCCAGACTGCCATGGCAATGCCCGTGCTGGAAGAGATTGCCGACGAGGACGCAGAGAAGATCAAGACTCGCGAGGAGCAACAGAAGAAGATGGACCAAGAGCACTTCCCACCCCTGCTCTCACTGGACCTCTATCACACCTTTATCCAGACATACCTGCGCACGTCTGCCCAGGACCACACCGTGGTGACGGCTAACGAGCGATTCTACCTCATGACCAAGATGTTCTTTGACGCATTGGTCACTCAATCAATCTTTAGCCACTTCAAGAGCTTTGACGACAATGCCAAGAGCGAGATGTTCATCAGCGAGGTGAACAAGTTGATCACGACACCCAATGACAACCAGCAAACGATCAGCACGATGCCCAAGCACCTGGTGGACATGATCCGCTCGCACTGCCTCATATACCTGCGAAAGTGCTCGCTGTTCCTCTACGCCTGCCTCAACGTCGACCCCACCCAACTGGCACTGAACCAACCAGAAATCAACGACGAGATCGAGACCGAGCTGCTGATGGCCTACCTCTGCCTGCCCGGTCCATTCGAGACACACCTGATCAAGGTGATCAACACCCTGATCACTCACTCCAGCACACTGGTGCCCTTGGTCTCATTGTGGGCCGACCAGATGCTCTCATCGTACGCCATCTATCTCAGCAGCGTCGAGCCCAGCGCCAGCGAGGGCACCTCCACGCCACTCTCCATCATCTCTTCGCCCACCATCCCCAAGCCATTCCTGCTCATTGATCTGGCCAAGAACTACGACACACTTTCCCAACACTACGCCACCGTCCCATGTCAGCAATGCAAGACCATCTCCAGCACGCAAGCCCTCTGTCTCATCTGTGGTACCCTCTGTTGTCTTGGTGGATGTTGCAAGAGATTCCTTGATCAAAAGAATGAGTGTATATTGGTATGTTATTGGTCAATCAATCAATCAATCATCGATCCAGTTCCATTTCTAACATATCCATGTCCTTAACCCTCTATCCCAATCCATTTAGCATGCTGAGCGTTGTAACGCAGGCACATGTATGTTCCTTGTGATCAAGTCCAGTTCAATATTGTTGTTGCATTTGCCAAGAAGGACTTATTGGTTCTCCCCATATCTTGATGATCATGGTGAGGAGGATGCCAACCTGCGTAGAGGCAAACCATTGTTCCTCAACGCCGGTCGTTACAATCAATTGAACTCACTACTCATCAAGCATCAAATAGATCAAGACAGCAAGATTGCAGAGCATACTATAAGAGAATAAATATACATATATATATATATATATATATTCCATTTCCAAAACAATCAATCATCTTACAGACCAACAACCAGAACAGATACTACTTCTTATGCCAACAGAGGGGGTCAGATTGATGGAAGCCGTTGGCCCTCTGGGATTGATCAAAAATCGATTTTTCAATAAAGTGATGGTGGTGGTGAGTGGATGGGTTGACGGTGGATGGTTGGCGATGAGCCGTTGTATGATGATGGGTTGTCCTTATGATTGTTTAGTAGTGATTGATGTGACAGCTCAGGCTGTCCTTCCTTGTCTTTACCTTCTCCTACATCATCATACATCGGATAACAAGCAATCATTCACTCATTCATTCATTAATATATTTACAGATAGATATATAACATTATAACATATATATCACAATGGCTAACTTTGTTAGAAAGATGGTCTCCAAGAAGAAGAGGAGGTTCGAATGGGGAAACTTCGATTTGGACCTCACTTATATTACAGACAGGATCATTGCAATGGGCTTCCCAAGTGAGTCCATCGAAGGTCTCTACAGGAACAACATGCGTGATGTCCAACGATTCTTCCAAACACTTCATCCAGGTCACTATAAAGTCTACAACTTGTAAAGTGTCACATTAGAAACAAACATGTGATCATGATCGATTGATTGGGACCATCCCACTGACATGGCCCTGACCCACCACACCATCACACTCTCAATCAATCACTAAATCAACAGATGCAGCGAACGCAAATATCCGCACGACAAGTTTGCAAACAATGTTAGCGAGTATCCATTTGACGATCATAACCCTCCACCCTTGCAGATGATAATAGACTTTTGTTATGATGTGGAGAGATGGTTGGATGAGCATCCAGAGAACGTGGCGGCAATACATTGCAAGGCGGGCAAGGGCCGCACTGGCACAATGATCGCCTGTTTCCTGCTCTACAACAAGTCCTGCCAGACGGGCTCTGAATCTATCCGCATGTTTGGAAACAAGCGCACACACAATGGCAAAGGAATCACCATCCCAAGCCAGTCGCGCTACGTGCGCTACTTTGAGGCGCTGCTGCAGTACGGCCGGCCCATCCCACCAATCCCCACAGTGACCAAGGTGCTCTCGTTGATTCGCATCAACCCTCTGCCCAACTTTGCCCTTGCGGGTGGATGCGATCCCTTCCTGGCCATTGGACAGCGCGACAAGAGCGTCTTCTACACCAAGCCGATCAAGATCAGGAAGGGCTCGCAGATCGTCGAGGTGGACTGCGGCAACATTTTGTTGTCCAACGATGTCAAGGTGCAGTTCTTCAACAAGAGCTCAAAGGGCCACATGTTCAGCTTCTGCTTCCACACGGCCTTCATTGACGGTCCCAAGATGCACATCAGACGTCTGGAGATCGACAAGGCTCACAAGGACAACACGCACAAGAACTTTCATCCCAACTTCTCGATCGAGTTGCAGTTCAGCGACATTGACAGCGATGAACACGACGATGGTGTGTCGACGTCATCGTCATCGTCGTCATCGACCACTGGCGCCTCGCAGTCAGCTGACGGCACGTCCACCGCTGGCGCCTCACCATTTGGCCAGCAAACGACCTATCAGACTGGTCTGACAAAGATGTACAACAACAACAGGAAGTCCAAGTTCTTTGGACCTGATGTGACCAAGGATGGTGCGAATAATGGAGGACACGAGCGAAAGGTGTCCAACCAACTCTTCACCTGTCCCAAGTGTCAAGAGCAGATCCTCCCTGGCGAGGTCTCCCTCAACGATGGCAAGAACAACTATCACTGGCGATGCATGAAGTGTAACAATTGCCAAAAGTCATTGTCCAATGAGAGCGGTATGTATCATGGAATCCAGGATGTAATAGACCCTGTCCTGACTCCTCTCATCAATCATAATCAGACTGTTTGTTCCAAGAGAACGGAGACATTCACTGCACAGACTGTGCCAATAAGAGTGGAACAGAGTTCTTTAAGATGTGCAATGGATGTGACAAGGTCATTAAGACATCGTACTATGAGGAGGTTGGAGATATGACATTCCACAGCGAATGCTTTGCCTGCTCAGTCTGCCACACTGAGCTGCCAGGCAAGGAGTTTGCCATTAAGGGCGGTCGTTTACAGTGCACACAATGTATCAACAAGGAGAAGGAGTTCAATCAGCGACTGACGTTGAGTGACAGGATGATGAAGAACCTCAACATCGCCCCGGCACCTGAACCGCCTGCCATAGTGGTGCTCCCACCCACGCCCGCGCCACCCGTCGTGGCGCCCAGACAGCCTGACCCACCCGTACCCGTGGTCATGTGCCAGCGATGTAACAAACCAGTTGGATTGCGACCACTCGTACTGGACATTGGTGTGTGGCACAAGGCCTGCTTCTCCTGTGCCGAGTGTGACCGTGTCATTGACACATCCATATACTACATCAAAGATGACAAGCCAATATGTTGTGATTGTGATAGACGATCAAATGTAAGTTTGATTGATTGTTGGATTGGTCGATCGCGACGAACATTGATACTAATCCAATCTCATGCACTTCAACCAAAGAAGGTGGCAGCAGAGGAGTTCATATGCTTTGGCTGCAAGAATGTTATTATGGACGAGGAGATGATGGATGCCATTGGAGAGAAGTGGCATGTACATTGCTTGACATGCTCAGTGTGCAGGAGGCATATTGACGGACCATTTGGCGACCACGATGGCATCATCTATTGTAAAGAGGACTATGAGCGACTGTTTGGAACGACCTGTGACATCTGTTCCAACACAATCATTGGAACATATCTCAAAGTGGTAAGTTGTTCATTCAATCAATCACTTGGAACTATTCCACTCACTAACTCACTCACTCAATCAATCCAAATATTAGAATGGAAGGAACTTGCATCAGCAATGCTTCAGATGTCATAGCTGCAACTGTGTGTTGGAGGGTGGCAAATACTTCCCTCGAGGCGATCACCAGATATGCAACCGATGCAGGATAGATGAGTCACAGAGGAGGAAGTTACAACAACAACTCAACACATACCAGAACAACAGCAGCAACACGCATCAATCACCTACAACAACATCACCAAGATCAAACTATGACAACAACAACAACAACAATAACAACAACTATTACACCAACAACAACAACAACTATAACAATAACTATAACAATAATCACAATGACGATAATACATACTCGCCAAGAATTGGACATGGACCAACTTCATCGTCGACGACGACAACATCACCAGCACCAGAACCAATATTATTTGTAAAGAAGCCCAATCCAACAAGACTGTCAACAAGAGTCAAGGTGAATGATATGAAGGAGAACAACAAGACCAACAACAACAACAACAATGTCGATACATGGAGCAACGCTTTCCACAGACAAATGGAGAGAAGTTCATTCAAAGCCGCCCGGCCATCCAAAGATCCAAGATCAACCCGAAAGGATTTCCTCGGTACCAAGCAGACGAGTAACTAGTCAGTCAGTCAGTCACAATCAACTACATATACATATATATATTATATTTACATATATTTATTCAATAAACCTTTACCCTTGCCTTCAACCCTTGCCCTTACCCTTACCCTCGCAGACATACCCTCGCCGGGCATTATTTGTGAAACGGATGTGTTTGAATTTTGATTTAATTTTAATTTTTGGATTAAGTTGGATTAGCGATGTGAGTGTTAAGGATGATGTTGAAAGGTGTATCGCCTTGTTTTGCTTCATCTCACATCAGCCCCTCGCCCAAGCTCAACATATCATAGAAAATGGTATGTCTCTATTCATCTAGCCGATTGAGGACCATCTATCGATTCATCTAGGCCTTGCTAGCAATTGGTCGATAGATAGAAAAGGCGATAGATACATCGATACAGGATGAACAAAGATAACCGAAAGAATCCATACTCATACATACTTCATGTCAATCCAACAACATATATAGACCAAGGGAACATACAGTTTTGGTCGTAGACACACCAAGTCTCACACCCTCTGCAGAAGATGTGGCAACCGTTCGTTCCACATCCAGAAGAAGACTTGCTCAGGTTGTGGATACCCATCAGCCAAGACCAGATCTTACAACTGGAGTGTTAAGGCTATCAGAAGAAAGACCACCGGTACTGGCAGAACCAGATACCTGAAGGTCGTTCAGAAGAAGTTCAACAGCGGTTTCAAGGAGGGTATGCATATTCACTCATTCATAACTCACTCATTCAGTTAGCGATATACAATTGCGTGCGATGATACACAGCCCAGACATACAGACTGGTACCAGTCGATAAACAGGTGGCAGCGACGTGGATATAGAGTGGACTCGACCAGTGACCAACATCCAACCACCTCCAACTCGACCCAACTCTCAATCAATCTCATTGCTCTCCACAAACAATCAATCATGTTCATGTATGACTAACATACTCTTATTTCAATAACTATAGCTTCATTGGTTAAGGTCAAGAAGACTCCAGTCGCCAAGAAGTAAGTGACGTACCTTTTTTTTTGGAGATTGTCCTACAGCAAACAGTAGCAGCAGAGACAATAGTCAGTCAAGGTAATAAACACATGTTCCGATTGAGATCTTGGTAACACCAATCCAATAATCTATGGTCAATCTTTATACTATACAAACAATATTGTTGAACAATGTTGTCAATCTGGTTCCTCTTACTCTATCGACTTGAGGTTATTGGTGGATACCATTACCCTACCCTACCATGCCCTACTCACCACTTACAAAGGTCGACCTGTAGATGGTCCGTTACACTTTGGTTGTTGATGAAAAGTTGAACCGACTGACGACGCCTACATTGTTGTAGAGGAGATTGTGGATGAGATCGCCGCCGTTTGAAACCAGATTGAATGGTTGTATACTCTTTTGTCAAAAGTCCCAGGCTGGTATTCATTCTACTTCACTAATCTCATCTAATCTCGTCTTGTCTTGTCCTACAGCAACAACAACAAACAATCTTGAAAGTCAAGACAACAACAGCAACAACAAACAGTCAAACGACAAGATTTGAAAACAAACAAACAAACAGCAACGACCGACACTACAACACATCGACGGACCTTGACACACACACATGTGGTTTCATACATTCATTCATTCATTCTAGATTCAAGTTCAGTGTTTAGATGGGTGTGGGTTGGTGCTGAATGAAACATGGGAAGTTTATTGTGGCAATGACCTTTTCAAAATCTGTTCTATCCCTTTTTTGGGTATGTCAAGGTGTTTCCAACTACAAACAATATGGTTTGTTTTAATCAACGCCTCAACACCACATACTCTGACGGCTATAGGAGGGCTTTGTTTGTGGGTGTGTTTGGGGCTGCGCTGGGACCCAAGGGCAAGTGGAGTACCTTTGGTATCTTTGCCCTACTTGCCCTCCAGATATATAGATACCTACGATATATATCTAATTATTCAAAGTGTTTTCAAACATCCCAACAATCAACAAAAATATATATATACATATATTTGATACATATAATTTTATACATACATATACACAGACATAAATAGATACATATTCAGAATAATAAATAAATAAAGTAAGGACAAATAATTAAAATATTTAATCCTCCAAACAGTTACACTTAGGCCACAAACAAATATTCAACTCTCTCCCTTACACCACATCAAGTTCGTTGCCCAGCCCATGATATCCCCCATTGTTGTTAAGATGTTGTGTGGTTAACAATTTACCAACTGTGAGTGCATGGACTCCATTCAGCAAACCGCCACATCAAAAGTCCAATGGTGTGTGTTTGATTGTGTGGCGTGTGATCGACCTATGTTCTCACGATGTGTGATCATTCATTTAATGTTACACTTTGCCTGACTATTTCGGGCATCTTCGCACCATCACTCACACTCACACACAAACATACCAGCCAATCCATCTTTGTTTCTATCCCATCCTTTAGGAGCCCCGAGTGGAGGTGAGGCTTCCAACACAAACACTCACATACTCGCACACTCTAATCAACATCATCACCATACAATACAGTCAACAACATCTTTAATAATTTAAATCATAAATGCCAACATCAATCAACCAACCATCTTATAAAGCTCTCTATGTATGTGCGTGTGAATAATCACTCATTGCCCTGTTGTTGTCCATTCCATATAATCATTCAATCATTCTATCATTCATGAACACAACACATTATTTATTCCTTCATACTATTTATTAGGCACTCAATGTATTTATCCCTCTTAGAGGCAAAGAAGGTAAGCATCTAGACACAACACAACATAGCCCCTACCCTTACCCTACCCTATATTTGGGTCTATTTAAAGCCTACCACAATTACATATAGGATCCACATTGTTCGTTTATGTGTGTTCCAGGCGATATTCGTCAACACTACAATTCATTCATCTTATCAACTCATAAATAATATTAATTAATCATTCATATCATAATAATAATAAGATCATGGTGTTATAATTAATTACAAGAATATAATATCCATCTTACACATTTTGATCACTACTAATAATATTTAATTAATATTAATATTATTTATATTGGATTACCTTTATACACATTCGCATTATTAGTTTATGTTTGTTTGATAGTGTTAGTGTGAGTGATCTAACTTACCCCCAAACAACACTGCGACAAATAGGACGATCGGATCGATCCTGGCTCCACCTCCAACACTCCGCTCACTCCTCTCAACCTCTCAACCTTCCAACTCTCAATCCACCCAAACACTCCTCCTTTTTTTATTTTCGACCAACACTCTGTCTCTCAACCATCCATCACACACGACATAAAACAAGAACCCACACCCTATCATCTATTCATTCATTCAATCTTATACATCACACATACATACATACATACACACCTCTTATATATATACACACAACTGTGAGTGTTACAATCTTGTTGACATTGACCGACCAACAACAACATTGACTGTCTGTCATATGATTGATGATAGTTAGATATATATTTAATATCAACTGCCGTTGTTGGTGACACATACACTCTCACACACACACACATGAATGATCAGTGTTCGAGTCGATGTTGATTCTGAACGGCATCATTATAAATACATTCCCACTCACTCTACTTGCAATTCATTCATTCAATTCAATCATTCAATTCAATCAATCATTCATCATCACAGCAATCAACGACATCGTCGTCATCAGTTTAGACTGTCTTTTCATTTATCATCTGTCTCTTATTCATTCATTCATACACACAACCCATCAACGATCAACAACATCATCATCATCAATCATTCATTCAATCATAAATGATATGACTATTAACACATTTATTATTATTAACACATATACAGACAGACAGATAGAGGCTATCATAATAACCCCAACAAGCAGTCAACATATCCACAGCAAATCAGCATCAGCATCAACAACATCAATCAGTCAGTCAGTCAGTCAGTCAGCCACAGCAACGTAGCCCCCATACATTGTAACATTCCCATTCAGTCTGACCCATCGATATAGCAACCACAAACGCGGCGATCATCAATCAATCAATAGTTAGTCGTTTCGTAAACCTCCATCTAGAGGTAAGGGCATGCCAGTTAGCAGATGCGAACGGGAACACTTCCATTCCGAAGTTGTTCAAGAAATCCAATACTAACTATTAATCAATCAGATTTCAGCAATCCATCATACAAACAACAAACATATTCATCATCGTCCATCCACATGATTTGAATTCCAGTGAACAGTCACCATTTATTTATTTATTTATTTATTTATTATTTAATTACAATCAACCAACCATCCACATCCACCAATCAATCAATTAATTAATCAATCTCATCGCCATCACTTAATCAATCCACACTCACTTATTTATTATTATAATTATTATTATTTATATATATTATTATTATAATCCAACAACCAATCAATCAAACAAATAATCACAATCTAACAAATAATTTTATTTATTTATTTATTTATTTATTATTTAATTAATTAATTAATCCACTCCCAACCTGTGTGTGTATCTTTCTGTATTACAACACCTTTAAACACCCCCAAAGATATGACAGACTTCCAAATGCTCAGCAGCTCAAACGGCATGCTGGACGCACCCTGGACCAACATCAATTCGGGATGGACACCCATCAGCAGCCCACCTGGACTCGCCAGCTTTGACCCACAAAAGGTGCCATCATCCATCAAGAACTGTGAGTTTATCAACATCTCCAATGTCACTGGCTTCGACCCTTGGATGGCACCACAGATCGTCAGCGTCATGGATAGATCAAAGCTACAGCAACAACCTTCGCCCAAGCTCATCAATCACATTGCCCCTATCAATCCAATCAAGCGTAGCAGCGAGGATTACACTCATAACCAGATTTCACAGCAATTTGCTGAGCTTCAAATTCAACAACAACAACAACAACAACAACAATCAGATGATCCAGAGGGAGATGAAGAGATCTCTGGACAGAGCAGATACAAGACAGAGCTCTGCCGTTCATTTGCCGAGACTGGTGTGTGTAGATATGGATTCAAGTGCCAGTTTGCTCATGGACGTGATGAGTTGCGACCAGTTATGCGACATCCAAAGTACAAGACAGAGACATGCAAGACGTTCCACACTGTTGGCAGCTGTCCATATGGCTCTCGATGCAGATTCATTCATGCCAAGCCAGGCGTCCCAGCCAACCAAGAGCACATCCTTAACTTCTCTGCCAACAGTCTCTCGCCACCCCAGACCGTGCCAAGGGAGACACAGCAACAGCTGCTCTCCTCCCCACCTTCAATGCAGCCACTCAGCAAGTCGACACCAGACATGAAGCCACCCACCGCCGTCACCTGGTCAGACTCTTGGGGACCAGATGAGGCCAACATGCACAACAGCAAGTCCATGCGTCTGCAGAACAAGCCAAAGGAGGATGAAGTCAACAACAGCAAGAGAAGGTTGCAGATCTTCCGTACCATTTGCTCCACCAATCCATCCTGGGAGTAACAATAACGCCCGCTACGGCACATTATCTCCAGTATCTAACTGACTCTATAGGGATATACATAATATATATACATATAAGTAGTGTACACTAAATCAATAAACTTGATCTGATTTTGAGCAAGCACAACCATCATCTATTACACTACCTCTGTGAATCAAACTTGGTAAGTGACAAAATAGCCAAAGTAGTCTCCAAAGTATACTATGCCATGTGCCAAAGATAAAGGCCTCCTCAATGCTAATCACATCAACAAAAGGATGAACTATTTAGTTAGAGCTTTCTTCCCTTTGAGAACCATGATGGCACTGGCTTCTTGACAGTTGTCGTTTCTTCATCTCTTGTCATTGGTGCATCTTCATCGTCATCATCCTTCTTTGTGTCTATCATCTCGACATCCTTGGAGCTTGGTGAGAATATACCTTGGGTAGTAGTGGCGGCATTTGGAGATGTGGTCGATGTAGAAGTTGTTGATGCTGTTGTTGTCGTTGTGGTTGTAGATGGGGACGTAGCAGTTGGAGCAGGAGCAGCTGTTGTTGGGGACACTGGTGCCGACTTATAAGCAACGGCCAAAAGGTCCTCAACTTCCTTGGCGAATTTGATTGCAGGTGAACCTTTCTTCAAACCAAGGTATACCTTGGCTGCAGGAAAGAGACCTACCTTCTTCAGAGTGGTCTCCCTGTCTGTCAATTCCTTGCGTGGAGGAGTGATATCTAGGTGATTGATTGGTTTTAGTCATATATAGTTCCACCGTATCCTATCCATCCAATTCATGCTTACATAGATAGTATTGTGGAGGTGCTTCTTGATCAAAGAGAGTGGATACGTATTCGTACAACCTTGATATTCTCTCGTGTGTAAGGAAAGTCATCTCCAGTATCTTTCTATCTGGGAAGTATAGTCTAATCGTTGTGGTCACATACTTCTTGGTCTTTTGTTCCATGTATCTATCCCTCATATCCTTTGTTCTAAGGATTGCCTGGAACTCATCATTCTCCTTCTTGATTCGTTTGTTGGCTTCAATCAATCTCTTAAAGTCCTCAGTTGTGAACTTCTCGTCAAACTCAATCTCTGGTGAATGAACGTCATTAAGTAAGTAATGTGGAAAGAGTGAGTGTAGCGTTTCAAAGGTTGACAACATACGCGATGGGTCCAACTCTTCCTCAGTTGGGATGTAGACGGACAGCTTTCTGTCAGCGGGAGGGTCTGGTTGGGTCTGGGGCACTGGGGGCAGAGTTGTTGGCTTCACCACCTGATTGTGGTGCGCCATGTACTCATCGTAGGTGGAGGAGGTGAATTGCTTCAATATTCCTGTTGCCTTCTCATAAAAGTCGACCTCTTGCTTTGGTTGATCCGATGGTTTTGAGGCAGGTGGTTCCACATTGATCTGCATTGGTGCAATTGGGGATGGGATAGACGCTGTTGGCGATGATTGTAGAGGTTTGGAAGTCGTAGTCGTAGTCGTAGTCGTGGTCGTAGTAGTTGATGCAGCTGGTGTTGGAGATGTCGCTTTGCTATCGGTATTTGTCTGGGGAGATACTGTCGTAGGGGTGATGATCGTAGTTGGTGAGTCGCCTGTCGATGTTGTAGATGATGGTGATACCACTGCTGTTGGTGATGTCACTGGAACAGGTGAGGGTGGAGGCTGATAGTTCTCAATCAGCCCCAATACGTCCTCATAGCGCTGATCAGTCAAGGAATGTCTCAACTTGATGAGCAAAGATTCAGTGATGTTCATTCCGCGCAGTGTTGACGTCTGTAGCTCAGCAATAGTCTTGGCCTGATGAGTCGAATGTGTTAACAATGATGTTGCAGTGTGAGACAAGAGAGCGAGAGCAAGCAGGTATACATACCTCTTTGTTCAATATCATCAGGATAGGTTGATAGTAATGTGTTGTAGTGTCATCTGTTCTTCGGACGAGGTTCAGTGCGGACTCTGTCTTCTCAAAGTGCAGGAGTATGTCCCAGAGTGAGCTAGATGTGGCAAAGTTGGCCTGTAGACGTCGACCATCCTCCAACTGCAATGCAACACGTATATTCTGTACAGATCTATTCGAGGTGTTCTCTATAACAGTAACACGACTGGCACTTGGTATACCCGATAATCTGAAAGGCAATGACAAGTTGACAGGCTTCTGATTGTATCTGTATTATGATAAAGTGAGTGAGTTGAATGATTGAGTGATGTGAACTGTGGCGTTATACATACAACAGGTTATAGTTGGCAGGGTCTGATAGCTTGTAATGAACACATGATTTCTTAAGTATGTCGGACAACAATGTGTTGGCAGTGAACTGTATCACAGTCTTATCATTCCTGTAGAGTACATGTAATGTAGTCATATCTAATATTTTATTTATATTTATGTATATATGTATATATGTATGTAATTATATGTATATGTATGTAGTTTGATTAATTGAATGATTGAATGAATAAGTGAATCATCAATTAATTAATTTCCTTGTTTGGTCAGTTCACAGCAAGACTTGATAACCCCATAATCATTTAATTTATGGGTTTGACCCTTAATTATCCAAAGCATTGGACCAACAATCAATCCAACAATAATAAATAATCATAGTCATAATAATATTTTAAATATATAATATTTATATTTAGTTGATGACCTTGGACATCTTGTTCTCGGCTGCCTTGGTGATGCAAGACTGTATATGTTGAATCCACATGTCCTTCTCCGCGACGGTCTTGGTAACAAACTTCCTATACTCAGAGTTGGAGTCCACGCCAAACCATCCTTCCGACTTGTTATGCGACAGCTTGGTGTCACTGTTGAGGTTGTGCTTGAAGATGAACTTGTACTTGGGATGCTTGGACTTGCGATCGGTGGTGGACGAGAAGAGATGCTTGGCATAGCTGTCCTTGCCCTTCTTATATTTACATACGACGAGCATCTGGTTGAAGAGGAAGACGTGGAGCACGGTGGGCACGGTCGCGCCAGACTTGGCGTGGTCGGCGCGGTGCTCAGAGCCCGAGACGACACCGGCCAGCGTCGAGCCAAAGCCGCTGCCCGACGAGGCCGTCGGCAGATTGAACTGCAGCTCGCCCTCCATGATGTAGCGCAGTGATGCGTAGTCCATGATGTTGAAGCCTAGGATGGCGTCTTGCAGCAGGGACACGTGCTGCACGTTCTCAAAGTCGCGACGCTTCTCGTTGACGTGGTCGGCGATCGCCTGCATCTTGGTGAGCGAGAGCGCCAGTTGCGCGCGGTCGGGGTGCGTCAGCTCGGTGACGCGCACCATCTCCTCGAGCAGCAGCACGTAGCGCGGAATGCGCTGCACGGGAATGATGATGAGATCGCGCAACTGCTGGTTGGTGCGCTGGAACGTCGCGGCCATGTACTCGCTTAGCGCCGGGTACTTGGCAAACTCGTTGATGGAGTTCAGCGAGCGGTTGTACTGGTTGACATAGGCGATATAGCACTTGAGAAGGTCGCACATCTTGAAGAAGATATCGCCAAACTGCGTCTCGACGTGCCATGGGCGCGCCTCAATGCGCTCGCGTAGCTTGATCAAAAGGCTGTTGTTGATGTTGGTGATCACCTGGATGTTGTTGTAGAGCGTCTTGATGTTGTCGACGTTCAGGCCGAGCGTCTCGGACTTCTCGCGCAGGGGCACCAGATACTGCTTGGACAGCACCTCCAGGCTCTGCAGGTAGGTGTGCTCTGTGTGCAGTATCTCCAGCGCCACGTCGCGTCTGTTCTTGGCGCGCTTGAAGTGGCGGCGGGCGAGGTAGCCACGAACCATTGCTTGGACTCGTGTGATGCGAATGACGTCCTCCTTGGTGGCGGTGGCCATGAGCTCAGTGAGACTGCTCGACGACAGCGACTGCGTGATGCTCGACACGCTGTGGCGCTCCTCCTTGATCTTGCGATCCTCGCGTTCCTTGCGTCTGCTGCGACGCTTCTCGCGGCGCTCATCGCGCTCCTCCTTGGTCTCGCCGAGACGATCCTTCTTTGACTTGGCGTTGCGTGCGTCCAGAGCGGACAGGGGCGGGGTCGAGCATGTGCTATCTGGTCCGCTGCTCGCGCTCAGCAGGCCGGCTGCGCCGCCAGACACGACAAATGCGGCCGTCTTGATGGCCGATATCTTGACCTCTAGCTGGTCGAGCTTGTCGCCCAGGCGGTTGACGCGGTCGTCGAGCTTGGCGGCCGTCTTGTTGAGCATCTCCTCGTGCTCGCGTGTAATGCGCTGCAGCTCATTGGAGAACGTCGCCAGTATCTCCATGATCGCAAACTTGTTGTTGACGCTGGCCAGGCCAAGAGCACTTGGTGTGTGTGACGTGGAGCTCGGTGACATGACCATGTTGCCAGCCGAGAATGGACTGCTGTTGTTGCTGCCTCCATTGGTATATACGTGCAGGTTCCTCTCTGGTGTGTGTGGTGGCTCGACGCGCTTGAGCGATGCTCGCTTATACCTGTTGTTGTCGCCACTGTTGTTATTGTTGCCGCTTATGTTGTTGTTGTTTGTGTTGCCGGCCTGCGAGTTGTTGGAGCCGACGGACCAGGTGCGTGAGTGACCCGTGGTGACGCCTCGCTGCAGATTGAGGAAGCAGGCTACGTATGCCATGACACATGTCTCGTCCAGCTGGCCGTCGATGATTGCCTGTGGCGGCAGCATGGCTGGGATGTTGAGCGTCTTCTCTGCAATGTCGAAGCAGAGCTTGAGACCGTCAATGTTGTCCATGTCGTTCAACTTGTCCAGATCGATGGCCGTCTGCGCCTGGCTGTGTGTGAGCGCGTAAAACAGTTGGACGTTCTGGAAGGCCTTGGAGAAGTTGCTCACGCTCAGGCCGTAGGGCTCGAGCTCGCGGCGACACCACCGCAGCAACGCCTCGCGTGGCGTCTTTGTCGCGGTCGATGTTGATGTCGTTGTCGTCGTCATTGAGGATGTGAGCGCGTTGAGCAAGTTTGATTGTGAGCCTCTCGCAGATGACGATCTGAGGGGGTGAGAGGGTCCGTCGGCCGTCTGCATCTGACCCAAGTCCGACGTGGATGTTGTGGCAGAGGACGATGACTGCGCATCCATAAAGTCCTCATCGTTCAAACAGAGCTGGATGTGGAACTTGGAGATTATCCTGCCGAGCAGCGACAGGGTCATCTTGGTGTGGCGGTCGACCAGGTTCTCTGGGCGCAGATTGACCAGGTTGATGCCAGCGCGTTCAATCGCCTGCAGTGCCACCTGAACATTATTGAGCATATGCAATCTGTTTGTTGGTCGTTGTTTCGTCGAGTGAGTGCCTTCAATTCGTTCATTCGTCAATATCTCCATCAATATGATCAATAACACTCCATCATTAAAGTCATCCATCAAGTCATTAACGACCAAGCCTCTTTGTTTCAATATACTATTGGCCCATACTGTATATCTAAGTGATTTGAATGAGCGATTGAGTGAGTGATTGAGTGTGGCGTTAGTAGACATTCGCGGAAACACACGGAAACACGCGGAAACATGTGTGGGCGGGGGTGGTCTGGCGGACCCTCGACCAATGGATTCGCGAGACTTACACTCTTTTCTGAAGATCTTCCAGTTGACTCATCGTCATGCCGTATGTGTATTATATATGTGTTTACACAAGTGTAACAAGATGATGACGTTGTTGTTGTTGTTATTGTGTTGGCAAGCTAGAAATACAAGTCAAACGATGTTGATGGTTGTTGGTAATTATTATTATTCCTTTCAAACAATGATCGATATTCGAATTATTTATATTATATATCTCTTTTCAGGTAATGCAAACAATGTTTGTTGTTGTTTAAATGTGACTATGAGGATGGGCGCGCAATAGGATGGTTCTCTGTAGTGAGTGGTGTTGGTGATGTTGTAGGTTGTAGTTGTTGTTGTTGTTGTTGTTGATGCTGTTATTAGTTCTGGATACAGTGCACACTGTTTGATGTTGTTGTTGCTAGGCTTATCGTGCGCTCAAACTGACAGACTAGTTGACTGACTGATTGGATCACCCCGTTAGCACAAACAATCACCCGATCAAATCTTTCAAGCTTTGGGCGCGAAAGGTGTGTGTGAATTAATAATAATAATAATAATAAAGAGAGTGTTTGAGTTGATGATGCGTGATTGAATGTCTTTGTTTGTTGTTATATTATATGTATAAATTGTGATGCAAGCAATTATTTGATCAATTGCCCATTGTGTGTGTTTATGTTTGATGGAGGTCTTCGAGTGGAGGAGAAGGCGCGAATTGGTAGTGACCATGGTCCAATAACAAAAAAATTCCAAATCAAAAGTTAGATCTAGATTTGTGATCAAATCGTTCGGTCCTTGCATGTGTGATGGGGTTGGTGGGGTACATTGTATGACAATCCTTGTGCATCTCAGAGGATTGTATCTGTTTGGACAACTAAAGGGACCTACTCTTTCATTGTACTTGTATATATAAATTTGTGTTCAAGTCCTCATTCATCCTTGATCAAAATCATACAGGAAATGGATATCTTTCTAGGACACATAGTCATCAATGATTGATCTATACTAACCATACCTAAGTGAAAGATTGACGGAATGACTGAATAACTGATCATCCTTCATCACTTGTGCATAGCAACACCAATGTTGTCTCGAGGGATAGCTATTTGAATGATCTGTCTGTTGTGATCAATGGAAAGGAGGTACCGATTTCAGCAGCCACATCCACCACCTTCTCATTGACAACCACTGCGACTGGACTGACAGACACTGCAACAGGACAGACAACCAACGACTCGTTCAGCAATGGATTCAACTCTCACAACACATTCATACTCTTGTTGTTATTATTGGCCACAGTTGTCTTCATATTTTAGCCATGGTCATGTAGTTCATTCATACATTGGGAATTAAACTGATGAGACAGGTCAGGCCAACTCTGTTCATTCATTCATTCATGTGATCTTGGAGAGTACTTTTTGTTTATATCTGGTCTATGATCTTGAACAAATAATTCGATGTCAGCACTTTCTAACAAAGTGTAGGGAAGACGAAAGGCACTGACACAACAATGTACAGAGGGAGAAACACCAAACGACCCCTCACCATCAATCACTTCTTACATCAATGTGTTTTATTTGAATAATTGAAAAAAGATCATTTTGATCACACGTTTGCAGCCCCCACTGTCACTTGATCATGTCTGACACTGTGTCTGCCCCAATGCACACCCTCTCACAAACCACATCTACTCACCTATTAATAATAATAATAATAATAATTATACCGTTTTGTTTTTGAATAGGATATAGTTTTGAAGACCGATCGATCAACCATACATTCATTCACTCATTCATTCAAACAAATAATAACTGTATCATTATACTCAATCAATCAATCACACTCATCACTCACTCAATCAATCAATCAATCAATAACACTAAAACATAAATCAGATATATTTATATATATAAATAGAATTACAATACAACAGAGATATAAAGATGGGCAAGAAACTTGAAATGTTCCTTAGGATTATGGTGATCTTCTGTGCAATTGCACTGGGTGGTCTGACAGCACCATACTTTATCTACATGGTGGAGGCCTACAACGTAAAGGCATGGCTAGCCTTTGGACTCTACATTGCATCAGCATTCATCCTATTGGTGCTGGCCGTTATAGGTCTTATCTCTGCTATTAAGAAGAACAGAGGTTTACTCCTTTATGTATGTTGTCATTGTTCAAACTCAAACACAAACTCAAACAAAACACTTACTCAAACTCAATCAATCAATCAAACTCATTAGTTCGCAATGACCAACATGGTAATGTTGATCTTTGGAGTGGCTCAGATCATTGTAACATCATTGACATTGACCAACTGTGATGATGAGAACAACAACTTCAACTTCCTCTGCTCAAAGAACACAGCTGGTTACTTTGCACCAGTTGCCGTCTTGCTCTTTATCAATGTATGTATTGGAGATTGATTGATTGATTGAATGATTGGATCAGATGCTAACACATTACATTTGTTGTTGTCCATTAGTTGATCGCTACTGTATTCTCACTTGTTCTGCGATGGAAGTTGGTCAACGACACCAAGGGAGACTACTATTGATCGATCGATCGAATAAATGGAGACTCCAAAGTAGAGTGCGACAATGGCTATTTATTAAGTTACTCAAACATACACAACAACTCCAGCGACATGACTGATTGATTGATTGATCAAAGTCCAATCCAGTATGATCTTCCACCTGGATTGTGGATGGCACTGATTGATGGTGATGTGACAGCCCACTCGTACCATACCTTGGCCCTGGTGGCATTGCGCCAAAAGTGAACAGTGATTGTGTTGTTGCCATTGACATTGATTGGCTCGCGTATTGGGAAGAATATGGGGAACCAACTGAACATGCCCGTGGAGAAGTTGGCCGGGTTGATGCTGAGATGCACGTCGCCGTACAGACAGCAGTCAAAGTAGCCGATGAAGCCATGCAGGGTGGAGTCTGTGGGGCAGGTGAATGTGCACGATCCATAGCGCGTGTTATCAACGTCCACAGGTATGTTGGCGCCTTGGGGTCCAGCCTTCATCTGTTGCTTCTGCAGCTCCTCGTTTGGATGAGCAAAGGTGAAGAGTGGCTGCGACGTGGCCATCTGGAAGAAGTTGTGTGCCTTGACCACATAGGGCATCTCAAAGTGCTTCTGGAGATTCCAGCAGGCCACCTCGTTGTAGAGCTTGGACGAGGAGATGGGCGCCAAGTACGACGTGTACCACGCGGGGATGCTGATGCCGCCGTCAGTTCGCAGGAAACGCTGCGCGCCATCCAAACACTCGGGACTGAGCTCGTTGTCGCCGAACGAGCCCAACAACTCGCTCACCATGATGTCGGCGCGCTCGGTGGTTTGCCAGTGACGCATGTCGCACTCGACAATAGTCACAATGTCCTGCCACTGCTCCATTACAATGCGGTTCCTCAGAGTAACGATTGCGTTGGGGTTCTTCTCGACGGCAAACACCTTGATCGTGCGCTGCGCCTCTTGTGACGCCAGGATGGCCGCTTTGATGAGCGGGCCACGACCTGCTCCCACGACCATCACGGTCGAGACGTAGTCGGGGGCGGTGCGCTCGACCAGGGCTTTGGCAATGGCGTTCTTGTACTCGAGGTACTTGACTGGATCGCGTTCGAATATCTCATAAGTCTGTGATTCCAGGTTGTCCATCAGTGGCTGAAGTGGCATTTGGAGATAGTCCAAGTATGGCTGTTCAAAGCTTTCCAGCTCTGTGATTGGTGATTGAGTCTGATGAAGGTGATACAAGTAGTTATAATAGTCTGCCACATTGTCAACATTGCCACTGATTACGAATTGGATGTTATACTATGATTGATTGATTGAATGAATGAATGAGTTAGTTCCAGTGATTGATTGATCGATTGATTGAGTGGGAATCCAGTCAACATGATAGTCTGTTTGATATCATACTTTGAATATCCGTCCAAGGAGGTCCCTGTGCTTCTTTGTGAGCGTTGGATATCCTTTCTTGTTGGGTATGAATATGCTGGTTGGTACAAAGACACATTTGATAGGCTCGCCAAGCCATTGATCGAGGATGTCCTGTGAGGGAAGGTCAGCAGTGATCTCCAGAACAGGGTGTAGTGAGGGATGGTGATTGCAAAGAAGTCTAAAGTTGTTCCACCACGTCCATGTATTGATATCTGCTTCGTCGTTGCCTGTGATGACGCGGTCGATCTGCTGCTCGGGCGCGACCAACGGTATCCTCATCCAAAGTCGCATCGTCGTCAGTGATTGCAGCGTCTGATTGATGATCTGTGCGTATGCGGGTGACAGACGAGTGGGTGGCGGAATCAGCAGTGCTGGCACGGCAAGATGCGCCGCCCATGATATCTCTTGGCGCATGGCCGCCACGCTGCTCTTGCGAATCTGCTGGTCGGGCGAGTCCACATCCAACCATGTTGAGAGTTTGGGCACGATGGCCGATTTCCATTGTGATGAGTCGAGCAATAGGTCGGAGCGCGTGAATGGCTGGTTGCCCTGCATCTCGTGGTAGCGGACGTAGCGTGGGTGAGCGATTGGTATGACCAAGAAGTCGAGTGTCGTGTCGGCCACCAGACTAGGCAAGTCGCTCACGTGATTATACTCCACACCACATGAGAATGGGTAATGTGTTGTCGGGGCAGAGCTGTCATCCCAACTCGCATCAGTGTCATGTTGTTGTTGTGTATCTGTTGGTGTGTTGTGTGACTTGTTCATTCTTCACTCTTTCTTTATGTGTAAAGTATGTTTGATTGTTTGCTTGAAGTCGTCTGGTCAGATGAATGGACCTACTTTGTCAAAAATCATAGGAACCTCCCTTTGAAAAAAATGATCAAAGTTTGGTTTTGTTTGATCTGAAGGTGTACTGATCAGTAGACAAGAAAGTCTATGGGTCATTACAATTATGGAGATACTTTATTTATTATTAGTTTCCAAATAGTTTGTCATAGTGATGGAGTTTGAGATGACAGTTTGGACAATTGTGAACTACATCTTTTAGAGAATCCATTGCAAATGGTATGAAACAACAACCAAATACACATCCAATTATTATTAATATTATAACTACAACCCATACCAACAATCCAATTACATAATGTGTCTCTGTTACAATATACTCTTGACATCTTGGGCATACAATCTCTGATGGTCTAATCAATCAATCAAACAATAGAGTGTTAGTTATTTAACTACTTTTAGTTTTATCAAGTTTGATAACTTACATATCACCTAACATTAGTTTATATTGTGTTGGGTCATGTTGTAGATGGAGATCTGATGGAGTGAACGAGGATTGGATTGGTGGATAATTGGGTGCAGGGTACTTCCTGGGTGTATGAGGTTGTTTGAAAGGTAGGTCTGGATTGTGTACATCGATATTATTATCTTTTGGTTCTTGTTTAGATTGTACTGGTGTTAATTTATCTTTTTCCAGGTGTTGAAAAGATGGTATTTGTTGTTGTGAAAGTGTGATTGATTGTGTATTTAGGTGATGTTGTTGATGGATTTGAATGAAAGATGATTCATTGGCTAATGGTAATGTTGGAGGTTGAGGTGGAGGTGGAGGTATAAATTGATATGGTAGAACTTGATTTGTTATCTGATTCAATTCTATATTACTATTATTATTATTATTATTATTCTCAAATGGATTTTGCCCCATTTCTTATATATCTATAAATAAATAATATATATAAAAGGGATATCCAACAAATTGATGTTGTATCTCCTTAAATTGTACTTGATTGACTAGAGTGTTACAGAAACAAACTCATTAATTTAGGATTGAATTGAATGAGATTGGGTCTTTGAAATTCCAAATATCTGATTGATTGATTGAGTTATTGTTAGATTGATGGGAAGTAAGAAGAGTCGTGTATGGACATGGAATCATAATATTCTCTAACTCTCTGATCAATTTCTTAAGATTGTCTAACCCTGCCATACATTACTATCGCTGGGCTTATTCCAAAAATGATTTTTAGTTGAAGGTACTCAGATGTGAATCCAATTCATAGAGTGCCATTGAGTGTAAGCTGCATCTCTCTGTCATTCACTGTGTGAGAGCAAGTAACTCACTCACTGATCGCTGCGATCAATCACGCAAATGCAAGTGAAAATACGTTGAAGTCCTTGTTGTCCACTTCAGCGAAAAAAACAACTTGTCAAGGAAAACACACGTGCCTCGTTTCGGGTCCACTCATAAGATTCTTTTTGGCTGGGAGAAAGACCTGTCGATGTACTTTCGCCGATTGGCGAATTGGGAACGACCGTGAGTCGGTCAGCCCAGTCATAGACAAGGCTCTAACCATTGGAGTCGAGGAAGTACATCAATGTTTCTTTGCTACCTTTCCACATGTAACTAATGTGTGAGAGGTCGCGATCGAATGATAACCATTGTTGGAAATATCCTGGACTTGATTGTTAAAGACCATCCATCATTCTTTCATTGCCTTCTAGTGCCTAGTAGGTTACATTCGTGTACATGAGTGACTCCTGATCTCACTTTGTTATACATACCAAGAGGTGGTCCAAGTGTTTATTATTTAAGTTGATGGAGGGCCAAGGCCAGGCTGAACATAACCATGACCATGGCCAAAGGGATAAGACAGTCAGTCAAGTCAAGTCTTGTTTCCATTCTCTAGTCCAAGTTGCGGTACATGTCATCGATGGCATGCTTGTAGCGATCCTTGATCTGTTGTCTCTTGAGCTTGAATGATGGCGTCAATAGACCGTTCACATCACTGAAGGCCTCGGAGATGAGGTGCACTCTCTTGGGGATCTCAAAGCCAAACAGTTTGGTCTGGCGGGCAGTGCTCTCCATGTCCTTCAGCACAATTTGGTTGAGCTCACGGTTGCTGCACAGCTGCTCGAAGCTGGCCACGATGCCCTTGAGCTTGGCCCACTCCTCCACCTTGTCTGGATGCGGGTGGACGATGGCCACCAGGTTGGCTTTTTGAGAGTCGCCATAGATGAACACCTGGGCCACCCACTGGCTGTTGAGCAATGCGCCCTCGACCCTCTCGACGGCCACATACTCTCCCTGTGACAGCTTGAATATGTTCTTCTTCCTATCAATGATGCTCAATGATCCATCACGATTCCATCTTCCAATGTCACCTGTTGCGAACCATCCATCTTTGAAGTCTTGTTGTCTGTAGTTGATTGATTGATTGAGTGAGCGTTAGTGAGTTGAATGATTGATTGATTGATTGAATGAGTGAATGAATGAGACATACGTCTTGGCATCATCTTTGAAGTAACCGATGGCGACTGATGGTCCTCTCAAGTGCACCTCTCCGCATGGTGGGTTGGAGGTTGTGTAATAGTTGAGCTCTGGTACATCCACCAACTTGGCCTCAACAGAGACAAAGGGTGGTCCAAGACTGCCAACACTAGAGTCTTGCAGGAGCTTGACGGCAGTGCCTCCACATGTCTCAGTCAGACCATATCCTTGTACTACAACACAGGAGAAGCAACTAGTTGGTAGAGGATGGGAGGGGATGTTGGTTGGCATGCACACGTTCGAGCCAGGCGCGAGATGATGTGATTAAGTACTTACACTCTGAGGAAGATCTCTGTGTCAGCGGAGAGAGGTGCACTGCCAGACAGGATAACACGGACTTGTCCACCAAGTGCCAACTTTAGCTTGGCAAAGACAAGGAAGTTTAGGAAGGCCTCGAGAAGGGGCATCTTGAAGCCGTACAGGATGGACAAGTACTTGAGTTTGTAGGCCAGCATGAAGATTGAGCGACGCAGTGGACGCTGCTTGGAGATCTCCTTGAACACGCCAGCCTTGATACGCTCAAACACACGCGGCACACCGACAAAGAGTGTTGGACGCAGTATCTTGATCTCGGGTAGGATCTTGGTGATGTCGCCACAGAAGATGCCGATGCGACCGCCATAGTGGTAGGCCAAGAAGACGATGATGCGCTCCATGATGTGTGCATAGGGCAGATAGGAGTAGTGTGCGTCTGTTTCATTGATATAGTCGATGTATTTCTTCACGGCATTGACCACGGCAATGACGTTCCTATGTGTGATCATCACTCCCTTTGGGTCGCCAGTCGTTCCACTAGTGTACATAATCGTGCACAAGTCGTCGGCTGTTGGTGGCACATGTCTATGCTTGATCTTGGCCAGCTTGCCCTGTTTGTATTGTGTTGGCGCGCGCGTTAGACTATTTCATTCGCTCATCAACTCAATCCATCGTTCAACTTACGATGGCGTAGATCTGGTCGAGGGTGTATAGGTTGATGTTGTTGTCTCTGAAGTCCTCGCGAACACTGTCTGGCACGTTGTCGTAACAGATGATGGTGCGGAGTGCACGCACTTTGAGTGCCAACTCCTTCATCTTGGACAGTGTCTCCTTGGAGCAGAAGGCCAACTCAATCTCTGCATGCTTGCTGACGAATGCCAGAGAGTCCACTCCAAGCGTCTCGTAGAACGACACAATAATATTGTTCTGCAAGTAACAAGCGTACTGAGTTATCAACCATTCAATTCTATTGCGACTGAATACTCCTATTCTACTTTTCTATATATTGTTATTGATGCCGTTGTTGTTGTTGTTGGTTAGACACCTCCATTCATTCATTCATTCAAACTAATTGCAATCGCGAGTAAAGTACTTACAGGCTTGAGACCAAGCTCACAGAGACCTTGGAAGAGTGTCTCACAGTGACCAGCAAACTCGCCGTAGGTGATGAAGTCAAAGTGTTCGTTCAGCTCTCCATTGCTTCCAACATTCCTCTGACCAAAGCATTGCTTGTTTCGGAACTTTTGAGTGGCGGCACTAAGAATGTTAGATGGGAAGTTAGTCGTTAGTCAGAGCGACATTGTGTTGACTTCCAACTACCAACAATGACTTACATGAATGAGTCGTAGATGGTGTAGACCTGCTCCTCGGGAATGTGGTCGACCAACTCCTTCTCTGCAAATACATTTCTTCTGGCTCTGCCTTCGCCAACTACCTTGTTTCCGACCTCCACAGTCTGTCCATAAGGATGTGGTCGTTTAAGACCCATTGCCACCAATCCTGTCAAAGTGACTGCTCCAGCAGCTGCTGCAATCAGTTGATTGTTATGAGACATCCTATATATATTTGTATGTTATGTATGTTTGATAGAATGTAAGTGTTTATGTTAGTTGTGTGAGTGTCTCCTAAGTTTGAGTCGGAATCATCATCAGTTTTGGGGTCTTTGCCGAAGATTCATTCAACTTTGTGTGTTAGTATTATAAGATCTTCTTTTGCCGATTCACACACACTTGTGATTGATGTACCAATGATGGGTCACAGGGAGATGACCCGAATGTTCCTAAAGTGGACAACCCTGATGATATCTTCATGGGTAGTTCAATTATTTAAATTTCTTAATATTTATTAAACAAATAGTGTCTGTGTAGACAACAACCATTGTTGTTGGCCACTTTGGACAATTAGAGATGAGTTGGATTGTTGATGATCGTAAAATCTTCATCCATGATCTCTATAGAGACAAGAATGTTTGACTGTGATGTGTAATGCCTAGATTCATTCTCCATTCTGCAATCGATGATCAGGTTCTCAATGGCATCGCTAGTGAGTAGAGCATTGAAGATTCTATCGAGGTGGTTTGTGCCGTTGGCTGCAATGTCCAGGCTGGTAAGTGGCGCCTGCAACCCGCTTAACAACAAGACTACTTCCTCCACCATAGTGTCATTGGTGAAGAGCATGTTGCCTCCCAGAGAGAGGCTTGTGATTGTGCGATTGACGCAAAGCACCTTGCGGAGTGTCTTTGTTAGAGTAATTGTTGTTGTAAATAAATAAGACGCTTGGTTGTTTATTGCGATTTTTAACTTAACACTTGTGTGTTGTTATTTGATTGATTGTCAGTCACTGAGTAGTATACTACTTAGTTGCAGGCAACAGAGACGATGTTGATGGCAGTTGGGGCGGATCCCTTGATGACGTACGACCAGGTGTAGGTGTTGCCAACCATGACGGTCTTGGCAGCAGCCTCCTCAGAGATGTCGTAGTTGTGGGCCTCGACCTTGCGGGCACCAGAGAAGTTGTCCAATGGCTCGGCGGCAGTGTAGACGATGGCCGACTTGAGAGCCTGGGTACCAATGTTTCTGATGGTCACGTTGAACTGGCTGTAGGTGCAGCCGTCCTGGGAGAAGGTGTTGGAGAGCGACTGGGAGAAGGTGGCGTCACAGACGATTGGGCTGGAGGTGGTGGAGCCAGTGGTGGTGGTGCAGGCGCATGGGCACATGCATTGGCCGGTGGTGGAGGACGATGAGCCGGTGGTGGTGGATGAGCCGGTGGTCGAGCCTGAGGTACCGGTGGCGGTGGTGCCAGTGGTGGAGGTACCGGTGGTGGTGGTGCCGGTGGTGGAGGTACCGGTGGTGGAGGTCGATGAGCTACCAGTGCAGATGTTGACACGGAGTGGGGATGATCCCTTGACGACGTACGACCATGAGTACTTGGCGCCAATCTCAATTGGGGTCTGCTCGACGTGGGGCAAGAAGTCGAAGGAGAGACCGGCATCGATGGTGGTGAGACCGTCGATCTTCACGAGGTTGGAGTTGTCATCAAAGTTGACGTTGGTGTGCGAGATGGCAAAGTTGCCCAAGTTGGTGATCTCACAGGTGAACTTGGTGTAGAGCTGGTTGTTCTCGGTGGTCTGGGAGTCCTGGTAGCAGACGTTGGCGAGGGTGCAGCCAGAGGTGACTGGGCCGGTGGAGATTGGGCCGGATGTGCCGGTGGTCGACGAGCCAGAGGTGGAGGTACCGGTGGTGGTGGTGGTGGTGGTGGTGGCTGGGGCGCACAGGTTGATTCCGATCTGCTGGTTGCCAGAGACGATGTAGTTGAATGGGTGGGCATGGTTGGTCTGGAGGGCAGAGGTGGCACGCGATGGGAAGAAGTCAAAGTTGGCACCGTCGGTGGTGGTGAGACCGTTGAGGGCGAGCAAGTTGGCGTTGTTGAAGAGGTTGACGTTGATGCGGGCAGCTGGGGATCCGAGGTTGAGGATCATGCAGTTGAATCTGGTCTGACCGGCGACGGAGAAGTCAGAGTCGGCGGCACAGCTGAGGGAGAACTGGCAGACACCTCCGGTGGTGGTGGTACCGGTGGTGGTGGTGCCGGTGGTGGTGGTTGAGGTGGCTGAGCCTCCGCAGGCGTTGAACATCAATGGCGAGACACCGTTGACAACGTAGGTGAATGGGTGGCCGTGGCTTGGCTGCAGGGCAGACTGGGCACGCGATGGGAAGAAGTCAAAGTTGATTCCGTTCGAGGTGGTGAGACCGTCGATCGAGACGAGGTTGGCGTTGTTGGAGAGGAGGATGTTGGCCATGGAGATGGCGGCGGCACCGTTGTTGAGGACCATACAGTTGTACTTGGTCTGGCCGACGGTGTGGAAGTTAGCGTCGATCTGGCACTGGATGCTCAATGGGCAGAGGGTTCCGGTGGTGGTGATTGGACCGGTGGTGATTGGGCCAGTGGTGGTGGTGGAGGCACCGCACTCAACGTAGACGGTGGCTGGCTGATCGCCGTAGGTGATGTACGACCATGGGTGGTTACCGTTGGTCTGGAGGGCGTTCATGCTGCGGTCTGGGAAGAAGTCAAAGACGATTCCGTCGGCGGCCAACTTGAGACCATCAACAGAGATGACACCAGCGTTGTTCTGGAGAACGAGCTTGACGTGGTTGACTGGGGTTCCGAGGTTGATGACGTTGCAGCTCCATCTGGTCTGGCCGGCAACGACGTAGGTGGTGTCGAGGATGCACGAGTTACCAACGAGGCAACCTGGGGCTGGGCCGGTGGTGGTGGTGACCTGGCCGGTGACTGGGCCGGTGGTGATGGTGCCGGTGACTGGGCCGGTGCTGGAGGCACCGCACTCAACGTAGACGGTGGCTGGCTGATCGCCACGGGTGATGTACGACCATGGGTGGTTGCCGTTGGTCTGGAGGGCGTTCATGCTGCGGTCTGGGAAGAAGTCAAAGACGATTCCGTCGGCAGCCAACTTGAGGCCATCAACAGAGAGGATTCCCGCGTTATCTTGGAGGACGAGCTTGATGTGGTTGACTGGTGTTCCGAGGTTGATCACGTTACAGTTCCATCTGGTTTGACCAGACACGGTGTAGGTAGTGTCAAGGAGACATGAGTTTCCGACGAGGCATCCAGATGTCTGGGCGGAGACTAGATATTTGGAGTGATTGAGTTTGAATGTTAGTTTGATTGATTGATTGATTGAGTGAATGAGGTGGATGTGAACATACCGATTGTGCCCACGCAAAGCAGGGCTAGGATGAATAGTTTCAACATTGTTGGAACTGTTTAGGTTAATTAATTAGTTAATTAAATAAATAAATAAATAAATAAATAAATAGTGAGTTAGAGAGTTGAAGAATAATATAACTTGAACTTGAGCTTGGGAACTTATAAGTCTGTTTGCTGTTGTTTTTGTTGTTGTTGTTATTCTTGAGTATTGCTAACTTGAATTGAATGACTAATTGGAACCTTGAGGACTGTCTTTAAATAACAAGTGTTTGCCATGCCCGACATCTGGCAGCAGGGCCTGTCCTCGTACCAACACTCAATCCGATTCCGTAATCCATGGATGTTGTTGTTGACCACCATTGTCGTGTGAACGTTCATTCTATCTCGCGCGAGGGACTGAATGAGTGAGTGAGTGAGGGAGATTCATTCATCGATGTACACATCTCTCTTAAAAGTAGCCCCAACCTTATCTAGGAAACAGCATATGCATGTCATCGTTCACTTACCATTTGTAAACTTTGAGAGGAGGGGTCTACCGAGTGTCATGGAATGATGGATGGACATGTGTCTCCACTGCAGGTCGCTACCTCCATCGCGATATACTCCAATGTCTTGATTTGTCCAACTTGTTCATTCATTCTTTCATTGCTTCTTCTGAGGATATATGTGTATGTCCATGTATATATATGTCTAACTGTGTGTGAATGTGGGACGGGTGATGTTCATGAGTTAGTGTGTGTGATATATCTGACTTCTGAGATATATGTCTGAATGTGTGTGTATGTGTGTGTGTGAATGTGGTGTCGTCTTCGATTCCAGCTTGAATGGATGTCATGTCATGCGAGTGTTGTCGGTCAGTCATGTACATGAACTGAATTGTTGTCAACCAGTTATACTTGTGTGTCGCGAGAGACCACCTGATGATAACATAGTCAGGGAGAGAGAGGGAGACGATGGTCGTGGCCTGATCGCATGCGTAGAGGACAAGTCATTGTCTGTCCTTTATTATTGATTATTATTATTATTATTGTAGTTGTTGTGGTGTATATGTTGAGGGTCATGTTGTACTAACTGTCCAGTCCAATTGAGCGCGAGTTAGAATTCATTCAATCAATGTTGTTGAACATCAACATCATCATTCCTTCATTCATTCATAGTTACGTTTGAATTGAGGGGATAGCAACATGGTCACGGGAGGAGGAGGATGAGGAGGAGTACAACAGTTTGAGATTCCAATGGTATGAGTACCTTTAGCTGTTCTCCACCTGCGAGATCTGCTTCCACTCTCCGTCCAAACCTTCCTTCCAAAGGGTCACTTGGTTGTCGCCACACGACACTGCTAATATATGTCCAATCACTGACCAGCTCACTCTCCACACGATGTCATCGAACCTGTTCAGGGGCTTGCCGGCCCAGGTACCACTCTCGTCCTGTGTCCAAATGATCACTGTCCTGTCCTGTGAGCACGAGGCGATCTTGGAGACGGGCAGACCAATGTTTGGTGCCCATGCCACGTCTCTCACCCAATCCTTGTGCTCCTCCAGCTGCTTCTCCAGAGTCCACTTGTCCTCAGTGAATCTAGGTTGAGTATAGGGTTAGCATGAGTGATCATCTATTCAATCAATCAAATCAATCAAACATACTTGAATATCTTGATAAGGTTGTCGCAGGCACCGGTGACAATGCGCTTGACTGGTGTTGGGATGGTCGTTTGGTTGGCATTGACGAGTGAAGCTGGGGTTGAGGCTGGGGCCCATGAAACTGAGTTTACTCCAATCTGTGATACATTGATCTTTTGTGGCTGTTCCCAGACGTTATCTATGAATGATCGAGTGATCGAGTGAGTAAGTGAGCGAGCGGAGGAAGACAGCTGAGAAGGTAACATACCTTTAAAGTTGTGAATTGATACAGTTCCATCGGAGGAGGCACAAGCCAGGCAAAGACCGAACTCATGTGGAGCCCAAGAGATAGAGTTGACTAAAGATGAATGATTGATTGAATGAGTGAGTGAGTGAGATGGTCGTGTCAGTGCATGCCAACGGAGAAGATCATACCTGAGAGTTCATGACCAGAGAACTGATGCAGGATGCTCCATTGATTGTTGTTTGTCTCTCTCCAGATGATCACCTTGCGATCGTATGAAGCTGATGCCAATATCTTTCCAAACTTTGGATGTGCCCAAGCAACCTGCCATACTGGACCCTCATGTCTAATCGATTGATCATTGTTTGGCTGTGTCAGCAAATGTGTCTATCTCTGTTCACAACGATTCTCTTTCACTCTATACCTACCCTCTCAAATCTGCGAGATGTACATGGTTGTCACCAGCAACATCGAATATCTTTATAATTCTGTCACTCGAGCATGTAGCCAAGTATTTGCCATAGTAGTCGAACTGAGCATCGTGCTGTATATCGTTTGAACGATTGTTTGATTGAATGTTTGATTGTTTGGGTCAATATCGTATCATCTTCTTCTTATAAGTTAGCGTCCTATCCATCCATCAATACTTACGACCATGTCCTCATGAGCTGTATCCAAAGTGACTTGAGCCTGTTTGATTGTTCGATTGATCATAGTATTAGTGATTGATTTGTATCATTGTGATTGATTGATCATACCATATTTCAATGTAGATTACTTATAWAGTAATAGATTAGATATATAAATATAATGTGTAATAATGAAAGGATTGTATGAAGGAATGAATGAATGACTCAAACACGCAACTTCAAAGTCGATGAGGATCACAAACAAATAAAGTTGTGTGTTTTGCACACATCAGCACCCCTTCTGACTCATTTGACTTTGAAGAGTTTGACTGTTTTTCATCAGAACTTGGTGAGTGTAGTCATCTAACATTGATGATTGGTGAGTGTGTACAGAGATAATATTATGTGTAATTTAATAATAACAACACGAACATGTTTACATTCCATTCTCTCCATACTCTCTTGTGAACTCAAGGTACTTGTCAAGATCTTTAGGATTGAATGACCTCTTAATGTTCTTTAAACTTCTAACACAATCATTCTAGAGAATGAGTGATAGAATGAATGATCGAATCTTAGTACCTCGAGGTATGAATATATGAACATGTTTGACTGACTACTTACGAATGTTACGAATGGTTCTTTGAGTTTGGACCCTTCTTGATCCATCCAGGTCATTTCAATTGCTTCGTCATCACCCGGTGAACATGGAGTGAAGTACTCGGCTAGGATAGCAGGGTCTTCGCGAGAAGGTGCTTGGATCTTCTTGAAGTGAGTGGCACGTTGAACTAGTCGTATGGGCTGCATGTTGGCATCCTTGCAAGCATTCCTAATGTCACTGCCAGAGTAGCCTTCGGTCATCTGTGCCAGCTTCAAGTAGTCCTCAGACGACAGACTGTTTGGTATGCGCTCGATGTGACCCTGGAACATCTGTGCACGGGCATGTATGTCTGGATGTGGGATGAATATCTTCTTCTCGAATCGACGCTGAATGGCAATGTCCAGCATCCATGGGAAGTTGGTCGCGGCCAAGATGAGTATGCCGTCCGTGTCGTTGCCAACGCCTTCGAGCTGTGTGAGAAACTCTGCCTTGACTCGCTTGGACGACTCGCTCTCCTGGTCCGTGCGTGAACTGCACAGCGAGTCCACCTCATCAATGAAGATCACACTGTTGCCCTTTGCCCTGGCCACATCAAACAACTGCTTGACCATCCTCTCACTCTCTCCCTGATACTTGTTCATAATCGATGATGGAGATATCGAGAAGAATGTTGATGATATCTCAGTGGCCACAGCTTTGGCCAAGAATGATTTACCTGTTCCTGGAGGCTTTACATCACCAAGTGTTAGTATGTTGATTGAGTGATTGAGTGATTGAGCGATAGTTGGTGAAGGTACTTACGCCATAGAGTAGGATACCTTTCCAGGGCTGACGACCAGACTCAAACATGTGAGGACATTTGATGGGGAAGACGACTACTTCCTTTAGACACTCTTTGGCCTCGTATAGACCTGCAATGTCATCCCATTTGACGTTTGGTTTCTCCAAGACAATTGATGACGCCAATGAATCCATTCGTTTCCTATCGTCATCATCCAACTCTGCGGCGGCACCCGCACCATTCACTGGTGAGCTTGATCTGGCTCCACCCGCAGACACCTTTGTCTTCCTCTCCACCTTATTCTTTTCCAAATGTTCTTTAAGTTGTTCAGCACGCATCAAGTATTCCATTATCCTGGACTTTATCATCAATTTAGTCTTGTCTGCCTTTTCATCTGGATTAAATTATTATTAATATTATTATTATTATTGACCAAATAATATTTATTCAATCATACACTTCATTGCTGTTGTGAACCAATCCAGACTGTGCATATATAGTTTATATGCTTCGGCATAATTCTTTGCTTCATCTTGTTCTGTTGCCTGCTTAACAATGTCAATGGCCTTGTTTAAAAAGTTGGTATCACTACTCATTATTATTTAATTAATTAATATAGATGTATAACTATTTCTGATCAAACAGCTAATCAATCAATCAAACAATCAAACCCAACTACAATTTCCATCATTTATTGATATTAATCTTTATTTTTTGGGACTGGGGAAGTGACTTGGGAAAGCAGGGAGTGTTTCCTCAAATTTGATGAACTTCGTTTTCTCCCAAAGTTTCTTTTTTGGGACTTGTCAGTTCCCTTTGGTGCCCTCTAAAGATATTAATATATATATAAATAAATAACGAACTATGATGGTCAATAGAGCCACCAAAGAAGGTGACCAAGAACTACGATTCAATCAGATAATCAACAAACAGGTTGTGAGACGATTGATCTTTGGACAAGTCAAACAGATACATCGTGTAAAATACCCAGATAGTCAAACATATCGGTGGAATGATCTGATTCAATCAGTTGATATGTTGGCACAGTGTGGATACTTGGAGCCACTCAAAAAACTGTGTCTATCAATCGAACAGAGATACAACCGTCACAAATGGTCAGAGATTGATGGTGCACCATTCATTCCAAAGTTGCGATCACTCACTCGTCATGCAGTCATCGGTGGACACCTCCACATACTTGAATGGGT